TTGGTGTCATTTCTTTCGGTTTTTCTTTTTCTTTAAATTTATCTTTCATTTCTTTCATTTTGTCTTTGATTTCTTTCATTTCTTTTAACTCTCTTAGCTTTTCTTTGATATCTTTTGGCTTTTCTTTAATATCTTTCGGCTTTTCCTTTGGTTCCTTTGGCTTCTCTTTCACTTCTTTTGGCTTTTCTTTGACTTCTTTCGGCTTCTCTTTCACTTCTTTTGGCTTTTCTTTGACTTCTTTCGGCTTCTCTTTCACTTCTTTTGGCTTTTCCTTAAGATCTTTTATTGGCTTGTTAGGTGTTTTCTCAACGACTGGTTCTAAAACTGGTTCATTTTCAACTGGTTCAGGGGATTTTGGCCTCTCTTCTGCTTTTTCAGGGGAAATTGGTGGCGGTGGATCTTGTGTTACAGGAGGCAGCTCTTCCAATGGTTTCACGGCCTCTAATTCTGGCGCCTCTTCTTCGATATTGGCTTCCATTTCTGATTCTGCTTCCTCTCTTTCAGGAGTTTTGGACAAGGAACCAGTTTCTGATAAATCTGGGATTTTGTCGTCTGTTTCCATCTCTTCGTCTGTATCAGTGCTTTCATCACTCTCTGTAATATAAAACATGGGAATCAAAAATCTAGGCGATTAATTTTAATTAGCCTTTAACCCAAAAATGCTGGCAAACAAATGCAACTACTGTATAACTGGCTCACAAAATTAGTTGTATTTTGCACTTTAGATATGCCTTTTACCTTAAACTCAAAAACACAAGTATAATGTATCCTCTGGAAACAACTCTATTATCGCATACAAAATAAGTTAAATTTTCAACTACATCTCCATAAAAGACAAAAGGATAATATGTCCACTATAATAACTAAATATATCAATACATCTTCTATTACAAATACTTATCAAAACCTACATCTAGACTGTTGAACCGAATTAATAATCATAACCTACCTCTAGACTGTTGATCAGAATTATCATTAACACCAGTTGATTTCTTTGCTTTACGTTTTTTACCTGTGAAATAAATATTGAAATACAAGTTGTATTACTAACCCATTATAAACCATTATTATTATAATTCTAATCTAAGTAGATAAAGATAATAATTCATTATCATGAATCAATTAATTTCTGTCTCTTGTCTTGAAGGTGTTCTGTTTTAAGTGGTTTGTTTAAGTCAATCTTAAGTCCAGGTCCCTTTTCTCAAAAAATCTTTCGATAAGACTTTTTCATGAAAGTGGAATTCTACACTGAAAAATATCACACTTACGACAAAATTGACCGGAAGATTTTTTGGAAATGGACCCAGATTATTTGAAAGCTAAATCAGGCCCATTCTAAACAAATCTGAATGTTAAAACTTATTACTTATGCTTAGGAAGAAATAGATAAGTTAACTTAGATTTTTTTTGTGAATCGAAGAATTGATTTAAAAATATTGCTGACATTTTACCTGGAGTTAACTCTAGAGCTGTTTTATTATCCAGACTATTCGATCTGGTAGGTCTATTTTTAGCAACGGGGGTAGTTGTAGTAGTGGTAGGTTGGGTTGGCTGGGGTGATCGTGTTGTTGGTATACGGAACTCTGAAGATTTATTAGGGGGTGGGGTCCCTACCCCAGGGCGACCACGTTTCTTCTGTATTTGATTGACCAACTGTTGCTGAAATTAAGAATTTGAAAATGGTTTATTTATGTTTACGTCATTTGGAATCAAGATGTTATAGTCTAAGAAATCATTTTACTATCTAGAATGCTTGTATTCAATGAAATGAATCTTCAGGAGCCTTTTTCTCCAAAACTTAACTAATATAAAATCAAGATTTTAAGAAATACAGTAATCAAAACTGAATTTAAAATCAATTTTTAGTGATTGACCAATCAAATGTCTGGAACACTAAAATCATTTTAAGTTAAGTTTTCGAGAATAAGGACCCAGATTTAGTAATCTAATTTTTAAGTAGACCTATGAAGTATTTTAAGTGACTCACCTTGAGAGAGGTTTTAGGTGACATTTTAGGACCAGGACTAGGTACCATGGATTCTGGTTTTTTAGCATGTTTTTTAGCTGAATCAGGTCTATCTAATATTCCAACTATTCTTTCTCTCTTTATCCACTCATCATATCTAAAATATAATAATAGAACTTCATTAATTACAGTTATCATCCTTATTCAATTTCTGATGCAACATTGTAGCATAATATAATATAAGGCTGAAATTAGAGACCATTTAGAAAGAGCCTGATTCTTAAAAACGTAAATTAGATAAGGGGTTAAGAAATACCTGATTGGATAATAATTATAAATCAGTTTAAGTGATTGACCAATAAGATGACTGGAACATTAAAATCATCGTTAGCAGTTCAGTTTCCAAGAATAAGGCCCCGACTTAAAATCTGGCGGCGTTTTCTGTAAACGATCTTAGAGCTAGGATGTCCTAGGTTCTTATCTTCTAACATTGATTCTAGGACATCCTAACGCTAAGATCGAATATGTGGCCTGATTATAAACAACACTTCTACTAATATGCCAAAGCTATAAAATAAAAATTTGATGAAATAAAACTGACCTATTATTCCAGCCAGCATAATGAACTAAATATGTCTTCTGTCCTCCATCTTTCCCTGCTTCAACAACCTGTAGAATGAAATTAGAAGCAAAATACACAACCATTGGAGAGCCCAATTTTCAGCAAAAATTCATTGGCATCAATATATCACTCGCAACAATTGCTAAAAGAAAATCATCTTGATTATCATGGCTGCTTTCTCACATAGTTCTAGGAACAGAAGGACATAAAATTCCAATTCATTTCTCGCATAATCTTCTAAAACCTCATAGACACTTTTGCAAATTTTCAAAATTCAAAAGAAAAAAAACATGACAAATCAAATTATGCTCACCTTAGCTTCATAAAGTTTGATATTTTTACCACGGCCATATTTAACTCGGACCTTCGTACCCAGTGGTAACTCTTTTTTCTTATCATCATCCTCCATCTTAAAATTCAGTTCCTCTTCATCACTAAAAAAATATTTGGATATATTGAATATTTAAAATTGGAATGTGTACAAAAATAGTTCCCCCTCAGTTCTTACTTGAGACTTATTATCCCCTTTCAATTGATCCATACACTGCTACAAAATACCTCTGCGAAAAACCCAAAATCTAAATACTTACTCTTCAGTTTCATCTTTAACAGAGCTCTTCTCATCTTTACTATTTTTATCTTCTTTCGGTTTGACGTCTGCCTTCTTCTCTTTTAAATCTTTCCTTGTTAATTTTTTATCTTCGGGCTTCTTTTCTTCCTTGTCACTTCCCTTTCCCTTTTTCTTCACTTCCGCCTTCTCTTCCTCTTCCTCTTCTTCGTCTTTTTTACCGTCTTCACCACCTCGTCCAGACTTTCTCCGTGTTACCTGGAATTACCAAGAGCACATTAAGGCATATGCATACAAGAAACAAATACTGGTGATGCTCAAATGGTGAGGTTCTGTCTGTTTCACTGTTTGAATTCTAGGCAATAATCAAATAGTACAGAACCAGATGATGTCACCTTCTACAAATCTTTTCCTTTTTCTGCCATTTTGAATTCTGTCTACACCTACCTTTTCAGCAAAGTGTCCACTTTGAATCCTTTTCCAGTTTATTTTCTTGATCTTTCAGAGTTCTGGCTACGTATTCTCGAAACAATCTTAGGGCTAGGATGTCCTAGAATCAATGATAGAAGATAAAGCAACTAGGACATCCTAGCGCTAAGATCGTTTCGAGAATACGTGGCCAGATTAATAGTGTGAATCCCTAACAAGTAAAATTTACCAATCAAATGACCCTTCTTCCAAGATAATATTTTTATTCTATATTAGCTTTGAACCTACCCTTTTCTTGACTGAATCTTCTTTGTCATCACTGTCATTCTTCTCTTTTTTAGGCGTCACCTTTTCATCTTTCAAACTATTTTTATCATCATCTTTATCGCGTCTGCTCGATCTTTTTTCCTCTTCTTCTACTTTCACTTTCAGCGATTCTCTCTTCTCTTTTTCTTCCTTCTGTTTGTCGCGTCTGGTCACGGAGCGTTTGGTCGTGAGTGTTTCGCTGTCCGAGTCTTCTTTAAACATAGAATCTGTGTCTGATGTATCATCAGATTTAGTTGTTTTAGATCTATCACTACAAGAATCATCAATCTGCAAAAAAAATTATGGTTGAATGATTGGTACCGGTTGAAATGAATTTTAACAAAATCATCGCCATTTTCAGGAGCACTACAGAAGGATGTAAAACTTCATTTCATTTTTATATCCAGTTAGTTAATTTGCGAAAGTGAAAGTTTTGAGAGAATTTCTTCGATAATTTCAAGAAGTAAATTGCTAATCTTTTACTCAAACAGAAACAGCAATCCTTTTTAAAAAAATGTTCGTTTGCATGAAATGACTCTCCGAAAGTAATAACAGTAACAACAGACGTCTGCCAGAAAATAGAAACAATAAATGACCCTAATAAATTGATCAAAAATTTAAAAAAGCAACCAATATATAAAAATACTTTACCTCCTTATCTTCTTTCTTGACTCGGGGTGAAATGGGCGTGTCTTTATCCCGTCCCCTAAACGGTAGGATACTTCTCCCAGAATTATTTCTATGTCTTCCTGGACGACTTAATGTTCCCATGGTGCTGCCTAGTTTACGGTAAAAATCTTCAAATGCATGTAAATACCTGGAAGTGAATAAATATATAACAGCATGAATGAGACGGAGTTGAGTTGAATATCTAAATGATCGTTAAGATCAAAACAGTATTGCGACAGTTACTTGGACAAAGTATTTATGAAACCACAGACATAGCTATTTGAAAGGATATAATCCAGGTCTGTATATAAGGGCAAGCAACCCACTTCAGAAACCCCTTACTTTTAAAACCTCACACTGTATCTTTCAAATGATGAAAGTCGAGCAACCAAAGAAAAAACCATAATTTGAAAATCTATGAGCAGAAGACATCATCAAACTTACTTTTTATAAGCGTTTTTCATCTGACTGGATGCTGAGTTAGAAGATGGTAAACCCATTTTATTATAAACAACTCTCCATTTATCATGATTTGTCACCTGAAAAAAATTTAATTTCAAAATTTATATTTGGGTACTTGGGGCTTATTATCAAATATGAGAAATTCCACGATGATTTAATTGCTGTGCAATACATACATCGTCATTATTTATTATTAATATATTATATTATTAAATATTTCATGCTAAAATGAAAAATAAAAAAACATAATATATACACATAACTGCATTTTATTGCTCCCACTGGGCATGACTAGCCAATACTTTTAAATCAACACCTGAAAATTTTTAATACCTGAGCCTTTTTCTCGAAACCTTAACTTAACACAATTTCAGTCATCTGATTGGTCAATCACTAAAATTGATTTTAAATTAAGTTTTGTAATTCAATCAGATTACAGCATTTCTTAAAATCTGGATTTATCTGAGTTAAGTTTTAGAGAATATGGCCTCTGATGTCACTCAACAACTCGGCATTCCTTGGCATAGAGAATGAAGTTATTTGGAAGAGTACATCTAATAGCAGTATTATCTTACCTTGTTATAACCACCTAGATTCTGAACAATTTTAAACAATCTGTACAGGTTTAAATCATAAACACCAACTGATGGTCCTTTATTAATAGGTGTTCCTAGAAAAAATACATAAACAATTCAAATAAATTATGGGTAAAATCATAATGGCATTAAATCATCATTTCAAAGATTAGAGAAGGTTGTTTTGACTAGTTAAAATGTGCATTGCCTCATACTAAGCTATTTTGATAAAGTGAACCACAGTCCAATCTCTGTTTTAATAAGAGTGCATGGTTTTAACGACAATGGGTAAAGAAAACTATTGAATATGCTAACCTCTATCATCCATAAATTTATAAAGTTGAGCTACAAATCTGTCTTTTTCTTCATTTTGTTCATCATCAGACGACTGAAATAAATTAAATCAGAAATAAACAGAATTCTGTTAGAGTTTGTAAAATTTCAATGTGTGACAACACCCATCAAAAAATGTAAACCACAATAAGGAACTTGGGATTAGATCAAAAGATTTTTTTAACGTTTAATGTGTATCAAGGATTCTGATAAAACTCTTCATAAGTAAAAAGCAAATCTTCAGAAAAATATTTCACAAAAACCAACCTCTTCTTCTTCATTTTCATCATCTGATCCCAATAAATCTTCTCTCTTCCATGATGTAGGTAGGTCATTATTATCAAAATAACTTAACGCCTTCTCCATAGCTACAATTAGATACATTAGACAATTGATAACATGGTAATTGGGGTTAAAGATCAAAACTGAGACTATATTTTATTTGTTTTGAGAAATCTTTAAAGATAAAGTAAAAAGAAACGATGAAAACTTACCACTCTTTAAAGCAGGAATCTCTGACTTGACAGCTGTATCACGATTGAATTCTTTTAATTCTTTCTTTAATACAGAAAAACTGAAACAAAAAACATTCATATTTATAATATTAACAGCTCTTTATAATTCAACTTAACACTGATACAACTAACCTTGCATGAAATTGAGTTTTAAATCCTACTTTTCTGCACCTGTTTGGGCTAATGAGAACAGGCAATACCATGCAGTCCTTCATGAGGAGAATTTTGCCTGGACAGTGACATTCGCCTGCTATCCTTTTCATTTCCTACTGTCAAGGGATCTTTAATGTGCATAGCCTGTAGCACACTCGTTTCAGTTTTAGATTGGTTGAAGTCAACAATAACAACTTATGATGTACCGGTAGTATATTTTCTAGATATACACGAATCAAGTTAGTACTTACTATTTGCTATCTTTAAAAGATCTAACTAGTAAGTGATCTTTAGTACGTAGATCAGTATCATGGGCATCAGGCATTACAATTATCACAGGCACAGAGAGTGGTGTCCCCTTACGTCTTTCAGTATTCTCATACATCATGACTTTCCCCACCAACTCTTGATGTCTGCTCAGTTTATATGTCTGGCGTTTGGGTAAACTTTCATCAGAATCACTCTCTTCTTCTGATTCACTTTCATTTCTGGAATCAAATTCATTTCATTCATTGAAAATTTTTTAAAAAGTCACTCAGGAAGAGGACAATGATGTTTTTTTGGGGAAATTGATCTCCAAATAATGTTTTTCTTTCAAATATGTTAAAGAAAAAGCAAGAACCAAATTCAAACAATAATTTTATGGAAGGATTACAAGTTAGGTTCACCAAGATCCTTACTACCAGCTGGTAATTTGTCAAACCTCTTGGCATTGATCCATTCAACGATCTATACCCTAAAACAGCTATGGTAACTTGGATAACGAGAAAGGATGGCTTATTCAATGACATCGGACTTTTACACACTGGTGAATATTTCTGAGACTTTATGTTGTGCTTGTCAACAAATCTAAACACTACTGATGGAAAGCTTTCTCAAAAAGAAAACGATAGAATTTATCTAGAAAATAAAAAAAATAGAGACTTACCCTTGATTAACAGCTTTTTTATTTTTCTTCTGTAAAACAGGGGTACCAAAATGTTCAGGATGAGACAAGGGTAAATTATCTAATGTCTGAAATGATAACATATACAATTATAAGCTATGATGGCTGTGGATTTCATAGAACGGGTATTTCAGGATTTTTGAAAGTGGAACTTAAGAACGATCTCTGAAATAAGACTCACATGCTTTTCTTGAAAGCATCAGCTGTAATATACTTAGATAAAAGAGGTAAAACGTCAACATTAGGCTAGCTATCTTAAACATTGGCTATGGCTTCAGATAATTTAAGATTTGCCTTCAGAGATATTGAAAGTACTGAAAGCATGTGTGTCGCCTGGGAAACTGAATGTTCTTACATCTGATGGAACTTCTCTTTGGAGTCCACTACTATACAAGATTTACTCCCAATTTTGTAATGCTTTGGACGAGATTTATGATTGACGGAATTGTATTGCTTGAATACATTTTATTAAGATCATTGAGCAATCTCAATTCACCTAGATACAGACTAAGTTATACATGTGTTATTAGACAAACAAGTTGACAAGTAAATAAATTACCTCACTCTCTGTAAAATGTTTATCCCCCTTTAAACACAACTGACTTCTTCTTAAAGTGGCCTCATCACCATCATCAAACACTGTAATAATCAGATACAAGTAAATAACTGTTCTATAGTGTCTTTAAACATATGATATTAAGAAATACCAATATATTATGCCAATTGAAATAAACCAACTTTGTTATATTAGATTATTATAGAAATTTTTTGTGGAGACATAGTTGGAGTACCAATTGAGAATAAAACCTAAAAATATTTGAGGAAATTCTTGTCTACCTTTTCAGGACGAAATGACTAAGTGAGATCTTAACAATTGTAGCGATGAAGCCAAAATATCCAGTTTGTCTTAATCCCAAGTGAAAGCCTATTGACAAATACAACAGTGACTTACCAACAGTATAAGTGCTGGAATCAGTTAATTTATTAATAACACCCTCTACCACCTGACCATTACTAGGCTGTTTCACCTCCACACTATTACCTACTTGTAGCTGACCCTTAACATTATCATCAGTAACAATAATAGAACTATGACACTCCTTTAAAATAACCTGAAAAAACATAAAAATATAACCATATTAAATCACTCTTTAAAATAACCTGAAAAAACATAAAAATATAACCATATTAAATCACACTCTGAAACCAACCTAAAAAATAGCAAACATACAATACCATGCTTTTAAAATAAACTGAAAATGAACGATTACTTCTTGTTCAAGGCAATTCACAAAATATAATTCTTATATCACTATACTAAATTGTACGTCTAGCATTTCTGCTATTGATAGTTGGACTAAATCAATATATACATGCAATGCTATGCAGTGTGTGATAAGGCTAATTTTGACATGAAATTTATTCATTCATTCAACTAATATCAGACATCATAATGTGAAAATACTCAGAACTTACTTTAACTTTAACAGAACGATTAACTTTCTTAACTTTGGCTTCACAAAATGCTCCTTTATATTTAGCACTAACATCTGTACCTACATTAAGGTACGGTGGCTCGTTACCAGCCTACAAAATACAAATATTGAATTATTATATATAAATACTGCACATTCGCAATGAAACTGATAAAATAGCAGATTTAACTGTAACTGTCTTACATTTCTTGATATTTTTGTTACTTAACTATGAAAAAGTTTTTCAAATTACATGTTTTTAATATTTCTTTTGATGTAATTTCTTGAAATATTTAGATGATTTCCTAAATATACAATTAAAATCACAACCAAAGCAATGGATTATCAACACTTAGCACAAAAAAGGGATGGCATTGATTTTAAAAACCTTCAGCTTTACCTTACATGATAATAAAGGAGGGACAAGCATTTTATATCATGGGAAAAAATGTGTAAACGCAGACTTTGATGGTTTCACTTCCAGGCATTTCATAATAAAATTTAACATATTTGAAATTTGACTGTGATTTTAATGAGTTTTTCAAATGAAAATTCAAGTCATCAAAAAAGGACAAACTATTTCCTCCTGTTTTGAAAGGAAATGACTTGTTCCTGTTTGTTTGTGAATATTTGTGGTCAACAAAATTAATTCAGTAAATAATAGAGACAAATTTCGTTAGCCATTATTGTTGTTGGATGAGTACCAAAAGATTATATCACTCCATATGAAGTCAAGACCCAAGGTGGATGATTAATACCTGCGACTACAGTCAGTGTCTGTCTACATAGACCAGAAAATAATGGCAGACACTCAATTTTCCTTCAAAATTATGACTTTTCGTTCTCATGAAACAAGACAACCAAATCAGATCAAGGGTGAATTCTTGTTAAATAATGACCCCAAAACATTTCTCAATCAAATTTTCATAGTTTTGTCAATGTGGATTTCGTTTTCTCTTCGTTATTCGATCATTACATAGCTTCAAATTCGCAGTATCTGAGTGATACAGTTATTCAATAAACTTGAAAGAAAACGTCCCAGCTGATGGCTAGGAAATATTTCAGAGACTAAACAAACGTGTCTGTCCACTTACCATTTTTAATATTGTTCAATCTCGAATCACAATTGATAACTTGACGTGTTCCACCAATATAAAAAGGTTACAGTAAATTTGTGCTGAGTTGAGGAAAGAAACAAGTCAGAAATATCATAACTTGACTATCGGTAGACCACGATGAGAACAACAACTTGACAAGGGATTCCTTCTTTTCCATTGGCTGTTTCGTCGAGCATGCCCCATAATTGCGCCTAGCGCATGCGTGTTGTTTATATTGATTTGTGACCTTGGATATTGCATATCTGATGGAGCAAGTGGGCAAACTTAGTTATTTCCTAAGTTACTGTGCTTTGAATTGATATTTTTGCCTTTTTAGCTGCCCCATGTGTATATTTAGTCGACTTAATTGTTTTTTTTTCAGACAAATTGTTTTGATTTTGTATAAATGTTAATTTAAATTAGCTTTTTAAATCAACATCCGGGTAACTTTCATGTCGGCCTACATTTTCCGTCAGATGGCGTGGGTGGGTTTTATAAATAAAAATACATTGTCACGTGGGCAGTGATTTGACAGGTGAACCTCTCTATTATGGACAGCTGTTTATAGGGGTTTCCCAGTTGAGTCCTTTAAAAAGAGACAAATTGACTGTCCTTTTTGGAGATATTTCTTCTGCAATACTCTATTAGCTCTTTGATATTTATTTCAATTTCCCTTATCACTTTTCAAGTGACATTGATATATAGTTAGTTTACAATTCATAGAAAGTGAGCTAGAATGTGTATCCAGGGACACTGATAGCATCGATTTGCACCATTCCAGTTTTCAGTCAGACATCTGTGGTTGTTGCTATTCCACTAAACCCAAGTGGTTCATAATAGCAGTCACAAAGATCACAATATTATTAGCAGCTTTTGCAAGAGTGATGTCCTAAAAGTCTTAGTGGGATTGACATCTGATTGAAAATTGGATTGGTGTATATCAGTGTCCCGAACACACATAAAAAGTTGAGAAAACCTTTTTTACAATCTATTTAACAGTCAAGGTTTATTTTAGGGGAATGAGATGTCAAATTGTCATTTAGCAAAGTGCTTTGATGAAATTGAGCTCTATCAAATGATAAATGCAAATGTCTGGCAGAAATTTTCCTTTCAAAAGGCAAGGCATTATTCATACAGATTAAAATGTGAATGAAAAAATGAGGCAAATCTTTGACAAATATTCTTTAATAATTCATTAAAATAACAATATTTACGCACATTGATGGCAAATTTTGTTTGTATTTTTCAAGAACTAATACATTTTATTTCAGGCCTTATATAGTTTGCCTGAAATCTATTTTACATTCTTAACTTTCTTTTTATCTTTTCCAAACATGACGTATACTTTGACTTTCTCTAGATAAGAAACTGAATATGTGTGATTGGAAGAGTTCTTTGTAAACTTATAGGTGTTCTCTGTTCATATATTAGATTCAGTTTTTGTTCATTTACAAAAGCTAACCTAAAACTAGTCTTGAATGTAGCTTTCACAGCACAAATCATTTCAGATCTTACAGAATTCTTGAATGCAAATTCATTTTCATGTCCAACTGCTTTTTGTCAATAATGGGTAAGCCTATTTCACCAATCACTTCATTCACGAATCATTTAAACCTCTTATGAGCCTTGTTTCCACTGTCAAATTGTTTAGGTTTTGAGTTCTTGAATTCCTTAGAATCCTTTCTAGGGTGTCTCTGTTTTGAACTGTTGGAAGAATTCATTCTCGGAATTTTCCTCTTCTTCATCTTATCTTTCAGACTTTTCTTGGCTTTCATTCCTTGAAAACTATGTCTCACACTGTTAGATGGTTGGTTGAATTTTTTCTTTGGTCTGAACGGTCGAGATGATTCTATCTGTCTGTCTTTATCTTGGTAATAAATGTTAAGGAATAAAAATGGAGAATAATGATAAAAACTAGTAAAGGAGACAACAGAGATTTCTATTTTAAAATCCTGTTTGCTAGAATTCAGTTTCAAAGTGCAGGCCCGAGATCTGGTGGTACCTGGGCACCTGTACATGAATACAAAACTACATATGGTTCTTACATGGAAATAATATTCGACTTATTAAATCGAGGCTGTGAACTACGTTTGTGTATGTTATTTTAAGTCGAAGAAGAGATTTGAAATGGTTATCAACTACATTCATGTGTGTTATTTCCATGTTAGAACTATAGTAGTTTCGTATGCTGTACACGTTGACAGTCTCAAACTAATGACAGGGGGTGAAAGATAATGCCATTGTCTTGTCGAATTTCCTCACATACAGTACAAGCAAAGATTAATACTTCTGCTCTGAGAAAGTACAAAGGGAAAACTTTATATAAAAATTGATGCCACTGCCAAATTAGAATTAGGTACAGAAAAGTACAAGACTTAATGCTGTTCTGAGCTACAAAATATAAACAGTTTCAAGGAAAAACCTTATGATAGTTTGTTAGTCGTATACAAGACAAATATGATCAACTAAAAAGGATATTTGAACTTTTTTAGGTTCTCTCAAACATCTTTTAACTCTTATTTCTCTTTTCTTTAATCCTGTTCCATCTAATTTTAAAGCTAGCTCAACTTGGTCTTTTTTCTGCAATACAAAATTTAATAGTTAAATAAATATTTTAGTAGTTTGAAAGGGACTGTAAACAGTGGCGGAGCCAAAGGGGGCACGCCCCCTCGCAGCCTTGAAAGCAAGTTTTTGGGGCAAAAATCTCATAACTAGTTAAAAATTCGGACAATCTCGGATATTTTGCTCCCTCCTCGGACGTAAACCTGGCACCGCCACTGACTGTAAAGAGGTTTCTAAACTTTTTATCTGTATCACGGACAATGATAGCATAAATTTCAACCATTCGAGATGTCGCTGTTGCAAAAGCTGCTATTAATATCTAAAGTCCTTTGCAATAGTGACGTCTTTAAACAGTTAGTTTATGAAAGCTATATTATATGATATTAAACTAAGAATTATACACTTACTTTAAAAGCAACATAGCAGAAACCTTTACCAAGCCCTGTTTTATTGTCCCGAATAATTCTGACATTTTCAACTTCACCACAAACTTTAAATATTTCTCGTATATCTTCTTCTCCTATACCTACAATCAAAATATCATAATTATTATATTAGCTAGACACACTCTCAAAATGGATGTAAATTTTATGAACTAGTCGCAGATTGGCAGCTGATTTGCCTATTTGGTGTGCCTGTTCTTCCCAGATAGCTGCTGTTGATTTGGCTCTAGGGCAGCTCAATGTATGAAAATATCCAAGCCTCTGATGGACATTAAGAATAGCTGAACTATAGTGTGTCATTTAATTTTGTTCAAAGTGCAATATTTGCAAATAATAAATTAATTCAATAGTTTGCTCACTGTTATATCAACTGTTAGTCAAGCAACGATGTTTGAGCACATCCAAAACATTTCAAAACATGCACCCATGAGCAATCTCTTTTATTTTGTTGTTTAAGTATTAATGAAAACAATTTAAATCTGGATTATAAAGTTTCATTTTTGTACCTCAAAATAAAATAGGCTGCTTGTGTTTACGTTTTGAATCAAACCCCAAATATCTTTTTTACTTACCAAATGGTAGATTTCCAACAAAAATTGACTTGTTATGGTTGGCCTATAAATGTAACATATATTTATCAATAAATAAGAGATTAAAGCTTACACTGTGCTTCAGGCTTTGGTTTATCTTAGAAGTCAGTGATTCAGAATTTATAAAACTCTTTGATAATATCAAAATATCAACTGCCATTGTGTTCAAATTGTTCATTTGCATATCTGTAGATCCAGGACTTCTATCTAAAAGTTAATCTGATCAATCAAAGTGACTTCATTCCTCCTTGGGTGGGGCTTAACTGGGGGAGTTAACAACAGGTTATGTCTGTTCCAGGTGTCAATCAAACTGTGTGGAATTCCTACAAGCAGAACTAGCCAATCAAGCACTAGCATAGTTTCCAAGGTATTTGGTCAATAACTGTAACTCCAGTAAAAGTTTCTACCCACCTTTGGATTGGCTGTTGAAATATCAACGCGTAAATGATGTCCATCAATTTCTTTACCATTCCTTTTAAAACATAAAATATACAGATTAGGAGAACCTTTAAATTTTAAATCAGAAAAAAAACCAATATTTATACTTGTTTCATTTCTGGATACCAGTGTACTGGTTGAAAAGATGTTAGCTATCTGAAATTGGGATATATTAATAAAAACTAAATAATTTCATTTATTCAAATCAAGCAATTTAAATCTTCTCGTATAAGTATATGGTATACAAAACTTACATAAAAAGTGCTTTTTCTGCTGAAAACTCTTCTTTATAACAAACATAAGCTATCATATTATCTCGCTCAGGGTGGAACTCTTTTCTACAAAAGAAATATTTCTATATGAAAGCACTGGCTATTGTTATTTGGTACTACTTACTGCAAAATGTCTGCCATTGAAAGCAAATTCAAAGTGGGTTCGTGTATTTTATTCTAATATTTACAAAATTTCTGTTGCAATACTGAGCGGGAATCAAATGATGTTTCTTACAGCGTATGACTTTAAGGTTATTTGATATTACTTAGTAACGACTACGTCACCCACTAAACATCGTAGTTACGTGGCTGGTGGAAAAGAGTAATCAATGAAGAAAAGAAAAACTTACTTTATGACGGCAACACGTTTAGAAGTTGTCAAATCTTTAGTAGGCTGAAAATATACAGAACATCTTTGAAAGATTTAAGAAATACATCTAATAAAAAAGTAAATTTAGCTTATAACTGGAACACTAAAATCTTAAAGTTTTTTTTAGAAAATAATATTTGTTATTTTTGTAAAATTAGTTCTATATACTTACTGGACATCTAAACCGTAAACTCTCTACAGCACCATATTTACCAAATAACTTCTTTAATTTCTAAAAAGATACCACAGATTTTAATAAGCATTGGTTCCAAACCAAATTCCTAGTACTTCTTTGTTACTTATCTTTTTAAACCCAATTGACTGCATAAGAGCAATACAAGCCAGGTCATAGCGCAAGACAAGTTCAAATTTGGCAAAGGAGTCTGGGTGGATTTACAAATAATAACAGAAGAAAAAGACACTTCTTAAATTAGATCATACAGCTTTTACCTCTACTATGCTATCTTAAACAACATGTAATTTATTGTTGATTATTATAGCAAAATATGTAATTTTTGTTCAAGAGGCCTTTCGGTGATGTAACATTCAGAAAAGGGAATTCAGGAATATTTACTTACTGTTTTATGAGCTAATGATAATGGTAAATTGCCAATAAATATTGTTCTATGATCTTTACTGGTATCATGCTTTCTGGATTCTTTACTAGCCACTCTTCTAGCAGCTCCAGTTAGTTTACTCCAGTGTACTGGTTTTTCGGTCGAGTCCTCCCTACAAACAAAATTGTACTTTTAAAGAAATATTACCTGTAAAAATTAACATAAGATTAAATTGACAACCTCTGTCAATAAGAGTCAGATGTAAGTGATCATTGAATTCATTTCTGGAACTTTTTGGAAGTGTACACAGCAAAGCGTTTCTCGCTTCTTATCCGGAAAAATATGAATCTGCAACCCATTTCTATTTCCGGAAGTCTTACATCTCTGAAGAGTATATTTTCATCAGTGGTCTTCCCTGGTGTCATAGCTATACAACAGAATCTCTGTAACTGGGGTGGTGCTATCAGTGTCTTCTATACACATAAAACAGTTATATAAAAAAAAAATTCACGATCCCTTGAGCACTCTGTCATTATAAATATGATAATTGGTAACTACTTGTGACAATGTTTAAAACACCCTTGGATTAGTATATGAACACAATTTTATGGATAACAATTACTTTAATAAATAACGTTTCGACGATGATGCTTTCGTCTTTATCAAGCAATAATACAAAATAAAATACCCTTGGATGACATTCATCAGACATAGAGGGACTTGATTGGTTATTAAAGTCTAATCATTAACCCTTTTTGGCTTCTTGACAACAGCACTTACTCTCCTTCTGTTCCCAAGGTTTTAATTGACTCAGGTTCTTCAATTTCTTTTTCCTTAACTTTTTCTTTAAATTTTTCTTCATCTATCTTTTGTTTCTTCTTTTTTATTTCTTTCTCTTCTTCAATATGTCTTTTCTTTTTCACTGGTTTCTGAAATTAGAAAAATACTATACATGTTCATACAAGTTTAAATTTGGAAAAAAACTTATTTCGGAAAGCAAAGATTGAAAAAGTGAGATTAGACTTGCTTTGCCCCTAACCCCCTCTCAATTTTGTATCACTTTACATAGGGAAAGAAAAGCCTCAGAGCCACCCTCTACACTTCTGTAGCCCTTACCTGCCCCACCCCTACCTATTTACTTATAGAAAGGACACTGTACTTCACTAGCATACAATCCAATCAAATCGGTCATTTACAAACTTCCATGATACAAGAACGGTGACTATTGCAATCAATTTATAAGTAAGCTTACACTGTGAAGGTGATATTTCTTAAGACTGAACAGTTATATTACCTTTTCTTTTTCATTTATATTGACGTCAGGTTTCTTGACATTTTCTTTCTGTGGTTCTGGAGGTTTAGCTTTCACAGTGAAAAGAGCAGCTAACTTCTTATTTTCTTTCACTTTTGATTTGGACTTCGTTAAACCAGCCGCCACTTGACCAAGAACATAGTCTGTCATTTTGAACTATAACAAACAATCGAGAGTTAAATTTCAGTGGTAAATTTATTATAACCAAGAACTTACTCCTTTCCCTGTCTCATGACCCATATCATATATTAAAGGGACAGATGCCACACCTGTTCTTTTAAGCCTCAAAATATCCCCCAAAACCTAGACCTCAAAGCTCTTATAAGTTATAGTCAACTCTCTAGACACTTCCATTCAAAAAATTCTCAAATGTTCTTTACGCTAGGCTTTTTGCGTTTCTCAATTCCGCACCCATCCTCCTCAAAAAAAGAACATATCTACCAACATGAAGGTAAGGGGACAATTAATAGAAGACACAACAAGGGCATTCCATAATAATACAATATGACAGTATGAATTAATTAGGATCCTTGGTCATGAGGGGCCAGATCTCAAAAGAGAGTATTATTATTATTATTATTGTACTGGTCATGTCGCTGTATAATCTGCTATCAATGTCGTATCCAAAAGGACAGCAGGTAGGCACAAAGGTCGTTAGGATGCATCCTGATTACATTGACTTAAAAATAAAATACTTGAATAAGATTTTAGAGCAATAGGTGTAAAATAACGAATTGATTTCATAAAAAAGAAAATTTGTTTACGTTTTTCTGAAAGCATGGAGTAACGGGAGCTAACTATTGTTTAAATCTCGATCGTCCAGTCGCAGATTCAGACGTAAGACAACTCGTACCATTACAAGACAACTCAGACCACTTTTGATCAATCTCATTTGAAATTTTTTCAAGGCTTCTTAATGGAGAGGTGTTTAGTTTTCTTCCAATGTGACTTTTTAACTATCCCCAATGGAAAAACACCCAATAACGTTTTTCATAAAACATAAGCGGCCGATCCAGAGAAATGTCAAGTGGGATTTTCTTTACTTATGTAAAATAAGAGATTTGAAAGAGTGGGGAGAGACAAATCCAGGCCAGCTTTATTTCTGTGGACACTGCTTCCAGCAAAATCATCGTCCCCCATTGAACACGAGTAAATAGGCAAGACAGAGGTGGCTCCGTGAGTTAGATGCGTGATAAAAAAAAATGACGCAAAGAGGCCTCTATGCTCTATACGCTTGCTCACTAACTGCCTAATGCCTAATTTGGCTCTCAATTCTGGTGAAGTCTGTTACCCAACCCTCGACTAGGGGTGCAAAGTGGCACTATTTGATAATAAACAAAATACGAAAATTTTAATTATTTTATTACAACAAATAACAAAAATATAACAAAAGTCTCAAAAGAAGTTACAATATAGGCTTATATCTGGCCCGTAAAAAAATAAATATTTAAGCGATTGGGCAGTAGAATAAATCGCAGGATATGAAGATTTTGCATAAAGCAAGAACAAAAGCAGCTTGATGCCAATTTTGATTTTCCTTAATTAGTTGCGTTGTGTTGAGGGATGGGCTTGAATTCTCAACCCGGATATCAAATTATGCCCTACATATACACTGGAATGCGAGATATTCTATGAGGTAATTACATAGAAAGTAGGGCAATTATGTGGCATGAATAGAAGTAGGCCTATAGCAAAAAGGACTTAAATTGCTTACAGATTTCTCCACCCTTCTGAACAAAAGAAAAGTAGGGCAGTATAGAAAAAAAACATTTTTGACAAGGCTGACATTCATGTTAAGCAAAGTAGCCTACTGGAGGCAGGACAAAGTCGCTTTTATGAAAGTTGCACATAACCTCCCCTCGCCCTATCAATTTGCTTCTTCATAGCTTACGCATGTCACTAATTCGTTCCACACGTACGATGACTTGGAGAAATAAATAGTTGGAAAACAGTAGCTATTTACAAAAATTATCCCATAAGTTCATGTTTTTAAAGTTCAATAATTTTCTTCGGAATTAACTAACTATATTTTGACATGTTCCTCATTTTCGATTTTTGAACCATTCTTCTTGCTTGTTCCATGTGAATCTCGCCATCCTCAACTTCATATACGTCTTCACAATCACCAAATGTTGACATGGAGGCCATGGGCAGGGGTGGAGCACAAGCTTCATCATCGTCCTCGGAATCTCCTCCTTTGCTTCTGAACCTCATACTGTTCAAGAGACCCTTCTTCTTGGCCTTTTTCATGAAAGCCCCTGGAGCTGGGGCTGGTGCTTCTTTGTCATATATGGCATTTATGTCGCTTAGTTTGCTCATTCCTGACATCTTGTACGCAAAGCTACTCGGAGCTGCTAACTGGGTCTTATTTTGATGGAGTTGTTTTGACCTAGCACCCTTGGATTTGAAAAGTGCTTGGACTTTTGAAGTTACCGCTTCTTCATCTATGTCAATACCACCTTTCGCTTCCATTTCGGCTGTTACTTCTTTATTCACATCCTCCATCCATTTTTCAAGAGACATTTCCTCTTGGGCTCCCCCAATAATAATTTGAGTCAAAGATTTCGCACCAGTCAAGGGAACATACTGACCGCCAGTGATATACGCAATAGCAGTGAAAAATTCTTTGTAGGGGGTAATACTAGGTTCACAACCAACGGTATATAAAGTTATACCCTTTTGAGCCATAGATCTCACAACTTCCACCGGATCAATATTGTCTGGGCATCCGTTTGGGAATGAATCACCGGATCGATTGCTTAGTCCGTGAGGCGGAGCATCCGAAATCAAAATACAGATTTTCGTGGCCTCTTCTCTCCAACTGAGTTTTAAAACGTCGTGTAAAGCATCTGCAACGGCTTCTGGAGTATCGCCACCACCTGAAGCAGAACAACCATCCAACCATCCTTTCATCGTTTTCACTGACGGAGTAAAGTCGTGAGTCCTGGTTACATAAGTCTTGTCTTGAGGCGGATGATCTCGGTACTCAACCAAAGCTAGATGGATATCACTCTTTTCAGCAGCCACAATTTCCTCGACAATATTTCTGATATTGTCCTGGGCTGTTTTGATATACGAACTCATACTTCCCGTACAGTCCATAGCGAAAGCCAAATCCAAGGTAGTGGCATCATGCTTAGCTAATTGAGGTTGTTGAACGTTTGTCAAATCAGCAGCCATCTTGAGATTTTTATCGCACAATATATAACATAAACAGTGTCCCTTCTTACGTTAAAATTTATTTCTAATGAAATATTTTATCCTCTCACATATATATACTTTCCTAGTAGATCATACGTCATGGTCTAAAAATAGTAAACGACTCATAACATTGGCCACGCTGGTCGATATAAACAACCAAGTTATAGTAGGTTTCTATTTATAAGCAATTAGTATAATATACATTCATCGAAAGATTAAGGGAAGACGAAATGACCCAATCTTAATCGGGGTTGTCTTAACCCTGCTTTACAATGTACGAGTCCCATAGCCCATGGCCTACATATTCCATTATTCATAGTATATATTTGAGTACCATTTACTGCAGGTATAATACAATACAATATACACAATTGAAATCTATTTATCATGTAAAATGTTGCTTTTAGAATCCTTTTTGGTGACATTAAATGAAATGTGAAGCATTTCCTGTCTCTACTAGAGTCAGTTGCCTTCGTTCTTATCATATTGAACAAAAGAAAAATTTGGAAAATACAAGCGATTTTGTTTGGAAGGGGGGGTGGGGGCATTTCTAGGCTTATATTTTGTTTTTCGTCAATGTTATGGAATGCAATTGCAATTACTCAGATGTCTGAGAATCCTTGAATAAGTTTATTAAAATAGACACTGACACAGAAATCGCTTATCTGACAATTTTTCGAACTATTTCTACGTGTGGTGAAATACTTTATAAATGTATGGCGTATTGAACGCCTTGATAATACTTTAAATCACCTTGAATATCCAGACTTTCGAAAATATTTTTGAGAGAGATAAAAATGGACTATCATGATATTATAAGAGGCAATGACAATTGTTCAGGAGGTAAAATATAGGAACGTGTACGCATCTAGTCGGCGTAAGTGCGTAGATACGCTGACAGATATATAATCGTACTGGAGTATACGTCTGTATAACGTTTGGATACGTGCAACCTACTCCATAGTGTTTACCTGTTTACCTGTTATTTGGTCTATTGTAAGCAATAAGTTAGAGGTAGGCTATCGAAAAGGATAATGTATATATACATCTGCGTTTAACTCGGAGATATACCGGTAGGCCCTATACATAATTGTACTGTATTGTACGTACAACCTTTTGCATAGTGGTATTGAACAGGATAATGTAAATGCACGTCTGCGTTTCAGCGTATAAACTTGGAGATTTTATAATATCGCAACGTTCGGTCGGGTGACAATACGTGGTGTAGACTGTACATAATATGAACGCATACATACGTTTATAATATCCTACCTTCTTATCATTGGTATTCACGTATGATCTACACCACAGTAACGTATATACAACATACAATCTAAGCGGTGATATAAACAAAGGTGCTCGCATATCTATAGTGTAGCAAAGTGTAGCCTTTCCTGTGGACAAGTCAGTGCTTTCAGTGTAACTGTTTAGATTCCAGTCATGATGAACGAAACGCAACCGCCACTAGCTAACCATGATAGTGCGATTCTAGATCTGGCATTCGCAATGGATTGTACGGGAAGTATGACACAATATATCGACAATGCTCAAAGAAATATACGAAACATTGTCGAAACTATTGTGTCTGCCGAAAAGAGTGACATTCGTTTAGCTTTGGTTGAGTACCGAGATCATCCGCCTCAAGCCAAAACTTTTGTAACCAGGACTCACGACTTTACTCCATCAGTGAAAACGATGAAAGGATGGTTGAATCTTTGTTATGCTTCAGGTGGAGGCGATGCACCGGAAGCAGTAGCTGATGCCCTAAAGGAGGTGCTCAACTTGTCATGGAGACACGAAGCTACAAAAATATGTGTGCTTATTTCGGATGCTCCGCCCCATGGATTAGGAGATCATGACGACAAATTTCCCAACGGATGTCCCGAAGGGATCGATCCTATGCAAGTTGTCAGAGACATGGCTCAACATTGCATTACATTATATACCGTCGGATGTGAGCCAGCAATTAAACCATATAAAGAATTCTTTTCGGCCATAGCGTTTATGACGGGTGGACAATATGTGCCGTTAGCTGGTGCTAAAGCTTTAACGCAAGTTATTATCGGTGGGGCACAGGAGGAGATTTCTCTCGAAAAGTGGATGGCGGATGTTGACGAAGAAGTCCAAAAAGAGATGGACACAGCCGAAACCGAAGATATCGATATTGCTGTAGTTACGAGAAGAGTTTGTGAAGCTTTACGAGGAAGAGGCGCAAGAGGAAAACAACTTAAAAGAAATGCCCACGCCCTCAGTACAGCTAGCAATAAAGCCAAGAAATGGTCTTCATATACCCAGATCGCTGATGTCAGAAATGAATTTACACCAGAGGCTCCATCGTTTGGTATGGGAAGTGGCGTCTTTGGTGGTCGTGGCGGAAGAGGTTCACGTGGGGGTGGAAGAATGAGAAAATCTTCACGTGGACCCACAGACCGATCAAGAAGTCGTTCACGTGAGCGTAGAAGACGATCTAGAAGTCGTTCACGCGGACGTAGGGACCGATCAAGAAGTCGTTCACGCGGACGTAGCGACCGATCAAGAAGTCGTTCACGCGGACGTAGGGACCGATCAAGAAGTCGTTCACGATCTGGCTCACCAGCAATCACTGGAGAAAATGAAATGTTTACAGTCGAAGAGAATGCAATAGATTTAGGACAAGCTGAACGTTTAGTGCAACGGTCTGTAATGAGAAAAAGGGGTGGGCGAGGTAAACTTCAAACTAGATGAAACATTCCAGAAATCATGTACATAAATATAATACCTCGCCCGGTATTCTCGAAACGATCTTAGCGCTAGGATGGCCTATTTGCTTTATCTTCTAACATTGATTCTAGGACATCCTAGCCCTAAGATCGTTAGCTCCTATTGTAGGCAGGCAACATTATTTTAATGTTTTATATCCATTTAAATCTTGTTACATATCAATATAGCTAAATTATTCTATGTTTTATATACAATTTTAAGTACATTAAAGGGACAGATGTGCCATTTTTTTTACCAATCACACTTTATTCTCAGAAACGGGTTTTTTTTAAGCTAAGCCAATCAGTAATAGTTATCACCTTCGAAATTTTAGCCTTCAAATCCATGTGTGTCCAGAATTATCCGCGTTTGAATGTTTGACTCGTCAATCTAAGATACTCTGTGATATAAAGAAATTGAAATAGTGAGTAACATTCCCAGTTTGAAGTATTTATAAAGGAATAATGCAATTTTTCATACATTTCTAGTACTTCTGAAGACTATTATAAATTTAAGACTGAAATCATCCACACCAAATGCCGCATCTGTACCTTTAATATCACTGTATGTGATAGATATACTTTAACATTTACATACATTACGTAACATGACCTTGTTTATATAAAAACCATAAATCTCAGGGTCTCTATTATTTGAAGGTGTTTGGTGAGAATGGACGAGATATGGTGTCTGGTGTGTGAGATTATCGAAACTGTAGGTAATAAAAGGACCGATCGTTGGATATATATATGTAATGTTATCGATGTTGTTGGAAGATTATTCAGACTCATTGATTAATTGTAATGAACTCGTTTGATTGATATTTATTATCATATTGAATTGATCTTACTATATTTGGTAAAGTTGTGATATTATATTTATATGCTGCTATTATTTGTGTGATTGTAAATAAATTTGTATTACTTCAAATGGTCTGTTCTTATTAATTCTTATCAAAGCTATTTCCCTATGCAGTTTCGAGAGGTTTGGATTGAAAAAGCGCTTATGGGTTCGGTTGGAGAGATATGATTTGGTCCGGCATGGTTCATCTTCACAATGTCAAGCTATCACGAACTTCTACTGATATAAAGCAGGAGTTCGAAATACCTTGGCATCGTGAAGATAGTTACGCACATGTGATAAAATTGCAAAAATTACCCTCATTGCACACTACATAGATTTTACTGTATTCATTAGTCCATTCAGGTGCAGAAATACGGATGTAAATTCCATTCCATTTTATTTCACGTTGTCTTGCTTCGATCTCTGGTTATAAGAAATTACTGTGGTCTAAGTTTCCATATAATCTAAATTAAATGGAGTTACCTACCTTAGATCGTATTTTGATTTAACGAACAGTGACAAGCACCTGTCAATCATGATACATTCATCTGCGCATGTCCGGAACTAAATGATCAGACTGAAATCGAAATAAACCAAGATGGAATGATCGGATTAAAAGTAAATTTTTAAAGTTTATGGCCACTCACTCGAAGTAAAAAGAGATGATGTCGGCAGAAATACTTCGTAGAAACCCTCAGGACGACTTTGAGTTGATTCAGAGGGTTGGAAGTGGTACATATGGCGATGTTTATAAGGTAAGAGTTGATACCTTTTTTTACCAATCCACTCCTCATCTTTGCATTTTTCATAACAAACTTGGTTGAGTCACAGCTGAATATAAGTCTGGGCCTGTATAGATATGTATAGACTAAAATTATCAGTTGGTTGGAGATCAAATATCAGATGTATTGGGCTATGAAATATTTATTGACAGTGTCAAAGATGTCTACTGTCTAATAAAATTAAAATTGATGAAGTATGTAAGACAACCAACAAAGTCATTTTTGTCTTAAGTCTTAGTCTTACGATAGCAAATTTAATTCAAGTGCCCAAATAGCTTGTACCAAGTAACAATACATCTTCTGTGATCAAAAAGTCTAAGTGACATTGGTTTTTGTAGTGTTCAACTGCACTTCTTCACACTACACTACACCAAAAAAACTATTGTAGTATTTAAACAACACTCACAATAACTGGCCTAACTTAATACATTTATAGTTACTGTTTGAAAAGCTTATCTGTGCTATCAAAACAGACAAATGTTGGATCAAAAGTGTTGAATTCAATGCTTTGGTGTAATGCATTAAGATATTTATCAGCAATGCAAACTTACAACAGCCAAAAGATTACGGTATTATTGAATGCTATTATAAAAGCTGAGGCAATGTCATTTTGAATGGTAAAAGCTGATCTTCTTTGGCTTGAATGTTATGGACCATCCCTGATAATTAAAATACTTATTATTGATCGCAAAATAATGAGACAGCCTTCACCAGTTTTTGCTGTAGATGCCACACTAGGTCAAATTGGCTTCCAACATATTTGAAAAGAAATTGTTGTACTACAATGGTCATAAATTCGAGAGCTGTAACATTACGGATTGTTTCAAATGAATAAGCTTAAGGTTATAGTGTCAATTCCTAGTAATAACTAATATTTTATTCCTTATCTTTATAAAAAAAAATATTTACTGAATTGAATTTTAGCAATCATTTTCGTATGAATTTTGAATATCAACTACAAAATACTACTGAGAATATTGGATTGTCTTTGGATCAAATGTAAAATCACTGAATCTTATATTTTTATGGACCCAAAGACATTCTAAGACAAAATACAGTTGAAAATTTGAATATTTATGAAATAAGAGATATAATTCAATTGAAAGTCAATGTAGTCAGAGAGTAGGTCATGTCATTGAATTAATTGACACATAATTTAGTTAACATTGAGAATGATAAAACATATAAGTACAAGTTAAAGATGTGACTGGTTAGATGTAAGGGTCAAGACTGGTATGAACTTCGCTTCACTCATGATATCAATTAATCTATATTAGACATATTTGATTGATGATAATTGACTTGTGATTTTAGTCTTTATTTCGGCAGTTTGATTTTGTTATGAAATAGAATTTTGAATCCAATTTGATACATTAGCTTACTAAATTCAATAACAAAGATTTCTACGAGAAAAACCACCTTCCAAGCAAGAATAATAGGCAAAATTGCCCAGAGTCTTAATCTTTCCGAGATTATCCATTATCCACTGGATCCTAATGCAGATGTAAGATAATCAGTCACAAAATGTCATCAGGTGTTCTTAAAGGGTGACAGTGAGCACGAAGAGGATTACCACAATGCTTATGTACTTAGATTGTAGTAGTATATTAGATATAACTGTAAGAATTAATCCTGCCTGCCAGCAATGTCATTGAATGTAATTTTAATAGCAAAATAACATTATTCAGTCTCTTATCCTAAGGTTATTTAATCTTACTTAAAATTCAAATACATGTAGTACAAAACTAGATCCCTAGAACTAGATCTACAACAATTTCAAATATATTTTCTGTAATCTGATATTTTTGGTATTGTTGTCTATGGTTAGTATAGACTATCTATGTTTTAAATCTTTTCCTTTCTTTTTAGAGACTTTTTCTATGTTTTAGTTTATCCTGGCCAGAAATTCTGTTGCATAGTGACATGAGGTTTGTAGAAGTGTCAGCATACCTTGCCATTCTACTGCAGCTCAAATTACCAGTGAGCAACCTTGAGATCTTGTAACATTGATCTCACTAATTAACAGAAAACACAAGGGAATATTATTATGGTCTATGGTATAACACTTCTTTAATAACAAAGTACATAATGTTTCAACACAATTTAGATGTGTCTTCATCCGATGAAATGTTGTTAAAATCTTATAGAAATCACCAATTCTTTATATTCATTGAAGATTTCTCGAGAAATTTCTTAAGTCTCACTGATTTAGTTTCCACCAACAAAAATCAATATCGTAAAGGATTGATAATGGAGGAGGATTTCTAATCATCAGACTGGATTTTAATTTTTTGCCTCACTGTTTACATTTGATTGAAATTAATCAAGTTCTACATCCTGTTTTGTATCTCATTTGAATGATTGAATGACATGGAGTTTTACATCCAAATATTAGCGCTTTAGGCAAATGAATGGAGAGATATGGTTGTATGCTGCTGTGTACTGCTCTTTATATGGCTTCAGGAATGCATTGAATCTAAAGTCCTACTGCTCTGTCCCTTAACTGACTTCTGAATATGAAATTTCCTAATTTTTTGCTCCTATTGTTGAAATTGCTGGAAGAGTCTTGCACGCTAAAGTCCAACGCCTTATTTGTCTAAAACTAGCGACGTCTTGGCATGTGCAATGAGGGAAATTTATCATAATAGTGATGACCAATCAGTCTGTAGGCTTATATAACCCAATGACAAAGCTAAAAGGAAATAGTTTAAAGAAAGTGGACATTCATTGAGATTTGAAAATGAATCAAACATCCTGAAGGGTTCATTGAGTTCAAGGTATTAGACGCAGTTTGACATTGTGAAGATGAGGAAGGTATTTGACAATAATAATATATATATTGGCCAGATTCAATTGATGACGATAATTGGTCACTCGTTAGTCATCATTAGGTCTATTATTAATTGATATTATTCATTGATATATTGAAACAATCATGACCAGCTGATTTATATCTTCAAGTAATTAATTAAGAGGGCTCTTGGAAGGATTGTCAAGAAGTTTTCTTTATGATATTATCACTCCAAATTCCTTTTATATAAGCTACAATGTCTACAAATTTTGAATTTCAGATAGTCTCAACTGGGTTTGGCATCATTCCTACTTTGGCCAAGATATAGATTCCAACTTCAGAAGGGACACAGGCTCAAAGTGGGTCTGTTGTCTGCAAATGTTGAATTTTCCATAGTCTCAACTGGGTTTGACATCTCAATTCTGTAATTATTTGAGGAAATATTTGTACATCATTCTAACTTGGGTTTTTACAAGATTCTTTGCTGGATTTTCACACTTTTTGTGTACAAAATTTTTTATTTCATTTATGGAATTTCATTAAATTTTTCAATTTTCATTTATTTAAACATTCCACCAAGATTGTGACAGGTTAATGGAAATATTGGTAGCTTTAAGTTTAACATTGAATTGCTTTTATGAAATATTAAATCATATCATATCATATCTTCTTGTAGCAAATAGGGCCTCATTATAAGTCGTTATCCAATTTACTCAAACAGATATAAAACATAACAACAAGTTGTGCATAGCTATAATGTCATGTTATCTCATTGCCTAGTTTTTTGGCTACTTAAACTTCGACTTCCTATTGTACAGTTAACATCTCATATTACAGCTTATTAAAAAGAAAGTTCATTGTAATAATTTACATATGTAATGTTCTCAATTACTAGACTAGTTTGTACTTATAACTACAGAAGTCATAGTTCTAGATCCTTGTTCTCGTTTACATTTTTAGATAAAATCAAATCAAAACAACTAATAATTTTCCTACTGTTGTTCTCAAAAGATTTTCCTTTTTTGATCAAATTTATAATTAGATTTATGCCTCACTTCTGTCTCAAAAGGATATTGTCTTCTTGATATTTACAGTAAAAGCTGATAGATTTTATTGCTTGAATATTGGCCAATTTGATATTACTAAATGTACACAAACAACATGAGAGTAATACAGTAAATCGATGTACTAGTATCTGTTCTCTTGTTGGCTAGGTATCAAGTGTTATGATACACCAGTACATACCATAAGATATTTCAAATACCACAAGTCCACATTCTATATGTTTATATACAATTCATGTTTATTGTTATTGCTCAGTCTTGGCTGAAGTAAAGTCACATCAATTTTAAAGATCCACTTTGATGGAAAATTATAGACTCTTTATTGAATACCCATGTCCTTCATCCTGTTGACAAATAGTTTGATTCAGACAAATTATAGGGCATTCTCTATAGTATATTAGTTTTCTAAATGTACACAGTCATACTGTTTGGGGTGAAGGGGAGGGGGCATATTTGACAAATGAATCGTGAGCCTTGAAGTACATTTATTTAAGCACCAGTACGGTATTATTAAATCAATCAAGTGTTCTTATTCCTTGAATATAGCCAGACATAAGAACTTTGCCCTATAACCTACTCTATAAATATTCAGTGCCTTATGAATAAGCCTATATTTTTTTTTAAATTTCTTACAGGCTAAAGACCTAAGCAGTGGAGAACTAGCTGCTATTAAAGTCATCAAATTAGAGCCAGGTAAGCTTCTACTACTCTTAAATCTGACAATGAGCTGTTTAAACTGGTGTATACACTGGCATTATAGTGATTCCTGGCATAAAAAGAACCAATTTGACGATGTGCAAGGCTGGATATAATTTGGCGGGCAACATAAAACACCCCTAATTTTAAATGGGCTCTTCCAATCATACATCATCAGTCATACAGTATGCTATTGATAGAAAGTATGCATGTGTAGAAGAGTTCAATAGAAATTTAAGATGTGTCAAGTAGATGACTGGCACTCTATATCATGCCTTGGCAACCTTCTTGCAGAGAGCATCTTAGAGAACTAATTTGTGTTCTTTGTGGTAAATTGATGTCTCTTTGACTATCTCAATAGGCCATGATTTTTTATAATAATGACTGCCAATAGGGAACAGCAAGGACCGACCGATGCATGAGAATCTTGACATCTCTTTCTTTTACTGACTGATGGTGGTGTTTGTTTATCTCAGTAAGAAGCTTATGATTATTTATAATGATGATATTTTGTCAGGTGATGATTTCGCTGTCATTCAACAAGAGATTATTATGATGAAAGATTGTAAAAATGAGAACATTGTAGCTTACTATGGTAGTTATTTAAGGTAATTATTTCTTCATATTGCACCGCTTTTAAAGGTTATTCCCACCTGGTTTCCCCTGTCACTAAAAATCATCTTGTTGTTCAGATGGAACAATAAACCATGGCCCTGTGTGGCACAGGCTGTGCACATTAAAGATCCTTCGATCCCAGCTATTTCCGCTGTCCTGGCAAACTTTCCCTTGTAGCACACTGCATGGCATTGTTTGAATAAAATGAAACAGTGTTTTTTGAATTTATTGATGTGGGATGTGGTTTAAACAATATGGAATATTTATATTTAATAACTGTGTAATATCTGTAATTTAGGAGAGATAAACTATGATAGCTATAGAATATTTATATATAATAACTGTGTAATATCTGTATTGTAGGAGAGATAAACTATGGATAGCTATAGAATATCTATATATAATAACTGTGTAATATCTGTATTGTAGGAGAGATAAACTATGGATAGCTATAGAATATTTATATATAATAACTGTGTAATATTTGTATTGTAGGAGAGATAAACTATGGATAGCTATAGAATATTTATATATAATAACTGTGTAATATTTGTATTGTAGGAGAGATAAACTATGGATAGCTATAGAATATTTATATATAATAACTGTGTAATATCTGTATTGTAGGAGAGATAAACTATGGATAGCTATAGAATATCTATATATAATAACTGTGTAATATTTGTATTGTAGGAGAGATAAACTATGATAGCTATAGAATATTTATATATAATAACTGTGTAATATCTGTATTGTAGGAGAGATAAACTATGGATAGCTATAGAATATTTATATATAATAACTGTGTAATATTTGTATTGTAGGAGAGATAAACTATGATAGCTATAAAATATCTATATATAATAACTGTGTAATATTTGTATTGTAGGAGGGATAAACTATGAATAGCTATAGAATATCTATATATAATAACTGTGTAATATTTGTATTGTAGGAGAGATAAACTATGATAGCTATAGAATATCTATATATAATAACTGTGTAATATTTGTATTGTAGGAGAGATAAACTATGGATAGCTATAGAATATTTATATATAATAACTGTGTAATATTTGTATTGTAGGAGAGATAAACTATGGATAGCTATAGAATATCTATATATAATAACTGTGTAATATTTGTATTGTAGGAGAGATAAACTATGATAGCTATAGAATATTTATATATAATAACTGTGTAATATCTGTATTGTAGGAGAGATAAACTATGGATAGCTATAGAATATTTATATATAATAACTGTGTAATATTTGTATTGTAGGAGAGATAAACTATGGATAGCTATGGAATATTGTGGTGGAGGGTCTATGCAAGATATTTATCATAGTAAGTATCTTTATTGAAATATCAGTTAGGTTTGTATTACTATGACTACTGGTAACTGAGCATAATCAAAACACGGTGGGAATTCCTGCAATATGTTTATGAGTTTATGAGTACGATACCGGTAGTCCCTACTTGTGACCTAGGCCAGTGCTTCTAAAAGAGCGTTTCTCTCATAAAACCGGTACCCAAAACGTTTTTTAAAGAAACAAGACAGGGAAAGTACAGCCAAAGGATATATGTTTGAAGCATAACTCCAACTTGTCCATTTTTTACATCCAGACAGTGTAGGGTGCATATTATTTACAAATTATCTAGAATTACTTGAGAAAGGTGCGCGTTCTATTCACAATTATATGGTATAAGAAGATTAAGGTTGTGATAATAGACAGTCAACAAACAATAACAGTTTAAACCTTGTATTGCCCAGAAACAATGTAGAAATACTTGTTTTTTCAGTAACTGGACCATTACAAGAACCACAGATTGCCTTTCTGTGTCGGGAAACATTGAAAGGTTTATTATATCTACATAGAAAGGGAAAGATGCATAGAGATATTAAGGTTTGTTTTTATAGCTTTAGAAATTCGATTGATGGCAATGCTTCAATTCATGTATTTTTCAAAACTCAATAGGGAACAGTTATCATAGATTTTATTATCTGACATTTTTTTTTCTCTATGAACTATGATAAATGAGTTATAAATTCAAGTATTGGAGTAACCTTTTAGAATCTAATTGGCAATTCTCTTTGATATTACAGGGTGCTAATATATTATTAACAGATGAAGGAGATGTTAAATTAGGTAGGTTTATTATAGTCTAAGTTTAAAGGGGGTAATGTTAAGGGGTTGTGGAGGGCCTTATGACTCGTGAATGCACGTGGATGCTCTAAAAGGCATGTTGAAGCTTTTAATGCTGAGTTGTAAAACCCAGTAGTAGATTTGCATCAGTTGTCATAGACGAGTGGTTCTGTTTCATTTCACAAGTGAAACCCTCCTTAAAACTTTTATCTTTATCTTAGCTCTATATAATTTTTAGGCTTGCTTAATGTCATAATATTTTCATTTCATTTAGTTTGTTCTGTAGTGTTTTTTTTGTATAATAACTTGTAAAGTAGATCAGTAAAATCTTATAAAGCATTGTAATTATGATATTGAAGATCCTCACAATTTGAATGAAAGATATATTTATATTTATCTTTGTCTTACAGCTGATTTTGGTGTATCTGCTCAAATAACAGCTACAATGTGTAAAAGAAAATCTTTTATTGGTACTCCATATTGGTAAGTAATTAATAGAGAATAGAAAATACAGTATCTGACTGTAAATTTTGTACTTGCACCTCCTAGAGCTTAGGTTGGCCCAGGTTTGTCTGGTGTTGTAAGCCCCCGTTTACAATTTTATGGCCCCCATTGCCCCCCACCGATTGTTTCATAAAAATGGCACTGGAGAAGCCCCATTGGTTGTTTGAATTGCACAAAAAACAATGTACCAATTTGTAATAAATTTTGAAACGCTGTCTTGTAATTTCAGGATGGCGCCAGAAGTAGCAGCAGTAGAAAGAAAGGGAGGTTATAATCAACAATGTGATATTTGGGCTGTGGGTATTACAGCTATAGAATTCGCTGAGTTACAACCTCCGATGTTTGATCTCCATCCTATGAGGTGAGTATCCAACCTGAATTTAGCCCCTTTTGGACCCAAGAGCTCTTTCTGAAGTACCCCTGTGGCATCATCATCGTATGATCAAATGCACAAAACTTCTGAATATTTTTTATTTCTTATATGATAAGGTTGTTTTGATTGGTTGATATTTATTGCCTCATACGAAGCTATTTGGATAAAGTGAGTCATGGTCCCATCCCGTCTATTTATTCATGAGAAACACAGAAACTGTGTAAGATACTTGTAAACAGTGCTCAGAAAGTACACTTTCAGCACCTGTTACCTGTGCCTAATGATATAATTTTTATTTCAGAGCATTATTTTTAATGTCCAAAAGTGGTTTTAAACCTCCACAGCTCAAAGATAAAAATAAATGGTGAGTCATTTCATTGTCACCCTTCTTCTGTACAGATATTACTATGGGATAGAGTAAAGCGTTGATTTGTATTACTCATTGCCTTGAGGAAAAAGAATGTTCAAGGCAGTAGCCAATAACTTATTGTCTTCATAAATTTGTGAAAAGTTTTCTCCTTGAAACTACGGCCATCAAAATTTTTGATGCAACTCAACTTGGGGCTTTGTGGTTATGTGTGTGGTATATAACTATATAAAGTGTTATGATAAATCCTTCAATGGTCTTGTTGTTTTTTAGGTCACCCATGTTACAGCATTTTGTAAAGGTTGCCTTAACGAAAAACCCAAAGAAAAGACCGTCAGCAGATAAATTATTAGAGGTAACATTTTGTATATTTTTATGCCTACATGAAATGCATGTCCACCATGAATTTCTTGTAATACTTCACAAGGCACAATTCTTGACTCATAAGTTCAGGCAATTAGCTACAAATGGCTACACACATAGATAATAGTTTTCTTTGCGGATTTGCTGATTCACCATCATACAATACAATCGCTGTATTTACAAATTTGTGTGATAAGAAAAAAAGCAAGAAAGTGCCTAATAATTTATAAGCCAGAGTTCATAATACCTTTACTTTGGTACGCCATCAGTGTATGGCAGCCACAGCACACAGCTTCGAAAGTATTGACTACCTTGACATTGTAAAGATGTAAATTGACTGGTATATTGATGAAATGATGAGCTGTGTATTTATTTCAGCACCCGTTTTTACAAGCTGAATTATCACGAAGATTAACAAAAGATTTATTAGAGAAATCGCGGAACCCAACACAACAATATGAAATATTGGAAGCAGATGATGAGGGCGTACGTTTATTTTGTTATTTTCCAAAATTTCTTCTGCAAATATGAGGCCAAATGAGCAATATGAAAATTTTGTCTGCAATGAAAGTATTTGATAAATTCATTTTGATTTGGCTATTTCCTCAGATTATTGTCTGCTAATATCACTGTTATCAAGACTGATAATGGCTCATAATATCTAGGAACCTTTGTGAAAACACAAAACACTTAATTCAGTGGAATTGCAAGACCCACAGACGTTCAAACTGCTGCTAACGGAGTTACAGACACATAAAAGTAAAGACAAAATCTGTTTACAATCCCTTTAAATCTATGATATTATTGTTACAGCAACTTCAAGATGTACCTCGTAGAATACCATCAGGTAAATCAGCACGCCAGTCACAAGCTACCAATAGTATAGAATTAACAGGTAATTATTCTAATTGTTAATTACAGGGCTGTTCATTTAGACAGACATTTTTACAATTAATCAAGATCTTGTAGCCTGCAGAATTTCAATGATAATGCATGAAAATTTCAAAATCTAGAAATTAACATAGAAAATATCTAAACATGGTTGATAATTTTTGTCATGCATGAAAAATAGCTTGTGTAGAGGTAACTAAGACACCAGCGTAGAGCTAAATTTTTCTGATGCCACCGCTGAAAGTTAGACAGGACCATGTCCTTGTGTAATGGGCCTAATTCTGACCCATGTAAAATAAAGAGTTTAATATTATTATGAGCCCTAGATGTGGATGTGGGATATGAAGAAAAATGAATTTTTAGAAATAGTAATAATGAATCTTTTCTCTTTTTTTCAGTGAATATGAATTTTAAGTCGCCCAAGGTATGTTGATATTTTTTACGATTCGTTTTTTACGAGTTTATGTTTTCTCATAATAATATCTCATAGATCATAGACAGGGATGCAGTAATACTAATTTAGTTTTTAGTATTTTAACTACAATGTGTACTCTGTGAAATCCTATTGGCCCGTAAGAGATTTTTCAGAAAATAAGGAATATTGTATTACTCAAAGTGCTTTTAAGAAGAAAATAAATCGAGACTCATAAAAGCGACAGTTCTTTGGACGTTAAAGAATTAAGGATAACTTTGCTGATTGTGAAAACAACATAAACTTTATTCTCAACCGGAAGTCAGACAGGAATAATGAGTCAATTATATGGAGAGCAATATCACACAAAAGTATAATATATATGGAAAGAAAAAATAGAAATAATAACATAGTGCTGAAGGAATTCACAGAGGACACTTTATTTTTACAATGCACTCTTCACTAATATATCAGTTTTCAATATAATTCGACGGTACACATGAACATGAGGGTTAAAATTCAAAGAAAAAAACTTATGCCGAAAAAGCATATTTTTTATATTTAAATAGAACAGTAGTTAAATCAATTTGTTATTTATTCTCTTTCTTATTTTTAATTTTTAAGCTTGAATAGTAGGGTCTACTGCTTAATTGTTTTTGAGCAAACATTGAAAATAACAGTATTTAATTATTTTTTCATTCATTTAGTAGTATTGTTTGACTATGAAACTTATAAATACTTAGTTTTTAATGGCAATTGAATTAAACTGAAAAAAAAAACAGTATTCAATACTGTTCTCATCCTAGAATTTATACTTGTTTACATTTTGAGACTGAATTTGATCTTGCATATAACATTTCTTTGATGTTTTCAAAAGGGCCGTGGAACTAGAATCATCTTGTATTATCCTACTTTTAGTATCCAAAATGACACAAGTTTTTTTCGCAAAAACACCATAAAGTATTCCTGCACCCCTGTCATCATCATATCATAGATATTGTTTTATATTTTATACAGGGCGCTGCAGGTTATGAATTTGCTCAACCTTGGCATTCCACAGATGAAGATCAAAATGTAGGTTCTCTGTTTAACAGTGCAGGTGCTTGCTTTGCTTACCTGTAGGTTCAAAATCATCATTTGTTTAAACAGAACACATCAATTCAGTTTAATTATCAATGAGAAAAAGTATTACTTGTCCAACTTCAGTAAGAATGCAGGAGGCTGTAAAATTTCAGTTGTGTGAAGATGGCATTACTTGAAACTCGGAGTAACAACATGTTTCAGGTTCTATGTTAATATTTCTATGATTATGACATTTCTATTTCTGTAGGACCGTTATAATACAGCTAAAGCCTGGCCAGAAGATGATCTCTCTCACAAGTAAGATTTGACTCAAATTACTTATTTTATTGGAATCTTGGTTGATATTTATGTTCATGTGGAACTTATGAAACAAATTGTCATCCAAATACTTGCTTTTCCAGTGGGTAGAGCTCCATTTCAGCTGTCCATCGATTGTAGAGAAATTTTATTAATTAGAAACCTACAAATATAACTTATGGTGTCATCTCTAAAATATTTACAGAAATGTGGGTGTGTTTTTGATACTGATGTCTGAAATTGAGCTATATCAGCTGGTAAAACCAAAATGTAGACAATTTATCTGTTTCTATGTTACCTACTTGTTTGTTAGTTTCTGGCTTTGTTTTGAAAATTCCCAGAAGAACATAATTATCAAATGACTAGTTTATAACAGGAAATGTATATGACTGGTTTGAGTAGCGTCAAATTTGATTAAATTTGGCTATTAACTAGAGCTTAAAAATATTTGAATTCTTCTTATGTAAATTTCCAATTCCTATAAAATTAATCATGAATTTTGGTTTAGAATTTCTGTTTTAACAAAATGTATATGGGTAAAGTCTTTGAATGGCATTTAGTAATTGTGAGTACGATATATAGACACAGCTTTATGGAACAACAATCACTGAGGACGACGGGGGAAACACGTCGAAACGTAACATAAAACTTTAACCATTGATTGTTGTTCCATAAAACTATGTCTATACAATGTATATGAGTAGTTTTCTATAACTATTCTAAATATTCAATCCTGAATTTAGGTTTAAATATTTCTGTTTTCCAGTCATGTACGTTTCTTGTCTGCTGATGTTTAATATTGAATGTTTAAATGATTATTTTAATAATAAAATAAAACACTAAAGTTTGTTACCAGTAATTTTGGATTTTCTGCCTTGTAACTTCTTTTTAGAGAAATTCTAGGATTTTTGAGGCATTCTGTATGATATATTTGTATATTAAATAATCTAATATTATAACTTGTAACTGAGAAGTTTGCTAGTCTAATTCAGATTATACCAAACTTTCGTTCTGTATCTTTATTAGCTCATATTTTTGATATTTTGATATAGCCACTTCAGTCAGGGTCTAACGACAGCCCTTTTGATTGTGCCTCAAATTAACCTTTTGATACAACTCAATGACGTCTGCTTTAACCAATCAAATTTCTGCCCTCTCCAGCACTGGTATAATGTGATGCAGTGGTTATCAGATTAGGTCAAAAGTTTATTTTGATATATGTTTGAGAGGGCTGTCTTAAGACCCTAACTGAAGTGGCTATATTAATAATAAAAGCTAATAAAAACGGACTGGATGGTCTAATATAAATTAAACTGAATTTGCATGCTGTATTTTGATATAGATATAGAAGTTTTGGGTTGTCTTAGTATATATAGTTCTTGTAATATTCCCAGAGTCCTAACCAGAGTTGTACCTAGTAATTGTCTTGGCGTTCGATTGGACAGTTCTGAACAGGTTCCATCAGTTTCAGTTCTTGTTAAAAATTTCCCCATTTATTTCCTTCTCCTCCATTTTGAATTCTGCTTGCACCAACTTTTTTCTGAACTGTTCCAACTTGTTTTATTCAACGTCCAGTTGTTTCCATGAGTGCAGAACTGACCAATCGAGCGATCCCCTAATTATTGCATGTTCACTTCAACTTTTTGTGTTTTTTCTGCATGGTTATTTCTTTATATTGACCAATATTCTTACTCCCATTCTTTAGACGCAGAATATAGATTTTTCTCTGAACTTAAATGGAAACAAATATGACTTTTCTGTTTATAGTTACATATCATATTAATGTTTTTTTTTTTTAAATCTACATCTTAGTTCAGTTTTCAAGAATAAGATTCTGTTGGCTTAGACAATGGTCACTTTTGCCAAAACTCATTTATTTTCTAACCCATGGTCATAAATTATTTACTTTTTGATTAAAATAAGTTACATTAGCAATATGAATGGACAGATGTCTTAAACTCTACTACTTTCTGTTTCTATAATCTCTAGTGAATATAGTTTTGGTGGTAGTTGAGTTCTAATCTATCTTAATTTAAAAATTTACATTTCTTTTCTTTATCTGAATATAATCATTTTATCTTCTGTTATCTTAATTTTATTATTTAATCTTAATTTCCTTAACTTTTCACTACCTATAATCTATTGCACATTCTTTTAAGTTTTATTTATTTTTTATGTAATTTATGTTTTTGTTATCACAGATCCCTTTTAGAGTCTGTAGATGAAGAATTATTACAAAGGTATGAACCATGTTCACCATTCTGTTAGTAGGGGCAGATAACTCTGTATTGACATCTCATTCTAACACATCACCAATTCACCATCACATTATCATAGTCCAACACATCTTCACAATGTCAAGCTACGAACTTCGTACTTATACCTTAACTGCACTAGTTCCTGTTTTTGTATCACGGAAGTTTGTAAATGAAGTTATTTGATTGGATTGTACGTCAGGGAATACAGCCAATCAAGATCCTTGACAGAAAGGCTATAAGCATTAAGGCATCGTGTTCACAGACTTTCTGTCAAGGCCTCTGATTGGCTGTATTCGCCAACAAACGAATCAAACCACTTTTTTTTTAAACTTTCGTGATACAGGAAAGGTGGCTATTGCAGTCAAGGTATAAATACGAAGTTTGTAAAACTTGACATTGTAAAGATGAGTCCAGCAAAGATGAAGTCAAGTTAAGATGTTTGTATCATCCAGGTCAGATTCAAAATATAAACACTAACACAGTCCTGTCTATTTTATTGCATGTAAAGATTGCAATATATAGTTAAAGGGGAACAGTCGGTATTTTCGGGGATTGAAATGGGTCTTTATTGTGCTAAAGTATTAAATCACACGTTAATCGCATAATCCCTTCAAATATACTTCAAACTAGAAATTTCAACGTCTATTTCTATATATGTGTTTTCTATATATGGCATAGTCTCACTAAAATTTGAGTCGAATTTTTAACTTTCAAACATGAATAATTATAGTTACACATGGATTTGAAGGCTCAAATTTCGACGAGCTGTGAACACTATTACTGATTATGTAAGCTAAAATAATTCCTGTTTCTGAAACTAAGGTATGATTGGTCAAACAGATAGAGAAGGTTCTCCTTAAAGATAAGATATTGCAGAAAAGTAGGACGTAAAACTCCATTCATTTCATTTCATTTAAAGATAAGATATATAATTATGCACACCTGGGTCCTTTTGGCAACATTAACACGTGCAGACCACTTTGTTATATGGTAGATAAGATAACTTTTTCTTCTACCTTAACATAAAATGGATGGTTTATGTTTATTTTATATTATCAGATTCAAATTTTCATAAATATCTTAGCTTAATTGTCATTCAGATTACAATTTATAACTCAAAATAGAATGGACTGCATTTGTGTATGTTTTGAATTGTTCTGGATGTACTAATCATCTGACTTTTTGAGGTTTTTGTTAAAACACTAGTTCTAGTAAACACATCTAGCATGTAATGTATTTTTTGAAACTTGGCATATATTTTATTAATCCTAAACTTTTTAATTAATTAATGAAAGAGTTATTGAATTTAATACATATTTTTAGAGTTGCCCATTTAGTTTATTTTCTAATAATTTTATAAACTTTGAATATGGAGGTTAACTATTTAATTTAATTATCTTTAGGTTTTATGATGCGAAGTAAGTAAACTGAAAACAAACACAATATATATTATAGTACTATATATAGAGGATAATCTACCTACCAAATCTATATCTTACACCCATCTTTAACATTTCTTATATAATCTTATTTTAAACTGAATTCTCTCTCAGTGATTGAGAATGGAGGAGCTGACAATGACAAAGTGTCTTCTCCTTTCAATGGAAAATAATCTGTGACCTTGTGTGCTAGAGGCTCTGTATGTAAAATCTCTTGACAGTAGACATCAACAAAGTGTCTGCAAATGCCACTGTCCTGGCACAAATATACCCCATAACATGGTGTTACATGTCTGTATTAGGTGTACAACTCCTTCTATTTCATTCATACATTCTAAGTAAGACCCTTTTTTGCGCTATTTGCAGCAGAGACATAAAACAAATAAATTTTTCGTGTAATTAATTGTTACCAAAGTGATCAATATTAAATTCAACATTCTATTTCGTCTTATTCATGTAATATAATCTGTTCTTCATCTGTCTGTAAATTAAATGTTGTCAAGGTTGGATACAGTGCTACACACGAATCTCTCTTGATATTTTGGTCTGTCTTGCAAATTTTTGCAATTTTATTACACTGATGAGAAAATAGTAGTTGATGTATTGTTCATGTTAGCAAAACCTCAAAATGTGCTTACATAGATTATTTTATCTTTAAACTGGTCCAGTCATTTATGTGCACCGTGTATCCAGCCAGGTCAATATCATAGTCAAAACATAAACCCAGAATTGAAATATATATATAAAACCAGTTGAGGTTCTTAACTTTGGTGTTGGTTATATAGTCCATCTCTTATCCTTCCAATATAAAAGTAAAACAATTTCTGTCTGGTAACACTTTTATGACACTCTCTGTTTGGGATTGTCAACTTCTCATCACTTTTGGAGATTCCACATAGCTAATAATGTTTATTTGGTATTTACATGATAAGATTAGAACGTTTTACAGCATAATCTTAATTGGCCATTACACCATTAGTGATTACTAGTTGTATAGTTGTGAATAAAAATAGCCTTCATAAGTTTCACACACAACTCTCATGTTAGTGAGTTGTGTTCAGAACTCATGACCACTTCCATTATTCACAACCATGTAATGGCTATAGTGTGTTGGGATCTTTAACAACTAAGGCAATAAATTTCTAGAGTTGTCTTGGCAAAACTCTGTGTTCCTTGAATGGCTTAGTTTTTGGACAAGGGTGGTGTATAAACCTATCATATCTGTTTGAACTCTGACTCCCTAAAATCCTCTTTCCTGTATCTATAGCTCTGTATAATTTCCCTTCCAGAGGCCATCGGAACAGTCTAGTATTGGATAAAGATTCACCTACGGAGGCGTAAGGCATTTTCCTTGTTGCCTTGTCTGAGTTATTGCTTGTTATTGGTTCATAATTTTGGTTTGCCAGTTTTGTTCAGCTGTCTTGCTTAGTTCACTTTTCATTTAAACTGGTTCATTCTAAAATATCACGTTTTGTTCACCCAAATTTTATTTGAAATAATTAGATTTTGTTTTCTGATCTATTAAAGGATACTATTTCTTAGAATGCACATAGAGTCTCAAACTTGTTCAATAAGAGTATATATCTATCAGTTAGACTTACCAGGTGTCATGGCTGTTAAATAGAATCTCTATGTAACACGATATAATCATACAACTAAATAATTATTGAAACACGTTTTTAAGCATGTTTCAAAATTATTTGAATTAATTATTACTTAGTTTTATAGATTAATTGGATTATAGAGGGATTCTGTCATTTGAGAGGTAGGCCTAAATCCACTGATGAACGAAGACTCATTTAAGCCAAGTTCATTCTAAGAAGAAGTATACCTTTAAATTACCACAAATTGACAAAGTTGTCTACTGAATTAGAAATTATTGTTTAAAATAATTTTAAATAATTTTAACTCTGTATTAGTTTTATACAATGATTGATAAAGATCTTACATCTTTTTAACATAGAGTTAGAAATTTTTTTTTTAATTCTCTGCTACATTTAATTTTGTAGATTAAAAGCTTGTTATTGATTTTGAAAGCAAATAGTATTACTCTTATTGAAGCATTTACTTATAAATTCACAATAAACAAGAATTATTTTGCTAGTATTAATTATCTCAAAATGATACAATTTTGTTTATTTTTATTCATGCAAGGCTTGATGTTAATTCCAACAAAACAAACAAACAAACAAACATTGAGACCCTCTCCCTTTCATTGTTGATCTCCCCTGTGAATGCTTGAATGAAACCACTCATTAAATTTGATTGCTTTTTAATATTAAGCCAATTAAGATGAATTAGTGAATGATTTAATTAATGAATTAATGCAAGATAACTAAATAAGCCTGGGAAACCAAGATATATTTTTTTCAGCTTTGACATTAACTGGTTTTGCTATTTGAATGTTAAAAATCATAACTTCTGTTTAGTGAAATTGATGTTTGTGGTGGATGAATTTACTGTTGTCTTGTATTTTCAGGTCAACGTTACAAGTTATCCCCCCTCCAACACCACCCAAGGTAAATGTCGAAAGCAGTTTTTTACCAACATAGACTTGAAAATAATACAACACAAATCTGGAAGTAATGCCACCAAGGCAATTCACCCTTGATATTTTCTGGTAGTTTTCAATTTATCATCCCTTTCAGAGAGTTCACATAGCTAGCTAAAGGGTATTTGGAATGTTTATTATGTACCAAAGGTCTATAGATCTTAAAGATTAAGCTATTGTTAAAAATGCTTGCAATCTTTTGCAGCCCACAAGTTTTTCGTCGCCATTAGATGGTAAGGAGAAACACGAGACAGAGACGAGTAATAATGAAGAGAGATCTTTAGATGAGGGACCTGATATAGACCGACTTATAGACCGTATGTTAACCTTGACTCCAAACTCAACGCTACCCACACATTTCCCTGAAGATGACGAACCTCCCGAGTTACCACCAAAACGGCAACATCAAAATGGCAGCGTTAAGCCAGAATTAAATGGTGGAAGTCCACAGAAGGAAGAACCACCAGAATTACCTCCACGAAGAAGAGTCAAAAAAGATACAGTTAGTACTGTTAGGTGTTTTATTGCATGTTTTCGTGATTTTTGCAGGCTTTTAATCAAATTCTCCAGTGCTATATAACCCTTAATGATACAGTCAGTATGCAGTCAGTTGAACTAGATCCCTTGATTTAAGATTTTTATGTGTATCAGGAACACTGATCGCATCAATTTGCCCAATTCCAGTTTGTGGGTCTTGTAATTCCACTACATATGAGCATTTTATGACTTCACTATCGCAAAGGGCCCTATATGATATTAGCAGATTTTTCAATAGTGGTGTCAGAAAAGGCTTTGTTTTAGTGGAATTGCAAGAACCATAGACATCTGATTGAAAATTGAAATGGTGCAAATCAATGCTATTATTATCTAGATACATTTAGGAAAATTTAGGAAACCTTTTTACAATTCGTTAAAGCAGGCTGTTAATCAGGGTTTGGAGTAAAATGTTTCTTGTTGCCATTTCCTGAGCTGCGTAGTTTAGCTGCAAATATTGTATTGAATCCTTAACCCTTAGCCTTTATCAACTTAAGCCATCTGTCAGTATATTCATATAATTTCTTTCTGAAAACAAGCAAAGTTAATAATTAATTCATAGCTTGAAAGTGCAAAATGTGGCAAGTAATTAACAACCAAATTGAATTAACAACATTAAAATTTTTAATAATATTCTTGAGTCTATAGAAATAGTTGTATTACCAAATCAGATTATTTCTTGGGGCCTTATTCTTGAAAACTTCACCTAGATAAAATTTAGAATTTAAGAAATACAGTTATCTGAATGGATAATCAAACTCAGATTAAATATTGATTTTAGGCATTAACCAATCAGATGTTTGGAATACTAAAATCATTATGTTAGATTTGAGAATAACTTTTTTCATTAACATTCTTTTTCCCATCATCTTTACAATGTCAAGTTCTTACGATCTTAACCTTGACTGCAATAGCCACATTTCTTGTTTCACTGAATGTAACACTTTGATTGGATTGTATGCCATTGAACGGGTAAGAAAGGCTGACATGGAAAAAGCGTCTAGTCGTTCTGGCCCGAGGCCCCATGTGCTACAGGCTGTGCACGTTAAAAACCCCTTGACAGTTTGAAATCGAAAAAAGAGCAGGCTAATGCGGCTGTCCTGGCAAAATTTCCCTCACTGCACCCTGCACAATGTACAATCCAATCAAATTGTTGCATTTACAAACTTCCATGATACAAGAAAGGTGACTATTGAAGTCAAGGTATAAGACGATGTTTGTAATATCTTATTCATTGTGAAGATGGTTTCCTATCAATATCATGTGTTGCTATTATGTTGCATGGAGAATGTGATCCTAGCTTATTGCTTTGCTATGTATATTTTAACTATATTTCAGTCTAGTAATAATGAGGAAGATCAAAATGATAGTCCAGTAAGTATAGTCTATCAAAATAACACTTCAGACCAGTTCTTCTCTACCTCAGTGAAATCCTCCCTGAATCTATCTATTCCTCTCAAAAATAAAGCAGTCATTTTGAAACATATTTCAATCAAAAAATATATTCAACGATTAACCATGAATGGTAATAAAATCATAATCCATATATCGAGATAGGTCAATGTGACTCTTTGACTGAATATTAATTCATGGTTTTCTGTATGTATGAGGTGAATAATAGAATGATAAATATTTTCACTGTTAAAATAATGCTCGATACATCAATTGTAAATTGATATAGAAATACCATTGTTAAAATAATGCTCGATACATCTATTGTAGAGTGATATAGAAATACCACTGTTAAAATAGTGCTCAATACATCAATTGTAGAGTGATATAGAAATACCACTGTTAAAATAGTTCTCAATACATCAATTGTAGAGTGATATAGAAATACCACTGTTAAAATAATGCTCGATACATCAATTGTAAAGTGATATAGAAATATCAAAACAGAACCTAAAAAAACACGTTGTTGTTACTCAGAGTAACACGCTATGCGATCTTCAGACAACTGACCAATATAATTATTCAGCCTGTGTCCCTACTGAAGTTAGACAAGTATAACTTATTCTCATGTCTACACTTCGAGACGAGTTCGAAACGTTTGTTTAGTGAATAATGTCAATTTCAGGGTACCTTGCTTCTCATTTTCTTCGCTGTCTGACGATTCCACCTCATTTCTCCCCTGGCAATAATTCCTCCTCATTGTCATCCAGTTCCCTCCTTACCCTGTTTAGATTCACTGCTATAGGGGGTAGCCAAGATATGATGTTTTATATAAGATTTATGTAAATTATTAACTTGTAATAACCTCTAGTTGAATTACAGACATAGTTATATAATAAGTTAATAAAGTATAATTTTTAGTTGAATATTATTCATACTGAATCAGATTATTGATTAAATATTTTTATCAAACATATTGTATTTATGTATATATTTGTTTATGATATTCTGTCTACCATGGTGAATGTTTATATTTATATTATTTCTTTGTCTTTTATCAAAAATATGGGGGACAATATTTTAAGAATTTGTCTATTATAACCCTGTGCCAGTGCCTTATATTGAATAGTAACTTGTTACTCTTCAATCACCCTAATCTCTATTATATATTGTGTCATTGCCATTTTTACATTGTTTCTGAATTATCTTCTTGATTTAAAGTATCATTGTATAAGGTTTTAAAAGAGATATTCTCTTATAGAAGCACTGGCCTAGGTCACAAGTAGGGATTGTGGATTTCAGCATTGGAATACATCAATTTGATAGAAAACTACCTACTTCTGGAGAGATTTACAAGATAAATAAATTTTTCAGAAATGCAATTATTATGTTATAAGTTAGTTGTCATGCATCTTGCCCTTTTTTTCAGTCTGTGCCGAGACCTGTTAGTAATGGGCTTCCACCAACACCTAAAGTACATGTAAGTACCACATTGTCCACAGAGATAATAGTCTCATGATATACTATATGAATCAGGCCAAACATCTTAGTGCTAGGATGTCCCAGAATCAATATTAGAAGATAAGAACCTAGGTTATCCTAGCGCTAAGATCGTTTCCAGAATACGTGGCCAGGGTCCTGTGTGCTACAGGCTGTTTATGTTAAAGATCCCTTGACAATCAGAAATTGACAAAGAAAAGGCTTAAAAACACTTCATTTCACACTCTAATCCAATCAAGTGCAAAAATAGTAAGACTTGAAACACCATTCCATTTCGTTTCGTTTCCAGACGTATCATATCCTTTAAGGGATCATCACTTACCAAATAATTACAGCCAGGTTAGAAGAGCGTCTGAACTTTGCAAATGGCATGAGAATATGCCATTTTTACAGGGGTTGTGATTACTATTTCTAGAATATTATTTAGACAATGATAAACATTGAAATAATCAAACTATTCTTCACAGTGCTCATGTTTATACGCCCACACGTAAGATGGGCGTATATTGTAATCACCCCTTCGGTCCGTCGGTCAGTCCGTCCATTCACATTTGGCTCGTGCTCACTCTACAGGCTACAGTACTTTATGGATTCTTTTGATTTTTATTTTGTATGTCAATGTTGTTATGAAGATGATCCCTATTGATTTTCGTGATGATCGGATAATTTTTCACCGAAATATCGTGTCTGACTTGACGTTTTTCTCTATTATTTAAAGTATTATTTCTCTTATAGATGGGGGCATGTTTTTCAAAAGTATTCAATGGTTGTCCAATACATATAAACTGTACAGCAAGTTGGGTTCATCCTGATACTCGAGGTAGGTCTAATATAAGAAAAGATAATAACATCTTGAATTTTTCACATTTTGAAATATTCAATAGCCATGTAGGACTATTTTGTGATGTGCTGTAATGAGTTAAAGTTCCTGTGATCAAATCTCAAATTTTGTTGATTATAAACATTATATAACCTTCAAATTTTAATAGAGGTATAGTGTAAGTTAATGTTTCTGTCCTGACTAAACTTTCCTCAATGGATACTGCATGGTGTCGCTGTCTACCATAGCACAATAAGGTGCAGAATTTCTTTTCCTTTCATGGTTAATTCTGTAAATATATCATTGTTAAAATAGTGCTCAATGCATCAGTTGTAGAGCAATATAGAATATTAAAACAGAAACTGAAACATGTTGTTACTCAATGTGTGCGAACTTCAACCAACTGATCTATTTTAGTAAATATTCAAATATTTGTGTCTTAGAGTATATAGATATTGCAGAGTTTGAGATATTAACATCTGTATATTGTTTCAGATCAGAGAATATTAATTGGTGCTAATGAAGGATTATATACACTCAATTTAAATGAAATACATGAATCTTCTATAGAATTGGTAAGTATCTACATCTACATCTGTTACATTGAAAAGAACATTTTACAAGAACACACAACTTTGACTTCTGATAATCCATGATCTTTTCAACATGCAATAAATAGTTATTCATAGATTTGGTACTGGACAAAAATGTCTGACTCAAACAAGATTGTACCAGACATTTTCCGAAATTGTACCAGACAACGTCCGTGTCGAGAAGCTTATTTCAAGCCTTGAGGCTAAGACCTGTTCAGCCATCCTTTTAGTTTAGAGTAGACAGCCTTCAATCTGTTTCACTCGAATTTTGATTTTGATATTATTATTAGAGAAAAGTTCAAAGAAGTGTATAAATTGCTATGATAATTTTTATTCTAGTTACATGCTAGAAGATGTACATGGTTATATGTGATAAAGGATGTTTTAATGTCCATTTCGGGTAAGTTCTTACCATCATTTTACAAGTATATTAATTGGCTCTAATAAGTTCTAATCTCAGTATCTCTTACCTCATTATTCTAGTCAATCGAACTTTACATTGGTAGGAAAATCTGGGAAAGATCAATGCCAACAGTTCTGGCCAAGGACTAGCTGGTAGACAATATCTTCCTAAGCTGAACTTATTTTTGTAAAAGTAGATTATTATACTTATCTAAATTATTTTTGTATTTTTGTATTCTGTTCTATTTTTATTAGGTAAAACTCCTCACCTGTTTCGCCATGATTTAATGATGTTACATTCATCTAAAACTAGGAGCTTATTATCTATGAATAAATTTCCTGAAAAGCTGGTCCCAAGGTAAGAGTAAGCTTAAATTATCTGGGGGTAGAGGGGTCGCACCTGAAGGTCACAAGAGGATAGAACTATAGCACTCTTGTTAAAACAATTCACTACACCTATGAACTAAAGTAGTAGTCATTTAAAATCTAAATCTAAAAGTCTAACTGATATCATGGGTCATAATTTCTCATTATTGTTAATAACAGTCTGTTATATCCGTCTGGATTTCCACAGTGCATTCTGGTTTAATTGTAGATAAAGCAGATAAATTCTGACAATGTTTTGCATTTCAGGAAATTACAATTAACGACTAAAGTACCTGATACTAGAGGTTGTATGAAATGTTGTGTTGGAAGGAATCCCTATAATGGCTATAGATATTTATGTGGGTCTCTACCAACTGGTATTATACTCATGCAATGGTATGAACCACTCAATAAATTCATGTTATTAAAGGTACGATTTTCACATTTTAATTGATTTTATATGTGCATGAAAATGTTTGCTACTTTGACTGTTTAAAATGAAAGTTAACCATGTTATAATGTATTATTGTTTAGGGTGTTATGGTGGCGGATTAAAATAAGCCTCGGTCTGTTTCCGAAACCCTATTTACAATTTGTAAAATATCACATGTATATTGTTTAAACTGAACAATGATGCAGAGACAGAAAGAATATTGCACATTTGGCACAATTACTGCAAAAGGCTAGAAAATTTCAGGCAGCCTTTGAAGAATTATCTTGGATCATAAGATTATTAACTGTACTGCAGTCAAACTTGTACCAACGGTCACTTGTATTTAGCACCATCCTCCAATGACCAGTCACCCAAGTTTCTCCTATGCAATTTTCAAACAATTTTACCTCCATTCACTACCACCTTCAATTTCTTTACGTTGAACAGTCATGTGACCCTTCAATCAACAGCCAATTGTCAGTATTCCTTGTTAACTTGTCATTTGTATCTGTGTGTACATCAAACCTCTGCCAAGCACCGTGCTGTAGTAAGCAGTTATTTTTGAGCATTCCCTTGACCTCATGCTTAATACAAGTTAGACTGTATTTTTTGTTTATTTCAGACATTTGATATAGACTGTATTCCACTACAATTAGATGTATTTGAAATGTTTATTAGTCCTGAATTAGAATATCCCATGGTGTGTTTGGGAGTCAGAAAAGGGTAAATATTTTTATGCATTTGTCTGGAGATCAAACATCGTGAAACTTTGAGTAACAACATGTTATGAGTTTTAATATTTGTAATAATTTATGATATTTTTGTATTTTTGCAGCACTGATAGAAATCATGTGAAGTTTGATATTATTAATTTAAATTCCACTTCAAGTTGGTTTACAGATATAGAATCATTTTCAGGTAATTTCTTTAGCTTTCTTTCTAGTAATGAGATGAAAACTGATAATGATTGAATTTCAATCTTATACTTGTACTCGCCATCCCACAATTGGTCATTGTTATCAAAAAACCTGTTCAACTTGCCACGCTTTGATTGGTTGAAAATAACGTCATTATACCAGAACTGTGGTAGAAAATTTGTTAGATTACAGTGGTGATGGAAAGTATATCTTTAATTTTGACCTGCCACTGTATAATGGTTTATGTCACTATTATTATGTTCAAGATTTTGAAAAATGAACATCAGATTTTTATTCTAAAAAGTGCTGTGGACGGCTGAAGTTAAACTCTGTCATCATGAAAATTATTCAGATGCCTACCGGTATATCACTTTAAAAATTGTTATTACAGGTGAGAAGTTACCTGTTGTTAATGTTACTCAGGTAGAAAAAGATACTGTTGTTATTTGTTATGATAGTAAGTATATATAATATCTATAATTGTTATTTTTGGTATCTAGAAAGGGATGCTGAGTTGACAAAACTGGTTCGAGTTTTCTGCAAAAAAGGCCAAGAAAGTCTGTGACAGGACATAGCACATGTGCATAGAAAATGTCCTAATGATCAAAAATACAGTCAGTCATTTTGGAGCTCCTAACAAACATGACTGGCAAATATAGATTAATCAGCATTACTACATTAAAAAAGAAATGGTAAAATGTTTCATTGAAGTTGTTGCTACAGGAACCAAACAGTTACCTATACACCATTATTTAAAATAGATTAATGACTTTCTATTTTGAGGTTCACCTTTCTTTATTACTGTATTTTGTAGAATATGTAAAAGTTGTAAATATGGGTGGTAAAATGAAATCAAGCAAAAGACAACAAGCTGAATTACACGTTGATTTTCCTGTTGAATCTTTAGGTACGTTATCCTATATATCTTTGCTGCACGGAATTGCAGGAGCTGCAGATGTGACTACAAATTGGAATGATACCAATAACCAGAAATGATGATGCAATAACTGTACCTGATACACCTAAAAACCTCTTGACAATCTCTTTAAAATCTCTCAAAGCAAAGTTTTTTTATCAATGAACATTCTTTTTGAATCATTCCAATTTGCTCAATTAGGCAACTGACTGAAAATTGGAATAGTGCAAATCAATGCTATCAGTGTTCCTAATATACATATAAAAACCTCCTACAACCGATACCATCAGTGTCCCTGATACATATATAAAAACCTCTTTACAATCAATGCTATCAGTGTTCCTAATACACATATAAAAACCTCTTTACAACTGATACTATCAGCGTTTCCTATATATATAAAACCTCTCAATAACCCCTTTAATAACAATATACTTGTAGTATATAGAAGATAATCTTTGACAGATTAGAGATTATTGACATGTGTATAAACCAATAACAAATTAGTTATCGAGATATAATCCCGGTATCACCTCAAATACCCCTGTCTACTTTCGTATACTCTGTCTTTCAATTTATAACAGATTTATAACCATATTGTATATAATGTTATCTTCAAACTAGAGCTTAGTTCAACATTGTTACTATTTAGAATAATACATATTTACCTTGGTTACTAAGGTCAACAATTTTACCTGACCTAGCAACAGATAATTTTATTTGCATATTACTGATAATATTGCTACTTTGGTTAAATCAATTTATTGATCAAAGTTCAAACGATCAAGTTTTGTTTGATATAAATCAAAATGAAACAGTAAATAGTTCAGGCAATATAAATGATATTAAATGTTGATCCTTCAAGAAGTTTTTCAGAAAAAACATCAAATAATCAAATAAAATCCTTCAGAAAAAAATGAATTTAATATTTATAAGTGTATTCATGAACTTGCATATCACTTCCTTGTAGATTCAATTGGTTCAAGAATTTACATAAGATATTACCTTCTCTACTTTGCAATTATTGTATTGAAACGATCTCCTTTAACAAATTTTTTGAAAACTTTTTGATTAATTATGTGTATTGAAGAATGCCCCTCACCCTGTTTTGTTTTGATAACTTGATAGATAAATTATGTATATTGAAATATGCCCTTTACACCTTTGGATCTTTCCTCTTACGATCGAAGAAAATGCATCACTTGCTGTGGCCATGGAAAATGCATCACTTGCTGTGGCCATGGAAAATGCATCACTTGCTGTGGCCATGGAAAATGCATCACTTGCTGTGGCCATGGAAAATGCATCACTTGCTGTGGCCATGGAAAATGCATCACTTGCTGTGGCCATGGAAAATGCATCACTTGCTGTGGCCATGGAAAATGCATCACTTGCTGTGGCCATGGAAAATGCATTAAATGAGCATCACTAAAGCTTGTGGAAAAATATACATATGATGCAAAATATTAAATTCATTCTTTTGTTTTGATGGGTCTTGTTATTTTCTCTTGTATGTGTGATAGAGATTTTCCCAGATTTACTTGAGTGTAAGAAGTTGTTCACAGTATGCATGCCCTTTCTTTGCAAGACTTATCAAGTTTTACATAATTTTGATTTTCAGTTTGTTTACAAGATAGTGTCTTAGCCTTTCATAAACATGGTATGCAAGGTCGGAGTTTTAAAGCCAATGAGGTGAGATTCTATATTATAGCTGATTCTTTATTTGATTGGATTGGACACTAGTGAATACAGCCAATCAGATCCCTTTGTTACACATACAGTTATAGTCTTTCTGTCAGGGGCTCTGATTGGCTGTTTAATTCTTGGATTTACAAACTCCCTAGTTACAGCGCTGCCTGCTGGGCACATTATTGGTTGGCAGATTATATTGTACACTTTGGGTACATAATTAGTTGTACATGCTTGAAAAAAGGGTACTTTTTGCAATTCCCAAACCATGGTTTCTTAATACTAAGAAGTAAAATTCCTTTTCATCTGAAAAATTTTTCTGAGCAAGTCACACACCTGAATCATGTAATAATATTTTGTTTTAAAGGTAACTCAAGAAATTTGTGATAAATCGAGAATATTTCGATTATTAGGCTCAGATAGGTGAGTACTTTTACTTTTTCAAACAATATATTTAGAATTATATGTCTGCACTGTAGTTTATCAAATTTTCTACCACAGTTCTGTTATAATGACTTTATTTTAACCAATCAAAATGTGTCTTTATACCAAAGGTGAATTATGGGATAGTGAAACCCAAAGAAAAGCAATATGACAGCCTCTTTCGCTATTTCTACAATTCATGCTTTGATTGGTTAGAAATAATGTCATTGATTTCATGAAACGTGTCATATGATTACGAAAACAATAAAAAAGATCAGACAGCTAGAAAATACAGGATTAAAATTAATGATAAAAGAAATAAACGTTTGTAGATAGTTAAAAGTTATTGATTAATGAAGCTAATCAATCAATATTAATTACATCACTGATAATACACAATACAGTCATTCAGTTATGGTCATTACACATGCTCTTCACCTACTTTTCTTTATACAGTCATTGCACATGCTTTTCACCTACTTTTCTTTATACAGTCATTGCACATGCTTTTCACCTACTTTTCTTTATACAGTCATTGCACATGCTTTTCACCTACTTTTCTTTATACAGTCATTGCACATGCTTTTCACCTACTTTTCTTTATACAGTCATTGCACATGCTTTTCACCTACTTTTCTTTATACAGTCATTGCACATGCTTTTCACCTACTTTTCTTTATACAGTCATTGCACATGCTTTTCACCTACTTTTCTTTATACAGTCATTGCACATGCTTTTCACCTACTTTTCTTTATACGGTCATTGCACATGCTTTTCACCTACTTTTCTTTATACAGTCATTGCACATGCTTTTCACCTACTTTTCTTTATACGGTCATTGCACATGCTTTTCACCTACTTTTCTTTATATGGTCATTGCACATGCTTTTCACCTACTTTTCTTTATACGTCATTGCACATGCGTTTCACCTACTTTTCTTTATACGGTCATTGCACATGCTTTTCACCTACTTTTCTTTATATGGTCATTGCACATGCTTTTCACCTACTTTTCTTTATACGGTCATTGCACATGCTTTTCACCTACTTTTCTTTATATGGTCATTGCACATGCTTTTCACCTACTTTTCTTTATATGGTCATTACACATGCTTTTCACCTACTTTTCTTTATATGGTCATTGCACATGCTTTTCACCTACTTTTCTTTATATGGTCATTGCACAAATTGTTCATGTGCTAGTGACCTACTTTTTTTTATGTAACATTACAAAAATGAGCATTCCTATTCATCCTACCAGCATTGTTTTAGCCTTAGTCTCTGTATGTGATTGTATTGTTGTTTTCCAAGGCAAGCCACTGCGTATATCTTTTCTGGAGAGTAAAAAGACTTTTCTTCTTTGAAGTTTTTTCCTCCCTTATTCATACAAATTCTTCTCTAGCTGCAACAAAAACAAATAGAATTCTTGTTTTAAGATGGGTTCCCTTATTTTCATGCTAATACTTATATGAATAGAAAGAATAGCCAGTAGAAAGAGTGACCTATCAAGAAAGGTCAAAAAGTCTTCTCTTTTTTAGTATCCAGACTGTACATACATGGACATTTATGATTAAAACTGAATTATGAACCTAATGATATGATTAAGAATACATGATATTTCATTAGAAAAACCAATTAATCAAATAGTTTGCTTAATTTGACACCAAACAAGAAGGAAACCCATCTTTAATGGTTTTTGAAAATATTATTCTTTGTCTTTTAATGTGCTAGTAAACTATTTTTCAACTACTCAGCATACATAATCTATTGTTTGTATGGAATATAATAACAGAAGACACTTATGTTTATTAGGTTTATATTGGTGTACAATGCACAGTTTTTTTTGCCCTATTTCACTGTATCTAGCTCCAAGACAATGAGTATTTCTGCTTAATTGAAAATATTATTTATGGTTTCTGCGTGTGCCAGTAACCTACTTCTCTAGACCAAGCCACTAGACAACTTTCATTATCTATTGTTTTGATGGAAAATAAAAACAAAAGGCAATTCTGTTTAGGTTTATGTTGGTTTTAATCTAGTGAGCTCCAAGACAATTATTATTTCAGCTTGATCTGTCTTGATTCTGGTTGTTGCACAATTTGATTAGAAATTCTTTAGAAATATCACAGACAAAATACAAGTTACAGTCTGTCATTGATTGTATAGAAAATTCCATAGATAATCAGTGTTCATACATTTAAAGGAATAATAAATAGATTTTCTAAACTTTAAATGTGTATCAGGGGCACTGATATTATTAATTTGAACCTTTCCAATTTGCAATTAAATGTCTAAGTTTCTTGCAATTCCACTTAAAGTATAGCATTTTATGATGTCACTATCGCAAAGTTCCTTATATATCAATAGCAACTTGTGCGATTAGTGATGTCATAAATGCTTACTTTAAGTGGAATTGCGAGAACCACAGACATCTGATTGAAAATTGGAATGTTGCAAATTGATGCTATCAGTGTCCCTGATACACATAAAATTTTTTACAAATCCTCTGTACATCCCTTTAACTATTGCTCTAAGTGCCAGTGCCCTCTGTTGGATAGTAAATTGTTACCATTCAACCACCCTAATCTTTAAGTTTTGAGTGCCCTCTGTTGGATAGTAAATTGTTATCTTTCAACCACCCTAATCTTTAAGTTTTGAGTGCCCTCTGTTGGATAGTAAATTGTTACCTTTCAACCACCCTAATCTTTAAGTTTTGAGTGCCCTCTGTTGGATAGTAAATTGTTATCTTTCAACCACCCTAATCTTTAAGTTTTGAGTGCCCTCTGTTGGATAGTAAATTGTTATCTTTCAACCACCCTAATCTTTAAGTTTTGAGTGCCCTCTGTTGGATAGTAAATTGTTATCTTTCAACCACCCTAATCTTTAAGTTTTCAGTGCCCTCTGTTGGATAGTAAATTGTTACCTTTCAACCACCCTAATCTTTAAGTTTTGAGTGCCCTCTGTTGGATAGTAAATTGTTATCTTTCGACCACCCTAATCTTTAAGTTTTGAGTGCCCTCTGTTGGATAGTAAATTGTTATCTTTCAACCACCCTAATCTTTAAGTTTTCAGTGCCCTCTGTTGGATAGTAAATTGTTATCTTTCGACCACCCTAATCTTTAAGTTTTGAGTGCCCTCTGTTGGATAGTAAATTGTTATCTTTCAACCACCCTAATCTTTAAGTTTTCAGTACAGCTTATTGTATGTGAAATATTCAATATATATTCAATGTGCAAGTTTTTCTAAATTTTCTATAGAAACTGCAGCAACATAATTGATTATTCCTGCTTATTGCCAATAAGTTACTGAGTTCGGAATATTTCATTAGAAATCCAATACAACAAGATTATTACTTTTGGGATCTTGAATTCTGAAAAAGCAATGACTGCTTGACTGCTTATTGAGCATCTTTGGTACATGTATCTCAATATTGGAGAGCCGCACTAAATAAAAGAAAATTTTGGAAATCTTTTGGTCCAACTTTTTCAAACATGCTCAACCAATAATATAACTCTTTGTCAGATGACCCTAGAAGTGGTAAATATCTGCAATGTCACCAATTTGATCCTGGAAGACCTTAAAAGAAATATGAAACTCCCCTTGGTTAATATATAAAAGTTGAGTTCAATAGATTACCATGTTAGACCCTAAAAAATGAAAAATGAATAGAATACAATGTTGGGGACTGTTGGAATTTGATCCAGGAAAACCCCAAAAAAATTACAAAAACTGCTCTTGGTTAATATGTTCAAGTAAACTTTAGAATACAATGTGGGTTATGGAATTTGATTCAAGAAAACCCTTAAAAAAATATGAAACTCTCCTTGGTTAATATGTTAAAGTAAACTTCAATAGAATACAATGTTAGTTATGGAATTTGATTGAAGAAAACCCTAAAAAATTTAAAAACTGCTCTTGGTTTATATGTAAAAGTAAACTTCAATAGAATACAATGTGGGTTATGGAATTTGATCCAGGAAGACCCTTAAAAAAATATGAAACTCTCCTTGGTCAATATATAAAAATTGAGTTCAATAGAATACAATGTTAGGGACTGTTGGAATGTAATCCAGGAAATAAAAGAATAATTAAAGAGTAAATATTATGAAATGTTGTTAGGTGGAATAATTACATTCATTGATTTTAGTAAAGTGATTGAGTATGTGGTAGTCATTCCTTAACTTAAAGTGGCTAGGTATGTAAATAAGTAATTGATTTAATTAAAGTGACTGAGTATGTGATAGTCATTCCTTAACTTAAAGTGGCTAGGTATGTAAATAAGTTGTTGATTTAATTAAAGTGACTGAGTATGTGATAGTCATTCCTTAACTTAAAGTGGCTAGGTATGTAAATAAGTTTTTGAATAAGTTGGTGAAATAATGAAGTCATTGCTTATATTAAAGGGATTGAGTATGTCATATTTATTACTTATATTAAAGTGATTGGGTATGTGATATTCATTACTTAACTTAAAGTGGCTAGGTATGTAAATAAGTAATTGATTTAATTAAAGTGACTGGGTATGTAATAGTCATTCCTTAACTTAAAGTGGCTAGGTATGTAAATAAGTTTTTGAATAAGTTGGTGAAATAATGAAGTCATTGCTTATATTAAAGGGATTGAGTATGTCATATTTATTACTTATATTAAAGTGATTGGGTATGTGATATTCATTACTTATAGTAAAGTAACTGAAATAAGATGATAGGTGGACTAATGACATTGTGATAGCTATGTCATAAAACGCTAATTTCTAGTTGAACTGCAAGAACCACTTCAATACACATAGAAAAACCTCTTTACAATCTCTTGAATTTACACAAGTTTTTATTTTGATTTTTCCAAAAAGTGCTTTACCTAAATATTCAGCCTTTGAAGATATCTTGCATTTTTTATAGTACATCACTTCAAAGAGACTTTATGATATTTTTATTCATTGAAGAATTATTTATTATATATTATACAAATATATTGCTCTCTCATCCTCTCTCTCTCACAGACTTCTGACTGAATATTGGAATGTTGCAAATCGATGCTATCAGTGTCTCCAATACACACAAAAGTTAAGACAATCTCATTTATTATTTAGTTATTTGCCTAAAATTGTTTGTGACTCCTTTGTTACCTTCAATTCCATACAAATTGACCCGTTAAAGGGACAGGTGTGCTATTTTTGGGGGTTGATTTTAGTCTTCAATATATGTAAATAGTCTTGAGAAATACTAGAAATGTACTAAAATCACATGATATCTAGGAATTTTACTCACTATTTCCATATATGTCTTTTCTATACCTTATATCACAGAATATCTTAAATTGATGAGTGGTTATTTTAACATTCAAACGCAGATAATTCTAGACACACATAGATTTGAAGACTCATATTTCGACAGTGAGCTGTGAACACTATTACCGATTGGCTTAGCTAAAAATTTCCGTTTCTGAGACTAAGGTATGATTGTTCAAAAAAAATGGTGCACTTGTCCCTTTAAGGATGATGATTTGAATGTTACTGACTTTCTTTGATTAGTATAAAAATTTGTAAGTGAGCTTTTCTCGAGGATATTTTTTAGTCTGCTGTAAGAATTATAAGCAGTGGTTCTTCTTCCCTTCCAGAACCCCCTAGAAAATTATTTTCATTCATTTTTCTGAAATTCTGCTCTTAACAATTCAAAGACTTTTCAATGCATTTAATAAATGGAATTAAAATGAAACAGGATATTCTTGACGATTCCTAATTGTTCAGAACATTTTTAAAAAGACCATGATTTATTTTTGATACATTATGCCTTAGCTCATTTTCTTGGTCAAATCATATTTACTAATTGATTAATGAGAGTTTCTAATGAATTATAAAAATATTCATATGTTACAATACTGTATGTGGATGTAGAAAGGCTTGGGGAAGTCATTTACTCAAATCTGCTTTGAGAAACTAAATTTAAACTCCATGGTTGTTCACGTGACCAAATGACGTCATTCTTACTGACTGTTGAGCAAGTGAGTGGCTGCCTCACTATGAGATTTTAACTGATTCCCCTCCATGAAATGTTCATAGACATCCTTATCTATTTCTTCTTTGTTCCCTTTATTTTCTGAATCTGAAGCCTTTTTAAATTGTAAACTGTGCATTTTTCAAGCCGCCATATTGTTGTTGTGAGAAAAGGAAGGAATGCGGGGAGTGCACATGCGCGCATATTTAAACGATTTTTAACCAATCACGGATGTCCCTTACTGTATACACTAGTTATTCGAAAAAAGACTGGAAATTTTTTTTATCACGGTCACACTATGGAAATCCTCGTCGTAATAATTATGGGCTAATTAGGGACGAACTGGTATTTTCCCCATCCATTAGAATACCTCTACATTCGATTGATATAAGTATCGGCCGTCCAGTTATCGAATATATGAAAATAAGGGAAACCATCTTTTATTAATATTATCATAGCTTACAATAAGTTTACATTAAAAACACCACAGAAACCTATATTAGAACATTTTAAAACATGTACAAATCAAATTACTTCAAATTCAATTCAAATCTTTTATTTCTTTACTTTTTGTGGTATACAGCTAATTCTTTACACTCCCAAATTATTAAGAATATTCTAAATGGAGCTTGAAATGTTTTTGATAGCTTTCAATAAATTTACATTTTCATTACAATATAAACTATATAAGAACATTTTTGAACATGTACAACTGAAATTGGTTGTATATGGGATTATACTTCAGTATATCATGTTTTGATATTTAGTATATATTGATATTGGACCATTGATATTAACTCATAAACCCTTGTATATCATTATACACCTCACAATATACACTAGTAAACCAGTTAATATCTCTCTATCTGCTATCACTGTTGCTTGGTAATCTTCAATAACAAACAGTCTGCTATTGTATTTGATTATAAAGCACATAATTCAGCATGCAGTATCAATTCACAAGAGTCTTTCTATGAAATATCAAAGCAATATATTTGTATTTTGAAATAATAGAAAATATTGTATTCATATAATATATGTTTTAAGCTTCCTGTTTTTATCAGTGAATGGGCATGCCAGTCTAAAAGCTTTTTGACTTAAAGTGTCTCTTATGTTATGGCATGTTTATGCATTAATTGATTAGGGGCCGCACTAAGGTCCCTTGTGCAACAGGCTGTGCACGTTAAAGATGGGTTTCCCTATTTTCATTTATGAAAACGAAAATGCTAATACTTATATGAATAGAAAGTAGAGGTGTTCTAATGACTTGGAAAAATATCAGTATATCCATAATTAATTCATAATTAGCTAAATTAGAGGAGAATTACCAGCAGAATTCCAATGAGTGACCGATCAAGAAAGATCAAAAAGTCTTTTTTTGTTTATCCAGACTGTACATACATGGACATTTATGATTGGTTAAAACTCTTGATTATATGCGATAAGAAAAAAATGATATGATTAAGAATACATGATTATTCATTAGAAACACCAATCAGTGAAATAGTTTGCTTAATTTGACACTAAAAAATAAGGAAACCCATCTTTAATGATCCCTTAATAAATGGAAATCAGAAACAAGTAAGCTATAATGCAGATGACCTTGGAATGATGTTCCTTATTGCACACTGATGGCATTGTCCTTCATAATTAGCTCAAAAACAAAAACATGTATATACATATAACTTAGTATCATCAAAATACAGAAGAGATTTGAAGTTCCATAGTAAGACAACAGTAAGCCGTCAATTAAGCAATGAACGATGGACCCACTGCAGTTACGGTGATATGAATACATTGGGCAAGGTGCCAAATTAAATGAGCTGCCGAAGGCACCTTGACCAATGTATTCATATCACCCTAACTGCAGTGGGTCCATCGTTCATTGTTTATATTTCCACTGTCTAATGTATTCTTTTCATTAAGTTTCCGATTGATAAATTATATTTCAAAAAGATTGCCGTTACAAAAATAAGGCCTCAACAGCAGCCATATTGCCCAGGAATGTGACCACGTGACCCACTGCAGTTTACGCGAATTTGAATGCATTTCTTGTCAAAGGGTTCACTGTGACAAATACAGTGAGAGTGGAAATATTGACTTATGGACAAGGAATTACTGTTTACAAAAAATATGATTGTTAAAAATCATGAAACTTGTTTTTACAATGAAGGGTTACTTTATGTTGAATATCCTGTATTGTGATACTATTGTTTTCCATTCTTTGATGATATCTCCTGTATAGCCCAGCACTAATAGTTGAACTCAACAAAATCTTTTTCTACTTTCAGGGTAATAGTTTTGGAATCTCGACCAACAAATGACCCATCTTCAAATTCTAATTTATACGTGCTAGCTGGACACGAGAATACTTATTAGTTCAATATACAATGTGTTCTGTGTTTTAAACTGTGCTGTGTTATAAATATATTTAAACTTCTTGAAGTGATGTCAACTTCAGTGTAACATATTGCAACGGTTTGAGATTGCCTGTATGTCACAAAAACTTAAACAAGATTAACACAGACTTTGATAATACAGTAATCTGATTGGTTGATGAATGTAAATTTCCGAATTGAGAATTAAAATTAAAATTATGTGAAAGAGTTGTCTGTGATACAAATTATCAGGAAGCAGATATTAATCTATCATCTCCAAATGAACAACTTTGACTGCTTGGATAACTAGAACCCTTCAGAAAAAACATATGGATATTGATAGCGTTCAAGTAATCTAATTGGTCAATTGGAAAGTTTAAAATTTAGTGATTGACCAGTTAGATAACTAGGAAATTTAAAAAAAGACATCAAGCAATCTAATTGGTCAATTAGAAAATTTTTAATTTAATGATTGACCAATTAGATTACTAGGAAATTTTAAAAAAAACATCAAGCAATCTAATTGGTCAATTGGAAAATTTAATGATTGACCAGTCAGATCATGTGGAAATTAAAAAAAAAATTTAATTACCTTTATAGCATTCAAGCAACATAGTAAAATTCAACCGACATTCAAGTCCTATCCTCCAATCAGATCACTGTATTTCGTAGAATTATGATTTAATCCTGCGTTAAGTTTTTGTGATATTGGCCGTAGATTTAATGACAGAACTCTAGTATAATTAATGGTGATGGAGAAGCTTTGAATGTGAATCGTTATTTTAAATTAATCATTACTTCCAGTGACTGAGATCTAATTGCAAAACTAAATTGTGATTGATTTTTTTTTATGTGAAATGTGATATACTTGACGTTTTTTGCCTAATTGTTAATTTCATTCTGCAGCTAAGTTACCATCTTCACTATATCAAGTTATTATAAACTGTGCCTGATACTTGACTGCAATAGCAAACTCTCTTGTATTACTGAAGTTTGTAATATAGTGATTTGATTGGATTGTACGCCAGTGAATAAAGTTTATAATATAGCGATTTGATTGGATTGTATACTGAATACAGCCAATCAGTGCCCTCGGTTACACATGCATAAAATTGTTTACAGTCTTTCTGTCAAGGGCTCTAATGGGCTGTATTCGTTAGTGTACAATCCAATCAAGTGGCTTCATTTACAAACTTCCATGATACAAGAAAGGTGACTATTGCAGTCAAGGTATTAGACGTTGTTTGTAGTAACTTGACACAGTGAAGATGTTAAATTTCTAGTGATCTTAATTTTGTGCTGTATGAAAAATTCTTTGATTTGATTGGATCATGTGATATGTGTTCAGATTTTAATTGCAGTATTCGGAACCAACCAAAATTATAATGTCTCATTTGCATATAACATTTTGTAGTAAGGCTATATTCATCAACCCATGCTTGCAAATTTAAGATTTGAAGAATACAGTTATTTGATTGGTAGATTTTGAATTAGCTTTGAATATTGACCAATCAAATAGCTAATACTCTCTTCATTGTAGCTTCAAAATGACACTACCCAATGTATTTCGGTTTAAAATTATTGATAGGCTTTCTTACATGTAGTGTTGCCTTGCAATAGTTTATTTATAAAAAATGGCAAAGCTGTTAGCATATTATTAATAAAAGATATATAAATATTTTTAACTGTACAGACTCAATTCTTCTTCATTAGTGAAGGGACATCGTCATCTAAATATTCTTTCTACCAGCTGAATTTATTTCAATTACTCAGAATAAAATAATGATATGTTTTCTGCAATGGAATAAAATTTGAATTTCCATGGTGACCAGTTTTGTAGGATCACCTGCCAGATACTTTTGTAGGCTAACGGCTAAAGCCCAAATCTTGTCTGTACGCGACAAATTTTCACATCGCTCAAAAATTTGTTACATTGACAACAACTTCATACACTGAGTTGCAAATGCCCAAAAAAAAATTGGCTGTGTATATGCCCCTTTGTGATCAGGAGTAAAAATTTGCAGCCAATTTAATTGACATGACGCAAATAGCACACTCTTAAGACCGTTAGTTGAAAAATAGAATAACATTAATATCTAGATGACTATGTCTCTTATAACTGTTGAAATTATATTATATTGGTTGTGATGTTATGTTTCTGTAAGTACCATATATAAACTGTTTCATATTTTTGTATGAATGTGTTAATGAATATGATATAAATGTTTAAAGGGATTGCTTCCCTAAATATTTCAATTTAAACATGGCAGTTTTAAGAGATTAGTGAATGGAATAGAGAAAGATTTTATTTTGAGAAAGGTTTAAATGAAGATTTCTTATGTAGTTTACCATATCCATCAGTTTCTTTGTATACTGAATCAGAATAAGTCGTTGTTATGGCAATATCTCATTTCTCCTGATGTAAAGCTCTGAAAACTGAGAAAAGGCTCAAAAAACTAAAATATGAATTTGTGTGACCTATAGAAATTTGTATTTTGTCAAGATAGACTGCTTTTCTTTCAAGAAATCGACACAACTTTGTAGGTATAAATTGTTATATTTTGTGAAGCATTCTTTTAACTGTTAGCAGCATTTCTTTATGAAGTTCTGATTTCTGCTGTAAATTATTTGAATTTTAAGGTAATTGTTGAATTTTTAACGCATGTAAGCCGCCTTGTAAAAATTTCCGTGCAGAATGTTGGCATAAATAAATAAAGCTTTGCTGAACGTAGACTGTCTAATTCAGACTATAAAAACATGGCATATTCAATTTTGTAAATCATTTACATACAGAATTTTCAATGTAAAAGTCAAAGTTTAAAATGGCCGTTTCTCCTTTGTGTATCAGTCAAAATTAAAACTTGAAATATTTTAATATGATCATATCTCAAGTCTGACTGTTCAATATTATTCTTATATTGTATATAAATATTAATTTTGTAAATATACAAATATATATTCATTTAGAATTATCATTATTATTATTATTATTAACCATATATTTGTTTTTAAATTATAACTTTGTGTACCTTGCTATTTATTTGTAAGTTCAGTGCTGAATTCAACTCAAAGTTCAAAGTTTATTGAGCCCATTTCTGAAAAAAACATCAAATTGAATTTTCTATGACAAGTGTGGATTTTTAAAGGTAAATGTTCATATTTTTGTTGGCTTTTGAGACATGGGCCCCAAATTCTTGCGTCCTTTAAATTTTCTGAATTAGGTTTCTATGCTATCTTACCCCTACTCTTCCAGTTGCCAATTCCTTAAGGACATTTGTTTTGCATTATCAATTTGAATCAAATTTTCATCATTTATAACAAATTGGCATCAATATTAGATTTTTACATTCATCATTTGAATTTTTAGTGTAAAAATATGTTAAAGGGACAGCCTAGCATTATCTAAGTGTATGTTACCTAATATGCAAAAAGCTTTTTATTGTTACCAAGTTTTGAAACTTGCTCCAATCTCTTTCTGCTGTGTTTCCCCTCAACGATCTCATTCATCTTTTCATATTTTCCCTTAAAAAATTGTGACAGATTTTTGTATTTTCATGAATACTCAATTAACAGATTTAGCCATCTTTACTAATCAATTATTTTAATTAATTAATTGATTGGAAGTAGAAATTTTGTTGTTAATTACTTAAGAAATAATTTAGTTTGTCATACTTAGATTAAAAAAATATCTTCATATTTTGGAGTTATCATTCTTTTAAGTTAATTTTTTTTTAATAATTTACTGACATAATGAATATTTTGATTTGTAATTAAGTAATGAAGTAATTAAAATAAAGAAATATGTAAATTTATGTAAATTAAGGCGTAAATAGACACTGTAAAAGCTTTAAATAGTATGCAATAATCTTTTCGTTACTTTATAATTTCATATTATCATATACTCTTGTAGCAATAGTTTTAACTTTCATTTTTCCTATTTTTGCCTTGTTGCAAGTGTACATTGCTAAAGGTAGCAAGTCTGTTAAATTGCATTATAAAGGTATTATCTCCCTGAGATTTAATTTCTGTATGTGCAAGTTTTCTTTTCATTTTCATGTGCCAAATTTATGAACTGTCAAATGTGCACACTTTTTTCATTGTTTTTATTTCTTAAGAAGTGGGAATACACGAGGTAAGGTGCTCTGTTAGGTGATGGATTATACATACAGTAGAAACTAGAAGACGTTAATTGTGTTCTGAATGTGTCTGAACCCCTACCCTACCGAACAGTCTTCTATTATATGGATAATACCCCGCCCGACACTGTACTTCGTCTATTCCACCTTTAATCTTTAAGTCACAATTTGTTTTCCATTGTAGGATCAGTTTCTAGTGTTAATTCTTCTCAATATATTGGAATGCTATATCTGTTATCAAATGACGTCACATAACGTAAACATCATCCCCTTATAAGTATATAACTTGAAGTTGAGTTTAGGATATATGAAAAATAAATTTATTACACTGAATCTTCAAAGGGTTTCTTAACGGACATTTAGAAATCTTAAAGTCTGTATCTGATGTTTTGTGACACTAATAATTCTTTCAACTCATACATAATAAGATAAGATAATAAGATAAGTTATGTTAATTAGTTAATTAAGACCAGCTGATTTTAATTAAGATATAAAATTGTAATGTACTGTATTGTTCTTACTAGTCATTTGCTAACGATATCAAATAATCTTCTCCTCATTTTTATCATACTATGTTTTATCATTTCAATAAAATGTGATAAGAAAAGGACTTTTTTTTCTCGAAGGTTTAAAAGAAACAACCTTTTTTACAAAGATACCAACTTAAGTTGACAAAGATCCTTTCTACCAGCTGTGCCTTGGTATTGATCTTTTGCAGATCATCTGCACCCATTTACAGCTGGGTTGACCGGAACTATGAGGAAAGATGACTTATTCTAAAAAAACATAACTGATATTATAGCCCACAACCACCATTTATTTGATGTAACAAGGAAAGGATCCCAACGCTCTAATTACCAGTGTTTAAAGCCTGTCCTCTCAAGTAAACAAGTTGTTGTAAACGTCACCTTTGCTTCCCTATTGATATCAGCAGGTGTGATAATAATATTTATTACACAGTTTTAACCAATATACTTATCACATATAGCTCCTGATAAATATATTATAGAATTCTATGGCAACATCTGATAGTTGATAATGCTACAGTAGGTATAAGATAGATGCAACCATTGTGCAAAACTGTGGCATAAACTTTCGTACTGAAGAAAGGTAGGATATTGTGTTTTTTCTCCTTGAGGCTCTAATTCCATGACTCATATTTCATCGAAATTATTGTTGCTAGCTTTTTCCATATTTTGAGTGGCATTTAAAGAATTTTAAATGGACATAGATCCAAAGATAAAGGTAATACTGAATATTCATTAATTTGCATATTTAATACATTTCATTTGCATATTATATTGTTTGATCAAGGCAGTAATTCAGTTTTTCCTGGAAATTATTAAGCATAACTATAGATGTTGGCTTGGTTCTCAAATGGTCAAAAATTATTTTCCATTTAAAAATTAACAAGAAAACACTTATGACAAACTTATAAGAATTTTTTGTGCTCGAAAACTTTACAGATGATTTTACTTTTCAGTCACCTGATTGGTCAATCATTAAAATTGACATTAAATTTAGTTTTATTATCCAATCAGATTACTGCATCTATTAAATCTAGAGTTAAATTAAGGTTTTTCAGAATAAGACCCCAATTTATAATAGTTATTTTTAGGGCTATAACCATTGTAATGGAAAGAACAATAACACAGCCAAATTTAGCCATAGACCTCATGTTAATCTAGCAGATGACCAAACCGTAATCTTCTCTAATAGTCGACCTGTCTCAACGAATATTATTCTGATCCACAGATAATCAGCTAATATGACTTAGGATAGGGCCTTTGTATAACTAGGGATAAGGGGACTTAATGGGACTTAATTTCTGTAGCCAGATCAAATTTGACAACTTAGACAAGCGGTAATCTGGATTTAACTATAATCCTCATTTCCTTTTCACACTCGCAAATCTTAAAGACTAATCATTCATACGGTATTTATTTTCATAATTTGGTATTCAAGACTGTTTTCATTGTCCATGGTTTAATATTATCTCCTTCAGAGAGTCCACATGGCTAATATTTTGGTATTTTTATGATTTTAATCTTATAATCTTAACGTCTAGTTATAGAAACAACAGACATAGCTTTCACAGATTCAAAATAGGCTTATGCTGCTGTACTGGCAAAAATCTCTCATTGAACACTGCATGGCTTTGTCTGTCATCAGTAGCTTAATCAGGTGCAGAAAAAGTAGGGCGTAAAACTCCATTTCATTTCATCCAGTACAATATGAAGTCAACTACTTTCTACAAAAATTTTAAGAAAAATTTCTAGATCTTCAAAATGAAATTTAACTTAAGGATTGCCTACAATTAAATGCATAAAATTGGCGCACCTTTTTCAGAGTTTCATCTGAGAATTTATGACATTATTTTTATAGTTTATTCAAATATTAGTCCATTATATTCTTGATCAAAAACACTTTTAACTGTTTTTCTATTATGAATTGAAATTGGTTATTTGTTCTTCTCCTGTTCAATAAGTGCACTAATGAGTTTGTTTTTTTTTAAATATCTGGATGAATTTTGTTAATGAATTCAGATTATTGAAATAATCCTAATGGCATGCTAGTGGGTTAGGGAGTGAGGTTCATGACTGTGTAAATTGTATAATATCTATGGCTCTGAGAGATTATTATGGGGTGTGTTTTGGGGAGTGGTTTATTAATATTTATCAACATGCCAACAATAGTCTCTCTCCAAATAGTTACCAGGATGTCAACCGGTAACAGTAGGGAAAACTGAGTCAAGAAAAAATCCTAAAACATTAAGTTTGAAAGTTATCTGATTATTAAATGGTTCAATAAATGTCATTTCTTCAAAGACCGACAAGTTAGAAAAGAATAAAATTTTGATCCTGGACAATAAATCTGATACGGTAACTTTCTGTGCAAATAACTCAATATACAAACTTCTCAATAGGCAACATATTTCTTTCAGCATTTCCAAAATGCTTAGGTATTTGGCGGAGCATGAGAAACAAGCATATGATATCGCTCTTGTACAATGAGCTTCTTAAAAATCTAACATATTTGCTCAAAAACCCAAACCTCACATGCACGCGAATTAAAACAGTAAACATTTTAATATCTCATAAAAAACGTTGACAACAAAAATATTGCTCTTATGAAAATACTTAATAATGTTATCATATCTTATATAATATTCAATACCTACTTCAATTTGACTGGTGTAATATTTGAAAACCACTTAAGAAATTCAAACAGTACATTCGACTCCGAGAGTTAATAAAGCCATAAAGTAAATATTTTTCAACCAATTGACAAATTATGTTGGAAAGACTCTGTGGTAAATCCAAATTTCAGTTTCAGTTTATAAAACTATAACGACAGTTAGGCCTAAGTGTTAAAACTGACAGCATAAAGATAATAGGAGAACATCCTCTGAACACTAATGATAAAATTGCGTAAATATGAACCAGGACGTTGGCTTAATGTTAAAAATTGTCATCGAACAACAATTCATATCTTACTTTTATATTTTTCTAATATTATATTTTTCTGAAAAATTATTGGTTTTGTTGGTTTTTTTTTATTTTTAATCAGTACATCATGCATAATTCAACCCATAAAATAACATAGCAGGCTAATGACCTAAAAATTGTTGGACTAAATTCAGAGGTATGTTTGTTCACAAAAAATTGTTGCTTCAAATCCAAATTACGTAGCACTTGGCCAAATATAGGTTAAAAGAAGCCTCGATGACTAAAATGACTGGCTATTCGACTGTAGAGCCGTAGAGGAACCTAACCCATTAAGGACACTTGATAGGCATTAGCAATTTTCTCAATGCAATAAATGATAAATAATAGAAGAGTTCTTATTCTTAATCTCATCATGAATTATAAATTAAATCAAATCATTCCAGCCTACTTTTTTATCGATTAGATAAAACTACACGTTATATAACCATCATTAATATAAGTTATTCATATTTTTTGCTTTGTTTCATCAAATAATGATAATTTCATGGCGTTGAACCTGAAGATGTTGGATACCGTTATTATTATAAAAGTCATAGATAGTACAACTCAGTTAATCAATACCTGTATACAATGTTTTCATCACGTGACACTGTTGCGATGGTGATAAACTTTGACACAAAATAGTGCAGATTGCTTTAGTTCATTTTCTAATGAATTTTACCTTTTGTTGACACCTTGAGAAATATTTTGGAATAATTTGTCGTGAAAAACGTTGTTTTGGGACTTGTGTTATTTGTGCAGGAAGATATTCTTTTCTCAATGACATTAACTCGTGCGTATGAATTGCATTATCCTTGGAATTTCTAAAATGGCGTCGCAGGTGCTTGAAAAATGGAAATAATGAAACATAGAAAAGAATGCAATAACATGAGAAAAATGGCTTGATTAAAGAATATTCTGGTGAGAATTATCATCTCGTATTCGAGGAATCTATTAAAATTGCTTTGGAATCGATGCGTTCTACGGTTGTGTTGTTTCGAGCGTCCGAATTATCAGCTGTTGTGTTAAAATTGAAGTTGATTAACCGTTATGGTTTGTTATTGTTTGTCTCCGAGGTGGCCATTCTATGAAATTCAACACTCGATAATTTTGACAGCTCATTAAGAATTGATAAATATAGTAACAGTTCGAGATATCCTGTTGTTGACATTTTTTTTATGGATGTATTAATTGATTCTATTGATTTTTCTTTTCAGAAAAAGTGACAGAAATTTATTTATGTAATTGTGTTGCTAAGCAGAGAAAAAACCTACTTTCAGCAAGTGTTGCAATTTTAGTTTATAATTTTACACGAATTCTGTTTATTTCTGGATATTATACGCATTCAGGATTATGTTTGAATTTCATCTAGTCGACTTTGTTGTTGTTAGCTGCCAATTTATTTTATAATCAGGGAGAAAGGAATTTAACCCTGAAAAAGGAAAAGACAAAATGGATAAATATGAACGAATCAGTAAAATTGGTGAGGGTTCGTATGGACTTGTGTATAAATGTCGAAATCGTGACACTGGACAATTAGTTGCAATAAAAAAATTTGTGGAATCGGAAGATGATCCGTTAATACGGAAAATAGCGATGAGAGAAATCAGAATGTTGAAGGTGAGAATAGTAATAAATATTCAAAATGGATGTTTCAAAGAAATTTGTATTTGAAATTAATTTTTTAACTCACGTATGTAGGCTAGGCTATCACTGAAGTGAAGCGTCTGAAAAACGTATCTCTATTAATCTGAAATTTTGATGTTCTTTAAAAAGATTTTAATTCAAATCTATATTGAAATTGTGATTGCCAAGAATTGTCAATATCCAAAAAAAACTCTTGAATGAAAAGATTTTAATAGGCTACCCTTCATGAGGGAATCCTTGTAAAGGTCAAAGGTGGCAATGATGTCAAAAATTGATAGATAGAGAAAGGCCTTTCAAAGTATGTTGAGATTTTACTTGGCACAAAATTGAGAGTTGTTATACAAGGTGAAAGAGAATTAAATGATTTAAATGTGTTTAATTCTGCCATTTCAGCAATTAAAACACAATAATTTAGTGAATTTAATAGAAGTGTTTAGAAGAAGAAAAAGACTCCATCTTGTTTTTGAATATGTTGATCATACAGCGCTACACGAGTTAGATTCTCATCCTAATGGGTACGTTTTAAAACAATACATATTATTTGCCATTTAATATTCCATCATCGATGACTTTATTGCAAATTATTTCAGTGATAATTCAGAATTGTAATCCAGTAGAGAAGCCAAATGAACTAATTTAAGAATTGCATAGTGTCAAATATATATACATTGTCAGTATTCAAAACTTACTTTTGCCAATGCTTTGATTATTTTGAAATAAAATAAGATTCAAATATTACTGCAAAAGTGAAAAAGTGAAAGTTTATGGCTTGAAATTTTATTGAAATATTGAATTAAGATTTGAAAGATATGTTTTATATGTAGTGGCATATCAGAGTCTTAGAACTAGGGGTACAAATAGAGGGTAGACTCACTAAATGCGGCGGACAACTGTCAGGGTTTTCAGCGATAGAAGCCCCTAAATAGGCACAGGCCTCTTATGGAGGTTCTCTCTCCAGTTGAATTTTGTAAAACAGAATTGATTTGAAGCATTTGGACACATAATTTGCAGCAAAAACTTATAAAAAGTCATACCGGTAATTCAAAATGAAGTAGGTGAGGGGGGAGGGATAATCTATTTTTCTGGGCTGTACTCCTACTCCCACTGGCTACACCACTGAATATATTATGATATGTTCTATAATGAAATTGTGTAACACTGTACTGAATATTTTGTTTATTTTATTTAGAGTGGGAGAGAATACTACAATGACCATAGTTTATCAAACTTTATTAGCAGTCAATTTCTGTCATCAACATAATGTAAGTCAATAACAGTTTTATTTTTTCAGTTTTCTTTTTAGAAAATTTGGGAGCTCAATTTTCCTTATGCAGGATTCATGAAAACTGGACTGAAATAAATTCAAGATTGTATATTTTTGGGTCAGCTGCTCTGTTAAGATTACTTACGTATTCCAAGTCTGTCTCAAACTCATATGGTTGCTGAAACATACATCTATATTTGTACATCATTGAATGAACAAATCTATGAAAAGATCTTCAAATATTCTCCACTCTCTTCTAATTTAGGCAATTCACAGAGATGTTAAACCAGAAAACATTTTGATAACAAGAAATGGGCAAGTTAAATTATGTGATTTTGGTTTTGCAAGAATGCTTAGTAAGTATAATTCTTTTATTATTAAATTTCTTAAGGCTTTCATTCTATAATCAAAGAGGGGAAGGAGCATATCATTTTTTCGCCTTAAGATAATTTGAAATGGATTGATTAATAAAGTCCCAAACTGAGCCTTCCTGACTATCAGACTGTATCTGTAGTATGACCCCCCCTGTCTGTCTGTCTGTCTGCTATAGTGGATAGCACTATTATTGAATTCTATATCTAATTCCAAAAAATTAGATCATACTTTAGCTCTCTCTCCCCCCTTGGCACATTGGACTGGTTTCGGGTTTGAGCTTACTTCTTACCAATGTGCTTATTAATGAATAAATAGTCATCTTGTGTACCATATAACAATTCTGATTACCATCTACCTGTAATTGATTAGAGTCCTCTTATTGTTATCAGGATGGCTTTTTTGGAAATGGTTGTCAACGATCCACTTTCAAAAATTGGACTTAAGCCCCATTTATACAATATATGCTTGCTTCTGATCATGTGGATTTTTAAAATTAAGTGTAGAATATTTACTTGGATTTTTTATCACAGAAAAAATATAATCATCAAATTTTTTTTATTATTGCAGCGGGTCCTGGTGATGAATATACAGATTACGTGGCAACTCGTTGGTATCGAGCCCCAGAATTATTAGTAGGTGATACGCAATATGGTCCTTCGGTAGACGTCTGGGCGATTGGCTGCGTCTTCTCAGAGTTATTAACAGGGCAGGCGTTATGGCCTGGACGATCTGATCTAGATCAGTTATATCTTATCAGAAAAACTTTAGGTAAGAATTTAAACATAAAACTGGGCATGGTTTGTAGATATTTAGGGGCAGACCAGGCCCAAAGCTGCAGGCGGGCAAGGGGAAAAAAAGGATTGCTCCCGAAAAAATTCAGACAACTGACCAATTCCATTACTGCAAACTAAACTATTTCCTCTGCAGATATATAACCTGACGCTCCGAACAATTTAGTCTGGCTACGGGCCTGAGGCAGACTGAATAGCAATATTTGTAAACAGAGTTGTAAGGCCTCGTAGCATCCCTTCGCCCTCAGTCTGTGACCTGTGTCTGACTCCTGAGTTTGCTTCTGTCTATATGAAAGTAGTGATTTTTTGTTTTTTTCCTTACCAAATAGGACTTTTGGTCCTAACGATGATAAAAAATTGATGTAAATCTCCATTATTTATTCCTGATCTATTTCAGGTGATTTAATACCACGGCATATGGAGATATTCTCGTGTAATGCTTTTTTTAAAGGTATGATAATACCTGACCCTGAGAGAATGGTAAGTAACGTTTCTTAATGTTCTCCTCCTAAATTTTTTGATAGATATTAGAAGTTTAGGTCTGGGTGGCCCGAAAAATGTTGCCATACCCTACTTGATATATGATTGGGATATCAGTGTTTAGGGACAGACTCAAAAGGTCACATTTTATGGGTGCTGCTCTGATAAAAATTCCACAATAACAAAAGCCAAATTTGGCAAAACTGTGTGAGATTTTTAATTTAGTTTTGGGACAAATTTGTTCGTGAAAGCTTTTAAAATATTTTTGAAAGAATTTCTTACGATTCTTATGATTCATTTTCTAATTTCATTAATCTAGGAACCTTTAGAAGAAAAATTTCCAAGGTTTAGTAAAGAAGCTATCTCCTTTTTAAATGTAAGTATATATTCTTCCCTCCTGTCTAATGAGCTTACTTATCATTTCAGTGAATATTGAAATATTGAACTCTTTTTCTAGTTGAATTTATAAACAATTTGGACAATGGACATTTACCAAATACAATTTAGTAGATACATGCTTCTTTTGACTGTCTTCATCATTGAGGTCAGCCTGTAACTCAGTTGGATAGAGAGATAAGATTTGATGTCTTTTGTCTGTTTATGTGGACTGTAATCTTGGTCTGCAGATGACCCAGCTTTGAATGGGTATGATAATTGAGGAAAGATCAGTGCCAAGAGGTTTGGCTAAGGACCAAAAATCGTCAGGTTTAAGACGTTGGATTGAATCGACCCTAGTGCCCGTGATAATTTTTAACTTTTATCTTTTTAGGACTGTTTAAAAATGGACCCTCAAGACAGAGCAACATGTGAACAGTTAATTCATCATCCATATTTAGAGAAAATGAGAGAACGAGATCCTTCTTCTTCGCGAAGGACAGAAAACAGTTCACGTTTTGGTAATACACACGTAGTAAGTATTTTTTTTTTTTTTTGTGATGGCTTTCAAGGACTTGGATGGACAATTATCTTGGAATGAGTCAGGAACATGAAACATTTACATTTTTGATATCTAATTTAAAGTTATGAACAGTAAGAAACTGCAATAGTCTGCATACTTTTCTAGTGTTTGCACAGTAGTTTACCCCATTGAAAACTGAATGGTGTTGTCTGGAAGGAGTCAGAAACATGCTTGATTACATGCAATGGGGAATTTAGTTGAATCTTTCCATGCCTCTGATAGCTATATTGAAGTTTATCAGCTAACATGAGTCAGAAATTACATTTAATCTTCAGCATAAATATAAGATTGCATGTTTGAATATTAAACTGAATCCAATGATTGAGTTAGCACAGTTGTCTTGGAAAATTGTCCCCATTGCATACCTCATGGCATTGTCTGTTGAGCTGCTAAACAATCTGTGAACTACAAATTGTTGCGACATAGGCTACAAAGTTTTGAGGCTCAATTCAGGCATTGTTTTTGGAAATTTTTTTATGAAACTGGCCTTTACCACCCCTGAAATGAAATTGGAAATTTATTTCAGTATCAACAATTACCACAGCTACAAATACAGCGCCCCCAGCAAACCACTTCACCCACTCCAGTCAAACCTCCAAAACAAGTCAAAGCAAAACATAGATTCGGACATCTACCCAACATATGACTTTTTGGTCAAGGAGTATTACGTCCAGATGGAAAATGAATGAATTCTTTTCCATCTTGATGTCTTGACTCTGGCGGCCATTTTTCATTTTTATCTACATCGGGGAGCAGTGTATTCGGCACGTGTGATGCACAGCTGATTACTGGGATTCTACCTCTTAGAATGAACAAAAAATTTAAAATCTAAAATTTGGCCACTGAAATAACTGGACACAATTATATGGATAACAATTTCTTTAATAGGTAAATTTAACGTTGTGACGAAGGTATTTTTGTCTTTATCAAGCATTGCTTAAGTTTTTTATTTTAGTAATTGGTATCCATATAATTGTGTCCAGTTATGTATTCTCTTATAACTAAATGCCGCTTAAGGCTGTTAACCAATAGGAGTATATATTCATCAGTAGACTTATACCTGGTGTTATAACTATACAACAGAATCATTGTATACGATGATAAATCTATTAAAATAAGTAATTATTGAAAAACGTTTCAAAATATTACCTGAAATTTAAAGTTTTATCAGATTATAGAGGGATTCTGTTGTATAGTTATGACATCAGGTAAATCCACTGATTAATATACTTATTAAGCCATGATTAAATATTTGGATTTTTTGGTCATCCTAAGAGGTAGTATTCCTTTCACTGTATTATTTGACAATGACTTCTTACATTCAGGGCTTTAATGTATTTATTAATCTCAATTTCTAAAATATAACTCACAGTGCTAGAGAGCCAAACCTCAATAGATATATTGCAGCTAATTTAATAAATTGCAAGTTAGTAATGAACATCAGGGTCCATTCGAAACAATTACAAGAGCAGTCCACTTTATTTTGATGTAGAATAAACAAAATTTGGAACTTCACGAGCTGGACTTTTTCTTACTATACTATATCTACACTACCTATATATAAGTCAACTGCTTGTGTTAATGTTTTGAATTTGAGCCAGATGTGCAAAAATACCTCAGCTTGACTATAATTACAAGAATTCGACTATTTAAAAATAAAAATATAATATTCAAATATTAAAAACTTGTTGTTTAAAATAAAGATTCTGATGTTGTCTCATTTAAAAAGCTCAGATATTTTATATTAGGTGTGAGATTTAGAAATAAATGGTAAAGTTATAAATCTAAAATGGAGAAATTGCAAACTTCAAAACTTAAAATGAAGAAATTGCAAACTTTAAGAGTCAAAATGTTGATTTGTTTGTGTGGTTTCTTGTTTAGATATTTGGTGCTCCAAATTAAACCAATGCTTTTCTATTAGTTAAAAAAAATGGTCATTTAACTGAAAGCTTAAAACAAAATGTCAGGTGAAATTGAACTGAAATTTTTTAAAGTCTTCAGTCCATTGAATGGAAATTCTTTTTTGGCTTAATGATCGAAAAGGTTCCTTGAAGTTTCTGTATACCAAAGAGGTTCCTAAGATAGGACTCCTAACTTTACCATTTATTTTAAATTAACTGCATCTGCTGTTAAGACAGAATATTAAAGATGTGTTCCCATAATTTTTTTTTTATTCTCAAAATGAAATTAATTTCAAATATTAATTCTAGTTAAATATTTTGGTCCTAATACTGGTCTTTTAAGCACATTCTTATATCTGCAGGAAATATTGTTCCAAAAATTTATGTAACTGATTTATATTGACTGAAATTAGGAAATTGGAGATGATTATTCCATTTGACTTGTCATAAATACAATTGACAATAAATGTAATATTTATCAGTTGAAAATAAAAGTAAAATGCGGGAACCCATCTTTAAATAAAAGTATAGTAAATATTGTCTGTATATTCTAAATGTATTTGTTATAAAACCAGTCCACAATATCAGTATGTAGTAACAACTTATTATAGATAACTTATATATAGATACCAGTATCATAAAGGGTCATTTGATGCACATGCATTTTTAAAATATGATTTGGCTTATTTTGATTTAGTTCAAATGGAAAAGGCCGTATATGGTCTTATAAAATAGTTGTTTCAGTTGCGATTGCACCAAATAGTGTGAAAAATTTTGCAGAGTTTTTTCAACATACGTAAAATATGATTATAAAATATTCAAGATTTTAAAAACTTTGAAAGGTATCTTTTGGTAAAGTTTTGCTTTCATTCTGAATTTTGCACATTTTTATCTTGTTGAAGGCATTGGTGACCCTTTATGATATTGTAAAGGTAGAAAGGAAACTAATATTATCATATTTCAATAACAAGGAGAAAGAACTACAACCCTCACTTCATCCCAAGACCTTTATTATGATATATACATTACTTCATTCTACCTCTTAGATTATTGTAGTCTGTATTAGGTATCCTGTCTTACATAATTACTCCCCTTGTTAAGAAATAGTACCACAGCATTTAGCTGAAAACATTCAAACATTGTGTCTAAAATTGAATTAGTTATTTAGTTTATAAAGGAACCATTCAAATCCTTGATAAATTTTTACCAGATAAACCTAGTACTAACAATCCAAACTGCAAAACGAAACCCAAAGTCAAACAACAACAAAATGGCGAAACATTGATAGTAGCTAATGAAATTTTCATTACAGTTAAATAAACAGCTTTGTCACAACTCCAACACTTTAGCGATTACCAGTTGCGTATCGTTACATATAATGAAAGTGGTCATGAATATTGAACGCAACTCATAACTCATTTGCATGAGAGTTGCATTCGAAACTTATGACTGCTATTCTTATACGCAGCTGGTGATCTATGTTGTGACGGCCAATGAAGTCGAAGAAGAAGTCAACTTGTAAATTATGTATAAAATGGCACCCAACACCTAATTTAGCACCTTCCAACACCTGATGTACAGTTCCACCATTGTAGGGTCCTAGTCAACTAGTATTTAGCAGTTACCAAATCTTTAAAGTCTTAAAGCATAATATGGTTTTTGAGGTGGACACTTTTCTCAACATACTGTTTCTAGTTGAGTGAGTGTACATTTCAGACCCAAAAACTTTTGTGCCATAAGATCCCAAATTTTTGCTTCATAAATTTTTTCAAAATTTTGCTACCTTTTTCCCTTTGTAGAAACAAAAATTTAAAACTAAAGTTTAAAAAATGTTAAGTTGGCATATTGGACCTGTTCACGTTTTGTTTATATTATAAATGCTACCCAGTAGGCTTAGAGAACTTGACAAGTTTAATTCTATATCTTTTATATTAAGTGGTCGTGGCTTCAAACTTTCTCAAAAGTGAAAAACTTGTTTTTTAGTGCCAGGATTGTGAAATTTGAAACATAATTTTGTAATTAGTAGGAAATTTCACGAACTGTGGAGACGAAATATTATCGTTTCTTCCTAAAGAAAGCTGAAACCATTCTGATTAAAATACAGCTCTAGATATTTTGATGTGTCTTTGATTATGTGGGTTACTTTTCATTCTGGAATGACCGAAAAAGCCCACAGAAAATAAAAGAAACTAAATATCTAAAGTTGTATTTGAATCAGCCTGGTTGGAAGCATGGCCATCTTGGTATAAAACTATAGAATCAAGCTTGTCAATGTCTTTAAGAAAATGAAGTATGGCCACAAATTGTACAAAAAAGTTTTTCTTGAACATTACGTGTTAATGCATTGTATATTTGTTCGTTTTCTGCTTTTTTGATAAACGGAATTCGTGCTGTTTTGGCTTTTAGCTTGACCATTATGTATTTATGTTAACTTTCATTTTTGCCAAATTGTTATCAACTGTTTTTTAGCATTATTCATTTGGGCTGAATTTTTGAGGATCTTACCAAAATATGATGAAAATATAGGAATATACAAATTAACTCCATATAAACCAATTCATAAGATTTGGTGAATGTGTTTGAATTAATTCGAATGAAGCTGTATATCTTATAGATGACATTCTCGAATTTTGGATTTTGGATGGCTGCTTTTAATTATGATTTCATTAATATTAAATATCAAATGTCATTATCAAATATTATTTATTTTATGAAAAAGACTATCATAAATACATACACATTTTCAAAAAAAATCTATTGAGTAAAGAAGAAAGGTACAATGTTTTTTCTGAAGAATTTTCTGCCAAATTTTTGGTTATTATTCTAGACACGTAGTCACCTCACTAATTTTCTAATCATTCCTTTACATTTCTAAATATTTTAAAGCAAATTGTATATAGCTACATAAACATTTCTTAAGATACCCTCACACTATAGTGATTACTAGTTGTGTATAGTTGTAAATAATGAAAGTGGTCATGAGTTCTGAACACAACTTATAACTCAGTTGCTTAAGAGTTGCGTTCACAAATTATGGCCACTATTTTTATACACAACTGGTGATTGCTATGGTGGTCAGGGCATCTAAAATATATGTTTAGTAAATTCATCCAGGGGTAATTTTCTTTCATGAGTTTCTTTATTCATTTATTCACCAGAAAAGAGGAACTGGTTATTTTATGAAAATCTATAATTATTTAGTAAAGAAAGGTGATATATTATTCTGTGATTTTGTTGTTAATATAATTATTGACATGTTTTATATGTTATGACGACGTCGTTTTTCTTCAGAATCATATTTTGTCTTCTGTCTAAATATATATCGTGTCATTTTTCTGCTTTTATTAAATTTTCACTTATTATTAGGGCATTGTTACTCTCAGCTTTTGGTTATATGATCAATCTAACTTTAAAGGGATTGTAACAAGAGTTTTTTAAAATTTGTTTATGTGTATGGGAAACACTGGTAGCATCAATTTGCACCATTCTAATTATTGATCATTTGTCTGTGGTTCCTGCAATTCCACTAAAAAATGTTTAATGACATCACTAATCGCAAAATATGTTTAATCACATAAAGACTAGTGGCACCATTAAACACTTAGTTTTAGTGGAATTGTAGGAACCACAGACGTCTGACTAAACATTGGATTGATGCAAATTGATGTTATCAGTGTCTCCGATACACATATCAATTTTAAAACCTCTTTACAATCCTTTAAACAGCTTTATAGATACTTAGATTCATTTGTTTCTGTAATTAAAGGAACATTTACTAATATTTTAAAATTATGTTTTTCCTGGAAACAGTCACTTTAAGTTAGTATATTAAGTACAGAAACAGTCTAAAAGTACTGATTTTAAACTTTGCTATATATTCTAGTTTCATTTCAATCATTAATATTTTTCAGTGTAAAATTTCTCATTTATTTTAAATATATTGAATGTTGCGACGTTGTCTCTACAGAATATAGCAACTTGTAAACAATATTATTATTATTATTATTAGATTTCGCATTAAATATTATTTAATGTTATTAAAATATAACTTAATCTCTTGTTGTTATATTATACTGGATATTTCAATGTTTGAATAGGCTGTTATTGGTCACATCCCATTGTGTTTTTTCTGCAGGTAATTACAAATGCTATCAATGGGTGGAACTTGATTGGAGAGTTTTGAACCGGTTCCGTTTGTCCAATTCTGCTCCCAATCAAGCCGTATAAAAGATTGTGACATCAAGACTTTTCCTATCTATTTCCTTCTCCACCATTTTCAAATCTGTCTGCACCTTCTATTTTTTCGACACACTTGGAACGTGTTCTGAATTTTGTTCCAAATTGTTTCATTGAAAGCTCTGTTGATTCCATAAATTCTGAACTCGCAGCCCCACGCTCTGATGAGATTCTTTTTTAAAGCACGTTCAGTGGTATTTTGATCTAATTTGGTGGTTTCCAATCTGTTTTTGTATATGTCTCTTAATGGTGTCAACATGAAAAGTATGTCCTCTGAAGGAAAACGTAGAAATCACTAGGTAGTTGGATACTTTTTTCCATAGCCATCACACATCAAATGTCAACAAATCTTCCCACAAGGGGACATGTCAGCAGGGTTGAAACCTAAGATCTAATAGCATTATAATAACTGTCATTCATTTCTCAAAATTAAATTAAAACTGTGGTTTTTATCTAAGCCAAAAAGTAGTTTATTTGAGTAAGAGACACTATGATCATTATGTAACAAATTTTGCTGACAAATAAAACAACTTTTAACTAAGATCGCATAAAATACATAGTTATATACAAATTACACTAAATATTTAAATACCATATTATATACATAACAGGATGAAGATTTAGAAATGGAGAGTAGATATATAACAGAAAACACAAGGGAATATATTATGGTATAATATCACTTCTATAATAACAAAGTACATAATGACACGTGTATGTACTTTGTTACTGTAGAAGTGATATTCTACCATAATAAAATTCCTTGTTATTTTCACCATAAAGCTTATTTTTCAGCATTTCTATCTAATTGTTCTATTCAGCAGAATATTGACCAAATTTTATCTCCAACCATTTGAATATTTCATTATGTTAAATTTTGTGCATGTAGTTTCTATTTAATTTAAATGATATTCTGATAAAAATAATACTCCTCACTTAGCCAAATCTATAAACATTTTCATATCAGTTTTTAAGAAATTATGTAGACAAATTCAATCATATAGTTTTACAATCCAATTGATCGTATGGAAGGGAAATTTCGTTTCGTGTTATTTCTTTTAAAGTTAAATTCATTTTTGCACAATTATTAGAATACATCAAAAGCACGAACTGAGACATCCAATATAATACAGTTGTACTTTACAATTTAAGCTAGTCAATAATTTTGGCCACAATTTGCCTGACGAGACTGCTTTAATTTACACAAAAGGTAGATGGGGAAAAAACATATACATAACATATTTCTAACAAAACAAAAAACTTAAAAATTATATACAATTATCACATTATAGAATATAACTAAGGTAGAATCCAGTGAAGATATTTATGCATGTTGGGGTACAATTAACTGAACAGTCCACTTGTGTTTAAGGTAGCGTAAGTAGTAATGAACACAATATAAGTGTGTTTTACGTAGTGCTAGTTACTATTTAATCTACCTCAAAACAAAATAGACTGCTCTTACATTTGGATGTTGAAAGACTTTCTTAAAAAAAAAGAAATTATATAAGAATGGTAAACCACCTTTCCTGGTTTTTAAAGGTATATTATTGGTCACTATAGGTAGATACTAACTATACAATACAACTAATCAGAAATCTCACAATCTTTCAGCAGTAGAATCTGAAGTTTCTAGTAGTTTAAAGGTGCAGAAACGAGCGGTCTTGGTGGGAGATTTTTGTCTCTGACTCGAAACTTGAGTAAAATCTCGCGTGTGCCTGTGCTTCCACGACAAGATTATCGTGTCACTGACAGGATTTATAATATAAAACAAGTTTGATAATATTGTCTCCGATAGTTTTATCGTCTTCAAGACAGACCATCATCATCCAATCAGATTCCTTTTCCTTTCAATTGCATGCTCCACGTGATTATCAACAATGTGGAAAACAACCGACTGGAGATTTTTGTCTCCTTCTGTGCCATTGCCAGTCTTCAAAACTCAAGAAAAGACTCTAATCAGCGACAAAAGCTTCCGACCAAGACCTCAATGGGTGATAAGAATTTGTTGCAAGATTGAAATTTCACATTGAGAAATTCCATCCATAAAAAATGATCAAAGAGTTTGGTTGAAAGTTGAAACGCAGCCTTGACTACTAAACTAAACAGTAAGAGTTACTACCTACAGGTTTTTTAAAAATGATATCTGGACAAAATTTCAGATCTATGAGACGGTACAACCACTAAAATTTTTAGGATCTTTATCAGACATGGGTGTTTCTTTTTCTTTCACTGGAGGTAAGTTCTCTGGCTTCTCTCCCTTTGTCTGAAAATAATATTTGAAAAACATAACAGAGACCCCTTATAACCTTACATTACAGATTTTTTCGTGCTGTTTCCCTTACACTCTTGTTATAAATATTTTCTATCCTTGGGTCTATAAATAAAAACCTTAAATTAAGATAATCTGAAAAAATCAGAAATATCAAAATCATCTTTAAATTTAGTTTTATTGTCCAATCAGATTACAGTATTTTTTCAAGTTTTTATCTTAGTTCAGTGTTTGAAAAATATGACACCTGATTAAAAACTTACTTTAGGTTCTGGTTTGGGTGCCATGGTTGGGTTAAACTGTTTATAAACATCTAAAGTCCACAAGGAATGTAACGCTGGGGCTGCATAGTCTTCAGGACTAACTAAACCATACGTAGCTTTTAATTCCAACTGTGGTGGATCGAACGCAACTTTCTGATGATAGCTGAAATAAATTGAAAACTTACAAATAAATAATGTCCTAAATCCTTTATATATGTTGGGTTTAATAAAATGTAGATAGGTGTTTAAAGAACAAATATTGAATGCTGATCTGAATGTCTCAATTTGGTTATTCACACCAATTAATTCAACAGAGGATGCTTTCTACCAACTGGTCCTTGGCCAAACGTTGGCCATATTCGATGGGTCAACTGGAATAATGAGGAGGAAAGATAAATATTCACACACAAATTGAGATCCCACAACTATCTTTTTTTGACGTAACCAAAAAGAACGCTTTAAACATTTGACTGTGATGATGAACATGAAAACCATGACAAATTTTTGATACTTACATCATACCATTTTCTCTCTCACATTTCTCTAACGTCCTGCGAACTAACGGACCAAGTTTTCTAAAGAATATATGATCCTGTGGTCTAGCTGTTGTACCTGCTCCTTTACAAGTAGCATATTCTTTACATAGTAACGATGATTTCTCATATACTGCAATTAATTAAACTCAAATTAGTTTTATGTTGGTTTTTTGCTCTTGATTGGCTAACGAAAATGGACAATTCCATGAAGAATGAAATGAAATGAAGATAGCCTGTGATAGCAGTGTAAGCTAATTTCTTTTGATTCTCAAGCGTCAAAATATTTGTAACATGTCTAGTAGATCACCATAGAACAGTGGTTCCTAATCTATTTTCTACACCACTGACGCCCTTGTCCCACACCCCTAGGTGAAAACACCCCAGGTTGGGAACCAGGACCATAGACAAAGGTTATTTCACTTCAATTGTTCTTCGGGTTTTGTTCTTTGTTCCATAGCATGTCTTGACAATGACAAGGGAAGCCTGGTCGAAAAATCAAAAGATAACATCTTAAAGACAGCAGAGAATAACAGATCTTCAGATTTGTGAGAAAGTGCCCAATGCAATGAGCCACAATGGATCCTTTTGTTTGCCAAAAGCTGTGAAAAATTAACGGACTATCACTTACATTGCACACTCTCCCTTAATCCTCTGATAGCCTCACCACATTTATCTTGAGCTAGTAATGTTTCTCCATGATAACTGTGAGCCTGTATATAATGGAGAAAGAAATATGGCTTCACTACAATCACAGTGCAGTGCTAGGACTAGTTAGAGGGTATTAGAGGCGAAAAAAATTATGATTTGTAAATATTCACATTATTGGATGGTCTCAAAGTTAGAAGTCTGGGCTTTTAATTCTGAAATATGATTGTTAATAATTCTTTTAATTTGCCATCAATAAAACAGTCACACATTTCAAAATAAGTCAAATATAAAATTCAATTTTGCAAGGAAAATAATTTAACTCACATAAGATAAATAAAAAGATTGTTTGAGTTGAAAATACTTCCTCCATTTTCCAACTAGGGCCACTTCTAGACTGGATAAAGTATCATCTTAAATAAAGAAACAAATTAGTCAGTCACAAAAATACAGAAAACTCATCTTCACAATGTCAAGTTTTTTATGAACTTTGTCCAATACCTTGACTTCATTAGCCACTATTCATGAGAAGATGTTTAAAACTATGGTCACAAAGTTACAGATAAAGTTCATCAGCAGGCCTATACACACATGCTGTACACACTATAAAATTTGTACTAAAGTAGAATTTGCACAAGTTCATAAAATTATTGTCATTGAACTTGTTTGAAAATTGCCTAAATTACTGACTTTAACGTTTATCTCATTCTTTGCGACAATCAAACTCTGAAACTCTAAGTTTGTGAGCAGGCGTCTATTCTACTTAGTCTCCTATTCTTTGCAGGAGATTGGAGATAAGACACAAAACATATATTATACCTGCAGATTGATACATTTGACTGGTTTCAAAAGATAAAGCAGCAATTAAACTAGATGAGTGTTTCATCTCTACTGCTCTGGCTAGCGTCACTGAAAAAACAAATTCAATGCATTAAAATACCAACTTTTACTACAGAAGCTCATACACATACATAAGATAACTAGAAAAATAAAATTTCCTAATCCATGATTCACGAGGAAGAGTAAGCTCACTATTTCAGGAACACCTGATACTACCTCTATTGAGAGGTCCAATTTTATTTTGTTTCATTTCCGGAATGTTGTTTCCCGATTGTTTTTTTCACCCGATTTTTCCTGTCCATAGATTTTCCTACTGGCTTTGAGACTTTTGTATTCTTTCGTTCGGCTTATTAATAAATCAAACAAACTGAACAGATATCTAAATTAAGTCAATATTAAGTACTATATCTAGAACATTATGTTTACATTATTATCAGATAGAATTGAAATTGAAATAAAAATGTTTTTAAAGAAATCATCAATTTATAATTTCAGTGTAAGAATTAAAGTATCAGTTTATTATATAATATATTATTATTATCTTATTGATTTTTAGGTCTTTGGACTACAAGTACGAATATCCATTTTAACATATCAACCTTAACATTCATGAACATTGTTTTTACCCTGTACCAGTGCCTTCTGTTGTATATTAACTTGTTTCCTTTCAGCCACCCTAATCTCTTATATCTAGACACAACTTTATGGAACACTTTTACCAGTGATTATTGTTCCATAAAGCTTAATTCCATGAAACTAGAACATGCGAACTCACCATTTGAGCGGCCCAGGGATTTGGGAACTAATGGGAACTATTTATGCATCAAGTTACAGAGATCTATATAACAAAAACTCAAATATAATGTAGGATGTGTAAAGGGAAGAAACTGTTTTCTACCTTCTTGTGCTTCAGCTGTAGATTGATAAATATAAGCATCTAACACCCTGGAATCTGTATCTACACCATTTTCATTATTTTCACTCAGTTTACCAATTATATCATTCTGTCAATAAAAAATTAACAAGTTTGAATAATAGATTAAAAAAAAAACAAAGTCTATTATAGAAAATAAACCAAATACTTTTTTATCATTACATAAAGCCTTACAATAATTAATGCATGCAATGGTGCCAGGTTTCTTATTTATCATGATAATATCTCTGTTTTTAATGCATATGTTTTTGGCAATTTCAACGGAACAAGTATCATTTCTATGTAAGTAAAAAAATGTTCAAGTATAATATAAGTTTATTAATAATAATAATAATAAACTCTTTATTTTACATGGATCAAAATTAGGCCCAATACACAAGGACATGGTCCTGTCTAACATTCAGCCCTTGGGGACAAACATAGACTCTTTTTTTTACAAGGGTCAGAATTAGGCCCAATTCAGCCCATGGTCAGTCATACCTTAACATTAGTAAAAATACCAGCAGCTAGTCTCAGACATTTATGTACTTCTTTAGCTTCTTCCATATCAGGTCTAGAGAAAACAGAATCAGGTTTTATATCAAAAGGGTTGTAAAGAGGTTTTCTAAATTATTTATGTGTATCAGGGACACTGATTGCATTAATTTGCACCATTCCAATTTTCAATCAGATGTCTTAAGTCCTTGCAAGTACACAAAAACTTCTATGATGCCATGAAGCTATTGATAATAGCGATAGTTACGTCAGTAATGCTTTACAGTCTTTTTAAGATGAAAATCCTACGTTCTACTACAAAAGCATCTCATCCACATAGATAACAATGTTTATTTGATTTGTATCTATTGATTGAAACAACATATAAAAGTTTATAAAAGAATCAAGTCTAATCAACTTACTCTTCCTTAGCCGCTAATTTAGCGGAATGTTTTGTATACCATAATGCAACATTAATGGCCATGTGAGCATATTCAAATGCAGCATCTTGTTGTTGTCTGAAATCAAAATTTAGCAATATATCATGAAAAGCTAAAATATACATGTTATAAGTATAGTTATTAGTATTGAAGGAATCTATTACTTAACTGGAATACGAGTATGAATTTCCATTTCAAAATATTAACACTAACATTTGTATACATTGCTTTAACCCTGTGCCAGCGCCTTCTGTTGGATAGTAACTTGTTACCTTATTATCTCGACCTATGCCGGGATTGAACCCTGAACCTTCAGGTTAGCGAGCAAGCGTCTAACCCATTCACAAGATAAATCAGTTTTGTAATTTGTATCCAGTAAACTAACATTTTCAGCTTTTTGACATTTACTGTAATATAACTTCTTATAAAGAAAACTAAAAAAAGATAACTCACATTGCAGCATTACCCATCAGACTGTTAGTCCATTTAAACTTGACAATTTTCTGTAGTTTATTCTCCTGTTCTTGAGGATCAATAGGAGATATCAGACCGAGGAGAAGAGAGAAATAGTCTTTAGTAGCTTTATCAATAACATCTCGAGAATGATTGGGATCAGTTAGTAGTTGTAATAAGGCAGTTCTCGTCTGTCTTAAATCACTGAAATTACAATTAGTATTTTACAAATATAATAAAACAAAAATCCATACAAGACAAGTCTGTTAATCAAATTCTTGTCCAAAGCAATGTGTATGTAAGTGATTGCATGATAAAATATAGAGAATCCTTGTTGAAATGGTGCTTAAATAAATACAGTTATTATATTGCATAAGAATAGCGTTATTTATATGTGAAGTACCAAGTAAGTGTTCAATTGTCTTTTGTCTCAGGGCACTTTGTCATTGCTATGCCTATTAGTAAATTCCTAAATGGATCATACTGTAGGAACGGGGAGTGTTGCTTTATGCTTCATTTAAGAGAATAATGCCAAAGTATAGCCATATGTGTAGGCATAGGGACAAAAACAATTTGTAAAAACTAAAATGATCTCTTTGATAATAATAAGGAAATAATTAAAACAGAGAAAAGGTGAAAGAGAGTTCACATAAAGTAGTATAAGATCTCCATTTTCATAATGTCAAGCCAAGAAGTTAAAAGGTCATCCATTATCTATATGACAGAGTTACAATTATAACCGTTGACAAAAGAGTGATATGGTTATCATTGTATTATGATCGTTTATCATTTGACTTGATGAAGAAATAAACCTTAGCGATTACAAAATATGCAAATTTAGACTTTACATTCACACTAAATCATTGTCAAACTAAGAAATTTAAATACATTCATCGTTTACCTAAATATTTTACGTGTTGGTTCACTTGTTGTCACTCCATGTAATTCAAAACTGACCACAGCAGTAGCCTTCAAAGGATTTCGATGAAACCAGTACGCCATTTTTGTTTTGATTCATAACCGGAAGTAGAAAGAACTCTCTATTTTTAGAAAATAAATTTTGTCACGTTATCACATGACACTTCAGAATTTCTATTTTTAGATTGCCTGCTCGACAGAGTAACATACGCTAAGAAAGAAAATTGGATAATCAAGTAAACCAAAGCTCGGTTATTAAAATTTTCCAAGTAGATTGGTTGATTCTGATGCGAGTTGGACATTGTCTGCAAAGCCAAACTTTATTTGCATTCTAGAGGCTTCCAGTTAAATGAATTGAATGGAGTTTTACGTCCTACTTTTCTGAACCATTTGGGCTAATGAAGACGGGAGGCTGCCAGTTAAGGGGTATTGCGTTTTTATGGCACGCCAAGGGATTTTAAGTCTTACTGGTTTTTGCTTCTCCTCGAGGATCCTCTATCAACTCATTCAGTTTAATTTCAATGAAAAACAGTTGGAGTTCAATATGGTAATATACGCCCACATAACATGTTCTTTGTTAGCCCGTAAGTTTGTGGAATCGAAGAGAGCTAAAATTTTGAATTAATGGCTTGTTACGTATCCTTCAGGTCAGGTCTTGGACGAGTTAAATTGCCATTTTTTTGGTGAACTGTCTTCCACTTATTGCCCAAGACTTATCAAAAAAATAACAATAGACTCTTAGGCAAGTTTAACACGTACCAGAGAAACAAGACGAAATTTCAAACTGTTTTTATAAAGTATAGATTCCGACAGAAGAAAGAAAATTCTAATTCAGACTTCAAAAACATCAAAGAGATTCTTCAACATTCCATGAAAGAAAATGAGTATTTCATTCGTAACAAGTATGTATTTGTATATCCTGTTGTTTATTTTAAGTTGAAAGGTGGTGAAAACCGATCAAAATAAAATAGAAGGAAACTGACACGTGTTTTTAACGGTGGTAATTATTAACTAGACATTATACTCCGCTTTAATCACAAATCTTTAAAGAAACTCTACATTTATTGGCTGTTTTGAGGAAAAATGATAGGAAAGGCGAGATCTTTGATCCAAAACGATAATTCCATTGCCGCGCGTGCTACATCAAAGAAGCCGCCAAGCGGTAAGATCAAAAGGTAATTGATGTTGTTTGCCGTTTGTTGATTGGTGTTGTCAAATCAAAGGTCGTATGGAGAGAAATTTGTTCCAAATTGTGAAAGTTTCATAGATATTTGGACTACCTATTGCAAAGAATAACGGCTTTTGGTCTGGCGTTTAAAGGAATATTATTACTTTGTCTCTCGACATTTCTTATAAAGATTAAAGCAAGTCTCATAGACGAGAGTTTTGTCGTTCAGAGGAAGAAAGTAAATTTCTCTGTCCGGTTTTCTCATTTAAAGATTTTTTTTCACGTTTTGATTTGGTGGATAGACTCATGTTTAAAGGAGTGAGTTCTTCAAGGAAAACAGTCCGTTCAATTTTCATTATAATTGTGAACAATATACACATGTTTTTCCTATTTTCTTGTTTAGTTTACGTAGTGTGGACGTTATCTAACCATGGTAGTGATGGATATACAGGAACCGGACTGGTTACAGAGAGTAATCAATATTTCGGAAATAGCCTGGTAACTATGAATATTTTCTTTTTACGTACAAGAAGATCATTAAAAGAATAGTTAAGTGATTTTCTAAACTTTTTATGTGTATTTTAAAGAACCACAAAAGTCTTACTGAAAATTAGAATGGTGTAAATCGGTGATAACAGTGTTTCCTATTCACTTAAATAGTTGAGACAACCTTAGTCACTTTAACCAATGCACGGTTTTCAGCACGTGTATATTGATAAATGACACATATAACGTAATTTCAGCTTTTAATTTGAAATTCCTTTTAATTTTGGGAGTATTCCATTAGGTTAAACTAATGAATGATATATTACAGGTGCTTGTTGAATATATCTCGACATTGGAAAACCGTAAAAGGGTAGACGTTCGTATTCATATGCTGAAGAAAGGGACTGAAAAATAAGACGTAAAACTCCATTTACTTGAATTCTTTTTTCAAATCTTGACATCGACATGCTCCCACCTTTTTCGACCGATTTTTTTCCCATCTAGACAAGGTCAATCTAATTTTCCCCGTGTTATCTTCACACAGATTGTTTGCTGTTTGAAGGTGTACAGTCAGGATAGGTCTTAATGTCTCGATATAAACATTAGAAATTTTATCTTTGTTTAGAAAAACATCAAAGACGAAAAGGTGTAAAGGGGGATTGTTTGAGTCTCATTTTAGAGCTTGTTTTTTAAGATTTAATAAGGAATTATCTATAGACGATAAGATATAAAGTCTTTGATGCCAATGTTATTCGGTAGAGTTGCAGGAATTACATAATGTTAAAAGTATTTTAATGTGTAATATTACTTATGATAATAGCTTATGTGCAACTATTTTCGATAATTATTTACATAACCAAAAACTGAAATAATCCTAACTTGATTTTAACACTACTACATATTATACCCCTATTTCCATGAAATATTATAGAGGGGGGGGGGGGGGGGGGTTATAGGGGGGCCCCACAGACAAGTCTTCACTATTATGTACAATGACTAGCTAAATTTAGGTGGCAACCCGGGCCAGCCTTTTTCTGTTATGTGCCTATCCCCCCTACCCCCATGCTAACGAAACACAAGCACAGTATCGTTAGACGTTAAATTTCTATTTCATTTCACTCTGCTCATTTGGCTACAGTTAATCTCGAACTCGGTCAAGGTCTATAGGATATTACAGAAATTAACCACAATCCCACCATATTTTATTTTCTTTGATATAAATTGACGTAAACAATATGGCTAGAAAGTCTCGGGTCAGGAACACAGTATTAACAGGTGCGCGAAGTCTTATCCATTCACGTTTCTACGGGGGAGCCAAGTGGTGCTATGACTTCTCCGCCCAGAATTGAGACTGACCCTTTCGCTCTTTAATGCATGGTGCTGTTTGCTCCCTTGTCAATTTTCCCGGGGAAAATATTTGCATTATAACCACATTGTTGAAAAGGTGACGTATTCACAGAAATCTACCCCATTCATTTAAAACAAGACTGCTTTCAGTTCAGTTACCGACATCATTTTAAAAATAGAAGCATAAACTAAATATAATTTTAAATAAACCGAAGGAACCCTATTATATAATTTTCAAACAAAATTATCGTTTTAGGAACAGCTCTTAATTAACACGGTATAAGCTTTCTAAGAATTTTGATTATCGACATCAAAGTGAAATCTATCCAATTTCTTTTATCTTGAGGAATGGTGAATAAAGAAAGAGTTATTTTCATGCAAGACATCAAAGCTAAGGAATGGTAAACAAGTCTAATGATAAACCCAACTCATTCTCCTCTCTTCCAATTTCATTTCATTGTTTTACATCTTTTCAACTCTAAATTCTTGATTTTATCTAAGGTGTACTAGAGTGCAGTGCAAAGAGCAGACTCGTAGGCGGAAGGGAATGGAATGGAGACTCAAATATTCGACTCGATGTCACATAGCATGTAGTACGATTATAACAGGGCATTACTAGAATCATGATTAACAGGGCTTGAAAAAGAACCGATTGCTCTCTTTGCCAGAAAATGTAATGGGACTCATTCATTTTCCGAATGCACCCCGAACAAACAATGGTTTGTAGGGGGTAAGCTGCTATCGTCAGCGGAAGTGGGGGAACCAGCTTTACGTCTCAAGATATCTGAGATTTCCCGAATTTCTAACTTGGTTATGGGATTTTTGCCCGAAAAACTCTTGCTTTCGGGGCTGCGAGAGGGGGGGGGAGGGCTCCTCTGCTCCTCTTTGGCTACGACACTGTCCAGCGTCGTGGGTTGGTAGTGGTTTCAAAATCCCAAGAATCCGTATTAATTTGAGATATTTATTTTCAGAAAGGATATAATGAATCAACAGATGTGGTTGAGAAGGAGTCAGTCCATAGGGAAGGAAAAACTAGATACGATCTTCCAGATGAAGAAACGTTAAGGGCAGCTCTGAATCTTCCCAGAATTCGTAATGGTTATCACAGGCGTCGTAAAAATAAGGAGAGATCGTCCAAAACATCAAGACGTAACCGAGGATCCGTTGATAGAAATGGCAGAAGAAGGAAGAAAAATAGAAAACCAAACATGAAAGAGAAAAGTGAGTATTACTGTTTAAGTTTTTGAAGATGAATGTGAATGCTGCCTTTTCTCTCTTGTTAGAACGGCCATCAACTATGGTTTCTCCACATTGAGCTTTATTCTGGGTCAAATAAAAAGGTGACAGTTATATTTGAAGTTGGAGTTTGATATGAAAATCTGCCAGATGAGATTGATGACAAATAAAATAAACTGAACTTTCATTGCAACGAACCTGGCCAAAATCTGTAAGGTGTAATGTCACCTCTTTATTTTGTAGCGTCTGATCAGGGGACGTGGAGTGAATGGGGACAATGTAACAAGACGTGTGGAGTTGGACAGCAAGAAAGATGGCGAGCTTGTGGCGTGAACTGTAAAGAAATTGAATCCAAACCATGTTTATCAACAACTTGTCCGGGTAGGTCCTAATCTAATTCATTTTAGACTTGGAATTTCGTTTATCTCTATACCTTGTATGTTTCGCCCCAATTGTAATCTAGCAAGTTTTGTATACCACTGTCCCGTTCTACTGACGTTATGTTCAACCAATCAAAGCACGTGTCATGTTGAACCCGTTTCTTGACTCAATGGCGAATTATGGAAGACCATCATCTAAAGTAGAGTAATATGACAGCCTCTGAAATTGTGTCAAGTTTATTGGTGTAATTGGTCAGCGAAAAAACGTCGAGTCCTCTAACTGACCAATAAACATCCCCAACGAGCAAGTGAATTATGGGTAATCAAGTAAGAGAAGACTGACCTTGTTCCTTTCCCGAATTGCTGATAGCAAACACTTGAATTCTCTCTTTTTTTTTAAACAGATTCAGCAAATTCAAAATGGACAGAGAAATGGGAATATTATGAAATATTCAACAAGGAGGAAGCAAATCTTGTTAATAAAGGTTGTTAAATCTTCAGCATCATGGTATCACTCCCAATTATAACGATGTATGGATATCTATACTCTTAATGATGACTTAACTTCCGGTTGCAACTCTCGATAAGCACAAGATGGCTAACTTCCGGTCTCAACTCTGCATCGACTTAACCAGTCATCAGACATGTCTTGAGGCATTTGACTATTTTTATGAAGGAAAACAAAACCAAACGGGACGATTCATGCCACCTTGTTACTGGGTTTGTCAAATTATCATATTTGTCTTTGAGACTAATTAATATGTAAGTTCAGATTTTTCTATTTGACTGAACCCCGACGTTGTACACACTAAGGGGCATAGAGGCAATGTTCGATATTGATCGCCATTTTGTTTTATTTCAGATTTCAAATCTAAAGATGCTTGTGAGAGGTGGATGAAATGTAGTAATAAATCCATTCATCATTATTTAACAAAAATAGCAACACTTCCCAGTTGCCCGTGTAAATACCCACTAACTGTGGGCAGAGACAAGAAAATCAGGGATTCGTCTTTAGAAAAGAATTTTGTTTGGGAGGACGCGAGTTCAGAGGAAGAAAAACTGAATATTTACAAACCGGGTGCCAAATATTGTATTCGTTCAAAATTGACTTCCAATGCTTTGGCATCACAACAGTGTTGCTATGACGACTACCATCGATTGATAACACGTGGTCGTGATGCTGGAACTCCGAATCTAGTCAGTCCCCAGCTGTCAAAAGAGTTACATAGAAAGGTTGATGTTCTACCCTGGGTTTTGTGTAAAGGCGACTGGACCAGGTAAGGGACTTGGAATGAAGTGGCCCGTGAATCTTAGCACACTTATTGCAATTGACAGATACTCTCTGCTAAAGATGACCCACAGAAAGGTTATGGGATTAATAATGTAGGCTATATATAATAGCCAAGCCCTAATCCCAAAGGAAGCATTAAGGTATAGCTTGGAGAATGACAGTACCTGTTTCACGATTCAACGCTGCCAACTGTGATCCAAACGCAAAACACTTTCGCATTGGTCAAAATTTAAGAATTTCACCATGTTGTTCTTAGATTTAGGTGACTGTCATGCCGTTGATGACTGAGTCGACGAAGAGGGTCGTTGTCAATTGACCAGCAAACTGGTTCATGGAACAAGATTGATTTCCGCTACTGTAGCATTGTAAAGCAGAGACTAAAATACAAACTCCTGAATATCTATCGCGATTGGATGAACGGTTTCTAAAACATCAATTTTTCACAACACATTCTGGTACAAATCTTATCTATCTCATTTCTTTTTTCAGATATAACTTGGTAATAAACCCGAACAATAAAAGACAATGTGAAGAGAATCCGAATATAGCGGAAATTAAACATCAAATATTACTGGCCAAAAATTATTGAACATTTTCTACCTCAGATACGTGTCAGATCTCGGTTTAACGAGTCACATATACTTTCTGGATGAAAGGAATTATAAAGAAGGAGATCTGTTTTGCTCTGGTATAATAATGTGATGGTTTTGGTGAGGCTGCAAAGACACAGCAGATTTACACTCTTTTAAATAAAGGGTATTGGCAATTGAACAAGACAAATTGAGCAGCTGACAGATAGGCTTTCTCTTAAATACGTAAAATGCGGATGAGCAAGGCTGCTTGTTCAACGTGGGAAGCAGTTGTAGCGGCCTTTTGGAGCACAATTCCCATTAGTTTAAAAATCTATTCGCTTACTAATAATTGAAATCAAAATTTTTGATTAATCTTTTAAGGCATCTTTGGTTCTCTAGTTAAGCTTTGTTTTAATGGTATCTATTGACGCTTTCCTTGGCATTGTCCTCGACATGCTATAAGAGATGTACGTGTTAAATGAAGTCAAAACTGGGTTCTCAAAGTTTTTGTGATTTATCTTTGAGACAGAATACTATCAGCACAGTTAACTACATTTAGAGTTTATCAAATTTTGAATACTATTTTATTGAGTTTCAATGATTTAAGTAACACCTTATGACTCTATAAAATATTCAAGTGATCATTTCAACTCATAATGAATCGTTATTAACAGATAATATATCATAATGTACTTCTTGAAACTGCAATAAAACACTTAAATATCAGAAATATTGGACCCTTCATTTCAGTATTGATGATAGGTATGTCAGGTGACAGAAGAACCAGACGATATCAAGTCTCTGACAAAACGATTTGCCATAGTTGCACGAAATTAGAAATAAGTCTTGCTTGAAGTTGGCTACTCATTCGGACTTCGTCTGAAGCAGCTCCTGTGTGACTTGTTTTTCAATTGAATGTGCGTGTACAACACGATTCAAAGAATTTGCCATTTACAGGGATAGGAATAAGTGCTTTTGGATACAGAACATAGCTTCCCATGTGAATTGCCTTTAATTGATGTGTTTTATATTTCACTGAAGTGAATGTTGAGTGCTTGTTTCTTGCCGTGGAATACAACGGTTTGTACATCGTTAATCAAAAAAAAAATCAGACTGTACATTGATCTGTACTGCAATGTCTGGCCAGTTTTCAGCTGAATATATTCGAAGTCAGCCAGAGTTTCAGTTTCTGGCCTGTAAGGAGCGAAAAGAAGGAAAAGCAAGCATCAACCTCAATGATCTGTCACTGAGAATAATGGAACGATCTGACGACAAAGATACTTCGAAATCGGAAGATACCGGAAGTGCTAGATCAACTCCGAGAAGTAGGGAGTTTGTCTTGCAGTCACAACCGTCTCCGTTTCGACCAGTTACCAGTCCAGATGTGAACGGCTCTACGAGAACTTCGTCAAGAAGCTCGACGCCCTCCTTTACCCTGGCATGTCCTACGGGAGACAAACGACGATCAACTCCAAGACCCCAAACTGCTGTTCCCATATTTCCTCACTTCCTTATGAGAGGATACGGATTGGATGACGCCAAGAAAGAAAATCCCGATGATGAACCTCGTCGATTACGCCGAAAGAGTTCCAACTATGATCCTACAACGGACAAGACGCAGCAATTTCTGAAAGGATTTAGTCAAGCAAGCAGGACTCTGATGCCATTAAAGAGGGGTCTACGACGGGTGGAAGTTCATTATTCAGAGACGAACGTTCATCAGAACGATTCGAGAATTTTCGCTGATTTGATCAAGAATGCTCATAAAGCCAACATAATTTGCCAAGAGAATGTGGATAATTTGGAACGACGACTGTTAACAAAACGAACTGACTTAAAGAAAGCAACAACGTTTTATGATATCTACCCATTGCCACCGTCCTCTATAGCACTTCCTAGATCAGCTCGTATCGGAGCTAGAACTGTGGCAGCAAAGAAAGAGGAGAGAAAGAAACGTATTAAGAAGAAAGATGAAAAGCTTAAACTGGGATATGAACCTAGAGTTTGGAGTTTGAAATCACCAACAGAAGAAGAATATAAGAATGTTGTTGATTGTCGATATCTGCGAGTTTCTCCCAAATACCAACCAGAACTGTATGGAATCAAGCAAGTGGAATATTCTGAAAGGCCCAAGACAGTTGGATAGTGTGAGCTCTTAGTTAATGTGAAAATGGTACCCTATACAACGTTCATGAACTCTGTCAAATGACGCCCAAACGGTCATTTTGAAATTTGACTTGAAATTGCATCCTGACCCATAAATTAACATTATTTTTTTAAACCCAATGACACAGCAATAGTCGTTTGGAACATTGTGCTAATTGTTCTGAACTCAGGTCTTCGTCTTGGGCTATGTGTTTTATTAGTCTCGTGTTGCAACAGCATATCTGCAATATTACAACGCCTGTTCACTCTCATTCTTGAGCGATTAGCGATGTCCTTTCATTGAAGAATTGTTGTCGCCGCTCTGGAAGTGAAAGAATATATTATATAAATACGTGTTTCCAAATGACGACGATCTTCAAATATGATATTCATACTGGGTATCCAAAATGTTTAATCTCATATCCGACAAAAAACAGTACCATTTTAACTCTAAATACAGTTTAAACTGCACCTTAAAATGTCTTTATGATCTTTGGGGAAAGACTCAAGCCTTTCCTTTGATCATATTGTTTTATTTTCTCATTGTTTGTTTGGACAACCAGTGATTCAATGTTATACAAATCAATGGACAAAATTCTTTTATTTTTCAATCAAGTCAGATTATAGGAATTTGTCAGGTCAACCATCAAATACCCTAATGATAAAGGCTCAATGAGACGCCCTTGGCTCACCCCAATATCTAATACCAAAATGATTGACATATTAGTCGCTCTATACACTCGTAGCCTTTGATTGGAATAGTACAACTAGGACCTGAACTATTTGATCGTGTTAGATTATTCGGCTTTGAGTTCCGCTGTAGCAAATAGGCCTAACTTTTTTGGAGACGGAATATCTGTTGTGTGCATAATTTTCTTCATAAAACGCCAAAACCCTTCGAATATCCCTTTCCACCAATATACATATTAAAAATTGTGGACATTATACGTGTACAGATTTTTCTACTTATGGACTGTACGATTACTCCGCTATAAGGGATTTAAATGAAAGAAATGGTCTAGGGTTGTCGCCCTTCCTTCTCCTAATTAAGGATTGATTTAGTTTATTCAGTTTATGTATATTATCCTAGAATTATTATAGATTACACATTGTTAAAAAAGGATTTGAACTCGAAATGTGTATCTTATACTGATGTCTTCTGAAGACAAAATATCCTGAAATGGTAAGGTTTTGTTAATTTTTCAGGATTTTATTTCTCTTGTAAAGATGTGATAAAGTTGATAGAATACTCCAGATTGAAAAGTTACTGTCTATGGAATCTAATTGCTTTAACTTATGTTGGATACAAAAACATTTCAGTCCTACGAAATAGTACGTGCTGAAGGAAGCCTTGATCTATCGCTAACCAGGTGAAATCATAAGAAAAATTAAATGTAAGTAATAATCAGAACAATTTCGACCTAGGTACATTTATTCCAGTCATATTCAATAATCGAAACTAACAAACGATTGACAGTGAAAATACCATAGTAAAAGAGTCATTTGAATAATCTTTTTCAAAGGTGGTGGTCATTGGTCAAACCAATTATTGATTTCCAGAATTGTCTGTACCCATTTACAGTTGGGTCGTGATTAAACACATAGTGAATATTATCAGATCGATCGGGGAAGAGTCGTAAAAAGACTCGTTCAAAGAGTGACTCGTCCGATGGCAAGGGGATAAATGTCAATCCTGGTACAAGTTTACCTCTGTCATATTTAAAAATCAAATATAGCAATCGATCGGCAGTGACAATGTTTAATGAATATGAATAGAATCGATCGAGGTAAAGTCAAAACAAAACCCGTAACTCGCCCAAAGTACACTAGATCAAATTCTATGGATCACAATGAATGAATGCAATCGTTATTGAATAAACGTGACTTTAAATGCAGTGAATTAATTAAATATAAAATCAAGGTTGACTCGAATAAAAGTTTTGAGTGTACCATGGACCGACTTGATTAAAAAATACACTCTTTATTATATAATAAAATCAATACAACTTGTATTAAGAAATTTGACTGGGCTATTTATTGTGTACACAATGGGCTGGTTGATTGTTTGTGTGTTTGGTTGATAGTAGTTAACGTCTGGTTCTTGCAGATGCGGATATCGCAGACTATAGGTAGTTGTTGGTAGTGGTAGTAGTTGGTAGTTGGATTTATTCATTTGGATGAACTGTTGGTATGTTGGTTTGTTTGAGGGATATATAACTAAAGTCTAGATTGGATTTGTAAAAGTGAACAAGTGCGGAAGCCTCACAAAAGAATAAATCGCCTTTTCAACCCCTAAACATTGTATTCGACCCTACCATCTTTACCTTACCGAACAAGTGCAGAGGCTTCACAAAAGAAGAGATCGCCGTTTCAACTCCTAAACATTGAATTCGACCATACTACCTTACCTTACCCCAAGGTAGGCAGTATTAGATTCTGTTCGGTGTCGAAGATTTGACTATTCTGGAGACATACATATCAAAGAAAGTTATAACATATGGTTGTCAAAGCCGCTGACAACCGATATTTTTGGAAGGAAATTCCGTAATATATAGAGGCACATATCGAGAACGAATATAAGAACGGATTATGATATAGTAAGTATAAAAGTAATAATTGTAATATAAGTAGGGCGTATAAAAATAACTTTTGAAAGAGGAACCGTAATAAAAAGTAGGTTTATTTATAATGGAGGGCGAGTTAATAAATTACATAAAAAACAAACAAGTGAAAGCACGGGCCTGGTTTGTTTCTCAAATTGAGTAAGACAATTTCGTAGGCAGTGGCAATTAGTAGCCTATCATATGAGGAGGAAATGTCAGTCATTTTCTTGGCTACGTCGAATAAATGGTCGTGGGTTATAATCTTGATCGGTGCAAGAACTTCATTCCTCCCACTTTTTACTAAGGTCGTTTACATTAAATGAAATTTCCTCTTCATAGTTTCTGTGGCGAGCATGTCCCAACGACCACCCCTCCAGCCCCAACACACCCTTTATAATTTACGCCCTTATCATAATTTACGTGTAGAGTGTTCTAGCCAAGTAGAGATAACAGTTTAGTAATGATATTTTATATAAAGTTAATTACCCCAGGTAAACAAACCTTTATAGACCTTATTAACTCTTTATAGACTTACAGTTTATTAGAAGGTAAGTGGTAGGATAAGTGATATTGAACTAAACGGAATATAACGTCTTGTTTGTCTACACCATTTTGCAAATTGTAGGTGCATTTTGAGCAAATTTCCACTTTCCATCATAAAAACATAGACTATGCCTTTACTTTACAAAATTACCATAGACAGAATATTCTTCAATATGATTATGTATAACTACATTTTATTGTATTTTGTCAGATTCAAAGTCAAGAAAAGTCGAGCAGACATCAGAATCTGCTCTAAGGGTGCTCCACTGATCTGCAAATGAAACTCAGTAATTGTGAAAAATGCTCAGAAAAATGTCGGATCCGACAGAGATGCGGCAAAGAAATCCAAGGAAGATATCTCGCGACAATTCGTTTTGTGTTCTGAACAATGTTGACTTGTACCGGAAGTTGATCACAGACGATAATTCACTTCCGGTTAAACATGGCGTAACCACAGTCACAAGGGAAAGGGCACAGATTTCTCGCAGTAGCACACATATTCTTAGCAACAAAACTGGGAAATACTCAATAATTAGGACTGAAGCAAAAACAATAGATACCGGAGGTGCTCGGCGATCACTCTTGAAATCGTCACCGCGTTACAGACTAGCAATTCCAGAGTCGCCCAGATCAATTCTTAAGAAGAGTTCCAACAGCAACAAGTGGCCGGAGGCTAGTAGTCAAAAAGCAATCCTTGATTCTGAATCTAATGATGAGGACTTCAAGGAAACAAGATTTAGTTATCGACTGGGTCCTGTCCATACTAAACGAGTCAGTTTTCATCCAAGTTCCAATACCGAACCACCGCCTAAGAACTCGTCGTACGCGTTGAATCCAAACGTACGTTTTATCCATCCGATATTGAATTCGACCTTCTATAAACTTCCAGATATTGTGCGGTGTCGGATTGTTCAAGATAGTTTGGAAGACATTTCAAAGAAGAGAAAAACTTAAGATTTGGACCATATTCTGGTTGCTTTGTAAAAAATTTACATATAAAAATATAGTGCTGCCATTACCCTAGAATTGTTATTGGTTATGTCTGTTAGAAACTAAGTTGTCGCTCGACAGATTCACAGGGTCAAGGTACTACGTCTAATACCTTGACATCATAAGGCACGAAATTTGTAAATGCAACAATTTGATTAAATTGTACACACAAGATTACAGCCAATCAGAGCCTTTGACAGAATGTCTGAAAATAAGGAGCTGACTGGCTGTATTTGTGATACATGAAAAGTGCTTGATTCCAGATAGAAACAATTCTTTCTCACATTAGTTTTGGTCTTATGAAAGAAAGAATTGTTGCAGTTGCTTCCCCTGGACTGATGTGTTACACAAATAGAGAGCATGAATATTGGATTAGGGTGTTTCAGTTGATCATGTGGGTGGGGGTTGATAGCACACTACCTTCACAAAACGCACAGCCTTTGAAGGCTGCACATAATGCCTACTTTCCATCAGCAAACGTTTGAACATGTGCCATTTGGGGCATCAGGATTATCCGAAGCAATTTTTTTATTTCTCTCCTTATACTCCGATTTGGAGGTACAGAATTTCGATACTTCCTGGATTTAACTGAATTAGTATTACCCAATTCGTCAAAAATTCAAACAATTCCATGCTCCATGTCAATTTCTGGGTCTGATGATTGTAAAAGTGACAATAGGTTACTTTTTTGTAATAGTGACTGGATTAATATCAATAATTTAATTCCCTACAAGGTCAGGGACGGAAACTGACGAATGTGCATATTAGATCGATACAACAATGCAACAACAATGCAACAAGACAACACTCTGATACCAAATGTACATGTACGATGTAGGCATACAGACAACATCTCTAGTTCTCT